CTTCAACAACACTGGCGGCTTCAACAACACTGGCGGCTTCAACAACACTGGCGGCTTCAACAACACTGGCGGCTTCAACAACACTGGCGGCTTCAGCACTGGTGGTCTCTTTTGTGCAAGCCTCGGTTGAGATGGTGTCTTTATCTTCAGTGGTGATGACTTGTTCATTTTCGACAAGCTCGGCTGCGATAGTTGTGTCAGAAACAGGACCTTTCGCCGTGGTGGTCAAAGGAGCAACAGTCTTTCGTTCGCGCCTATTGAGGTGATTTGCCCAGATAGCTTGTATGACGTGCTGGGGACGGGCCTTTGACGGGGCCTTGGTTGCTCCAGTGTTCGAAGAAGCGACTGGGAGAGCCGAAGCGGCATTGGTGCTTGCATTTGCTGCAGATGTGTCGGTGTAAGTGGTCGGCCAAGCTGCATTCAATGACAGTCTCAATTCTTCTGCCGTGGAGACTTTCTGCGCAACTTCCTTGATGCCCTTGGGGATTTCAAAAGGTAGGGACATCTTTGCTGGCCAACCGTCCATGTCATGAAGTTGTTTGATCATAGCACAGTGCTGCGAGACTTTGATGGAAGAGTCAAGGGCGCCTTGACGTTTGGACTCTTTGTTGACGTGTTTCAAGTAACGGAGAACAAGTCGTAGATTTGCCTCGTAGAGTCCGTCGCCATTCTATTGAGTTTGTCAAGTTAGTGTTCTTGTTGATAACACAACGAAGAAGGAAGGAAGGGGGACAAGGCTGTGAAGCTCAGGGACAGTAAACATGTCCAGCAGACCTTTGCAGGACAGAGTAGGACTTACGGTAATCATGGGTGGCGTCTCTGGGAGTGTCAAGGGCTGATCAGGGAGCTCAGCAATGAGCTTGGACGTCTGTTCACGTACAGTGACGATGAACTGGACGACTTCCGATGAAGACATGTTGACAGTTGGTCCGGGAACACGCGCACAGAAGGGTGGATGATGTGGACGTGTTGATAGTTGGTCCGAGAATATTAGGGCAGAGGTTGTAATACCAACGTCTGATGAAAGGTGTGAGAGGTGCAAAGCGAAGTAAAGATCTTTTCTTTGGATAATGGGAAAGTGGGTGGAGGAAACATCAAATATGGAAGGGGAGGGGGGAGAGGAGATATATATAATAACGCGAGGGGAGCCCTGCCTTGGTGCCTAGTATCGCGTCTTGTAATCGATAACAGCCTAACATGTGGTTGTAACAGCAACGCAAGTTGAAGTGAAGTGTCGACGCGTAGCTAGACAAAACAGTGCAGAACAGAACAGGACGGTAGTGAAGGGGAGTTGTGGTAACGTGATCGAAAAGCACGAGATGGGACACAAACTATGAAGCATACGGATACAAAACCAGCGAAAAGGTCAGGGACGGGAGTCTTTAACATTAATGCGAGTGAATGATCAAGAAATCTAGCAGAAGCCACTTAAATAGAGACGCAAGCATTGTGCCGAGTGAGATGAAATGCCAGCACAAGGCTGTGTGCCAGGAGCTGTTGTGCGGCTCAGCGACAGAGCTAGATGTCCGCATTTTCTATCACATTGTTAGACAAGGGAGTATGACTTGAGTTCAACGGCTGAATGTTCACAGAGACGAGGTTCGCACAGCTTACAGACAAAGAGGGGAGCTGAGAGTGTGAGAATGAGGTTGGAAGAGCGAAAGGGGTAATATCTGTATTGATACGCCGAGATAGGAAAGGCGTTGTAGTCACGTGAACAGCGGTATTCTATGACGTAGCCACTCTGGGATCCTCGGCACGTGACTGTGTGAATCTTTTGTCTTTTCAAACTTCGACCAACGCACGGTTCACCACCATCTATCATCGCAGATGGACATGCTCAAGGCCTAGCGAGTCCCAGTACGAATGCAATCAAGATCCTTTGACAATCCGCCATGGCTTCTGGGTGGTATGTCGTGTCGGAAGCGGCCCAGGGGCGACTTGCCACGAGGCTGTCTCCTCTCAAGCGACGATCATCCACAAGGCTCTGCAATTTGGGAAAATGACGACATTGGCGGTGCCAGCTTTACGCGTCCCCCCTTGATGATATTATTTCCCTGTGATTTCTTCCAGTCTACAGTCTCTGTCGTCTGAGACCCCGATCACCCAAAAAGATGGACGAGCAAAGGGCTGGCAATGTGCACGCTGACATCGGTGGTGGTGGTGGTGGCCACCATTCCAATATGCCGCTGCCAAATGGCATAATAAATATCCCCAGGCCTGACCAAGCAAAGCAATACATTCACGAAGACGAGGAAGATGCCGTGACGGATTTCAATGTGAGTTCATTTACGCTCTGTTCGCTCTAACACATTGCCCGATGGCTTTTTGGCGCTCAAATCATGCCTCATCAAGAGACTCATCAAATCTCCCAGGCTCCCATAAGTTGGTGGATTCTGTCAACTCTCTTTCCACTCATTGCTGGCACGTTCGGACCCTTGGCCTCAACCTTCAATATCTGCGCCCTTGCGATTGACTGGCGGACAAATGTCAGCCCGAGTTCCACAGAGTCAGAGGGCACACACATCTCGGATCCAGGATGGCTTCTAGCCGTGAACGCTGTCAGCCTGGCCATCGCCATCCTTGCGAATCTAGCGCTGCTAGCCCAAATGATGGATCGAATCTCACATCGACGAGCCTCCCCCATCACCATTGCTGGCTGGTATGCAAGTTCTCTGCTCCTGCTGGGTCTGGTTGCAGCAACCCCGGCACAATTGCCACTGGCGGCCAACACTTTGGCAACATATTCGCAAGCATTCTACTACGCCATTTTCGCTTGCATTATCTACTTCGTCCTCGCTTCGATGCTCCTGCTTACTCACATTACCCTGCATTACAGAGCACCACCATTCAGCCGATCATTCAAATTGACCATGTCTCAACGCTCGCTCATGCTCCAAACTATCCTCTTCCTGAGCTACTTGCTCGCCGCAGGGGCCGTCTACTCTCGAATAGAGAACTGGGATTTCCTTGATGCCGTCTACTTTGTCAACGTAACTCTCTTCACGATTGGGTTCGGAGACTACCATCCCGTCACTCACTTGGGGAGATCGTTGTTTTTCCCAATGGCCGTTGGCGGTATTCTCTTCGTCGGTCTGATAATCGCTTCCATCCGCACGCTGATCCTCGAATCTGGCTCTCGCAAAATCTCTACTCGGACGGTCGAGAAAGCACGTCGAAAAGTGCTCAAGTCAGGCAAAGAAAAGACTGGCAAGCTCGCGGATGCAGATCCTTCTGTGCCGGAACTCGATCGCCGCAAGCTGGAGTTCGAAACAATGCGTGACGTCCAAAGACGGGCGGCTCGTGCCAACCGGCTGATCGCCCTATCGATTTCTGGCTCGTCCTTTTTAGTTTTATGGTTCATTGGCGCAGTGGTTTTCTGGCAAGCAGAGTCAGCCACTGGCGGACAAAACTGGTCGTACTTTGAGGCCTTGTACTTCACCTATGTGGCCCTTTTGACGATTGGGTATGGCGACTTTTATCCTCAAACCAATTCCGGCAAACCTGCTTTTGTCTTCTGGTCCTTGATTGCACTCCCTACATTGACCGTCCTGATTGGTGCGATTGGAGACACCATCTCCGATCTCGTGGCTTCTACCACCTTATGGCTCAGCAAGCACGCCCCTGAAAGTTTGAGTATCCTGAGAGGTGCAAAAGCAGCAGCGGAGAAAAAGCGGAACCGCGAAGGTGCTTTCCAGGAAGCAAAGCCCCCCGGATTCATGGATGACGAGTCCGCTGTCGAGAAGGACTTTGAAGATCAGAACATTGCCAAGGCAATCCAGGCGCTGGGCGGGCGGGAACAGAACAACAATGCTTCTGAACCAGACTCGAAGCCAGAAGACGAGAAAGAAGCCCAGGCACTGTTGTCTGCATACAGACTACACATCCTCTTACGTGAGATGCAGAACGTCGTGCAACATCTCGACGCTCAGCCACCGAGGAAATACAGCTACGAGGAATGGGCGTGGTTCTTGAAGCTCATCTACGAGGACGAATCGATGACGCCCGGCCACAGGAACCCATGGGAGCACGAGGTGGATGTTGCTGCTCCGTTGAGGGAAAAGGACGACCAGAAATGGAGTTGGCTTGGGCAGGAAAGCCCCCTGATGAGCATGGAGGACGAACCGAGATGGGTTCTTGCTCGGCTGCTCGAAGTGGCACAGAGGCGGAGCAAAAGAAAGGGAGACTTTTGGTTGGAGATGTGGAGGAAACAACACGAGAGGGATATCACTGATGGCGGCAGGTAGAACTGCCTCAATGGAAGCCATACTCAAAACTCAAGAGGTGTGAGATATGCATGAGTCCTTCTCCCCAACCCGAATTGATGACAAAACGCTCTCCCAGAAGAGTTGTGAAATTGGCTGCACACTACATACCTATCCAACGCATTCTCGCCCACTGTTTCCAAAGGGGAGCCAGCGACCGCGCGATCCTTTTTGCCTGCTCAACCGTGACTTCTCTTGCACGCCTGCGCACATGAGTCTTTCACAAATTCCATCTCGCCTACAGCACTCTCTCTCATACCATCCTAGATTCCCAATCCAACACGGCCCTCAGCCTTTCGATGGAGATGATGATCCCCCAATGCCATTGCCGACAAAGACCAAACAATTCGTCAGTACAAAGACCTGGAGTGGATCAACATGGCCAATACACCGACCACGAGCACGACCACTCCCAAAGTGAAGCGACATCCCACCATGCGCGGCTTCAACGCCTCGAGCTGCCTTCGAAGATCAGAGTCGTAGGTGGTGATAAGATCATTGAACCCGTCGTCGTTTTCATCCAGTACCTTGTCTTGACCGGCTGAATCGTCGACCTCCAACAACCCCCCGAATCCTTTCTCGAGAGCATCAAGAAGTTTCTGGATCTGTTCACGTTTCCTTGCTCGCGTCACCTTCGCGGCATATCGTTGCGGCTGCTTGACTTTATCGACCGTATTGGCCAAAGCCGTGAGGTAGACAAGTGGAGGGTCGAGATGGCGAGGTAGGTTTTCCCGCCTCGCCGCAAGTGTCAGCTCCATCGTCTGCAACATGAGCTGTTCTTGGAAGTAGACAAGGTACACGTCTGGATCGCCTCCTAGGAGACTCTCGGGCAGGAGTTTCTTGAAGGCAACGATCGGATGCTGCAAATGTGCAGGGATTGGAAAGGAGGGGGATGATGAGCAGTCGTGTATCGAAGCGCATTGCCACCCCCCAGACTCGGCAGCGAGCGGGGTCTCTTCGGCGAGATGTGCCATGTCCGGATGATTGCCTGGAGGGTATGGAGGTGATTCGAGAATGCTGCTCAGAGCTGGCGTGGTCCCGAGGTTGCGGGATGCAGCGTTGGCGGCCGAGCGCAGCACGTCGAACCGGGTTAGAAGCTCTGTGGCACGGCCATTCTTCCTGGCGGGAGTGTGTTGTCTCAGCTGTGGCACAACGTAAGGCTTGGAGGGAGTATCGGGACCGGCGTCGTTCATGGCTGGCTGGTAATAAGGACGGTTTCGATGAGCGAAGATCGACCAAGATAGATGTCCGTTTTGCCAAAAGGCGACACTGGAGCGGATGAAGCGGAAGATGAAGATGAAGAGTGAAACATGGCCATCATCAACAAGGCCATTTTGAGAGAGAGGTGAAAAATCTGGGGAGGAGATGTTTGCTCGGTCGGGCTGCCATGTCAAACATGACAAAACCTTCAAGCTCTTGTCCGAACAATGAAAGGCTGTCTGTTCGCCTTTTCAAGACACTGCGAAGAGACGAGGCGAGTTGAAAGGAGTTGGACAAACAGGACCAAGAAAGATCGAGCAGAAACAGAAAAGGAGTTTGCATAAAGATTCTATCGTCTCAAAGGCGGAGCCTCTCTCGAGCTCATGGCGGGCCGCAAGGCTGAGTCATTATAGGAGGCGAGACTTGTTGAAAGCCTCAATCAAGATTTGTCTCGATTTTTACCAGGGCAATAAGGAGTCAGAACGCACTAAATACTCGCTTGCGAAAGGGAAATTCATATCATTTTGATGGGGTTTAACCCTTTTTCCCCCCTTTCCTCTTTGTTGGATTCCGTTACCTAGATATGAGACCTACCACAGATCTGGCAGAGACGCTCCAGGCGCCTTTGTAGCCCTTCCATTCGCTCATACACTGACCTTGTCTCATCCGACAGACAAAGCACGCAGCTCGTCAAAGAGTCAAAGACTGCAAGGAGGACAGGCAATCAGAATTCAGGAATCCAGCACCAGGCAAAGTCAAGTCAACACCACAACTATACCCATGAGGAGACCCACCATGAGAAGAAACCCGCGGATGAAAAGCTCCATGGGTGTTAACACAAGCGGCACCATGTTGTCTTGCTCGGGGCCCGAGGGGACCATGGCCAAGAATGCCATGCGATAGGAATTGTAGGCGACTGTCAGGGCTTGCTCCCACTTGGCGTACCGCATGACCACATACTCTGGGTCGGCCTTGATTTGTTGGCAGACCTCGTCTGCATGCTTGAGGAGCTCTGTGACCTGCACTTCCTTGAAAGCTCGGCTGCCCTCATGGCGATATTGCTCCATCGCATGGAGTGTGGAATCGAGTGAGAGTATGAAGAAGGTCGCAGCACGGCCTGTAGAGCCCTGACGCTCCATGTCGTCAAGTCGCCGCTGGAAATACGTGACATAGTAAGTGGTCTCGGACATTGCTGCAGGGTCTCTGCGCGGCGGCCTCACGACATTCAGCAAACAATCTACATCGGTGTCGTTGCCCCGGTCAAGAATCCACCTGTCCAGTTCGTGAAGGGCAATGTGGCCTCGAGGGTAGGCGATGGCTTCTCCCATCCGTACCCTAGATACGTAATGCGGGACCTGGGACTTTCGCTTCTGTGGGATGCGATAGTTTGCTGGAATTCGGAAGGGCATGGTGCGCGTCCAAGAAGAGCTATCGGAGAAGATAGAAGACGAGTTGAAGATGGGGAAAATGTTGAAATGTTTCTGTTGCAGGCTGATTGGTACGGGTGGTCAGAAGCTGCCATGAGCAGAGGACGGAGCATATAAAAGTCACGGTCTTTGACTGGAGGCGAAAAGCTGGGGAAGCAATACATTCATGATACGAGACATTATGCTCGACACTGCCCCTTCGGAGGCAATTCGCTGCCTGTGCGATAACAAGGCAGTAAGTATTGTCTACCCTCCTATGAAGGCAGTTGCACATTCTCAGCCGACAGAGAACAACGTGGAGAGATAAGTGTAATTGTCAGGGTGGAGATTGATCAGTGGTGGACGAGATGTCGAGACGAGCCACTCTGATGTGCTTAATCAGACCAGAGCCTTACATGAAGACGACGGAGATCCTGGTCCACCCTCGTTGGCATTGTCCGACAAGATAGATCTCTTCCCATTTTGAAAGGGGGATAGTCTTGTCGCCCGGATGTCCGCTAGTTTTCAAATAACTGAGAATGCACTCGAAAACCATGGGACGATCTGTCATCTTCCGCAATGTCGCGACACTTTTCGGCTTGAAAGACCGATTAGTTGCAGAAGGCTTATGCAGGAATGGTAAATTTGGGATTCCACCGAGGCAGTCGTAGACAAAGGATGCCCGTGAGGTCGCAACAAGGCAACAAAGCTTTGAGGCAGTGTCCAATGAGCACGCCACGCTGCAGGAAGGTAAGGAGAGCAAAGAACTTCACAAAAAGCACAAGAAGGAGAAGATGCTCAACAACACCAGAAATGAACGTAAAATGGCCAGAAGTCTTCTTCAACAGCGGTAAAAATTGCGGTTTGGCAGTTATGTACAACTTTCTCTTTTGAAACGAAGCCTACATGTCTTCTGAGGCCGTGGCACCCGTGATGATTTCGACCAATTCTCCGGTAATGACGGCTTGTCGGGTTCTGTTGTACAAGATGGTAAATTTGCCGATCATGTCTCCGGCGTTCTTGGACGCGTTCTGTGGAGACCTCGTCAGCGCACATGTCAAGGTCAGATGTCACAAGACCACTCACATCCATGGCATTTCTCCTGGCGGATTGCTCACAAGCATGGCCTTCAGCAAGAGCCCAGTAGAGAGAGTTGGCTAGGGAATATTCTCGGAGGTTGGCGAGAACTTCGTCGTCAATCTCAAAGGCGGCGAAATTGGGAGATTGAGTAATGGCCTCCTCGGAATATGCTTCAACCATGACAGGTTCATAGCTCTGGGCATTGATGAACTTGTTGTAGAGGATCTTGATGCTTGCATATTCTTCCGGAAGCAGGACGAGTTGGTCGGCAATGGCTTGGGCGTCGGCGAAGGTAGGGACATCTCTCCCGATACCAGCGAAGCTCAACAACACATTCCTGGGGTTGGATCGACCGATTTGGGCCTTGCACTTTTCCCCGATAATAACAATGTCAAGATTTGGATCCTTTTCGAGCATTCGACGGGTGTAGCGCGACAGTCCGGAATGGATACCACCGCAGAGGCCCTTGTCGGAGCTTGCAACGACCACCAGTGTCTTCTTCTCCTCCAATGGCTTCGTCTCCGCCTCTTCAAAGACCTTGTTTGACGTTTTACCATAGGATCGGGAATCGACCATGGCCTTTTGCGCACGAGTGAGCTTGGTCGAGGCAACGATTTTCATGGTCTTTGTGATCTTTTCGATGTTTCGGATGGACTTGAGGCGACCTGCGAGTGGTTAGCGACCGCAACAGAGCTTCCTGCCGCCGATACCATACTCTCAATTTCTCGCAGCGTCGCATAACCGGCGACTTGAGGAACAGCCGTCCTGATGATGGATCGATCAGTTGCGTGATTCAAGCTCCTGAGATTTTGCAGTCAACTCACTTGGCAAGGGCGGCATTGCCAGCCACGAGGGCGGGTCTCACAGCTCTGGACAGCATCATGGCGAGACTTGGCTGACCACGAGGCCGTGAGAGAGCAGTGATGGAAGATGGTCTGGATGGTGAGGGAGAGGAGATTCGGTGGGTGCGAGGGCAGCTGGTCAATGAACAAACTGAGGTTCCGATCAGAGCTCGCCGGGTGGGAAGAACGCGCTAGCCTTTGCTGGCCTAGTGCGGTTTGGCCATAAAATCGTCGATACTTCGGAATCGGAGTTGCACGTGAGTGGGCAGAAGGGGATGGGGATCCTTTCTCGCCCTTCCTCTTCCTCTAGAACGGCCTCACGAATCGCCTGAGTCGGGTGGACTGCTACCTACTACCTACTACTGGACTGCGCTCTGGAGCCTCTGACTTTCCCTCTTCTATTTTCATTTTCCTCCTGGGCCTCGCCCATTCCTTCACTTCTTCTTCTTCTTTCTTCTTCCCTCTTTGTCTTTCTCTTACACCAAGTCACCCTCCGTTCAGTCATTTCTCATTGACACGCCTCCCGCAGTCGCCTCCCTTCCATACCAGCAACAGGCACGGTCCCCATTGTTGCTCTCGTGGTCTCGCCCACCATTCCGAGTTTCCGAGGCGCGTTCTGGAACTCACTTCAACCCATCGCCTCTCGTTCCTGTTGCCGTCCACCTCTATTATCAGTCCGTCAATCTCTACAACTTGCCTTCGCGAGGCCTCTGCGCCCCATCTCTTCTCTCACGCGCACCATGGATTCTTCCGACGACGATATGCCCCTCGCGGGTTCAAGGAGGCCAAACGGCACAAACGGAGGTACGCTCTCCCTTCCACAATCGACGACACAAGGCATCCTCGTTTGCGTTGCCTGCTCCAAATTTATATCATCTGCCTCTCAACTTTGGTTTCTCACTAACGTTACAAGCAGTCGCACCTCGTCTGTCTTCCTCCAAAATCCCATTCTCACTCGACGCTGCAATGGATCGTCAGATCCCCACCAATGGCGAAGTCGTGCCGGGTATTTCGATGGCAAACGGTGAGGTCAAGGTTGAAGAACTATCACCACCCGGAAACAAAGACAACACCCCTAACGGCGTCGCTGCGGCAAAACGTAAGATCAGGGAGAGCCTCACGCGACCATCTTATGCCGAGCCAGAAAGCAGCGACGACGACCTACCATTGGTATGCGACCCCTTCAATCCCAGAATATGCCTTCTGAGAGATCATCTGGGCTGACTTGGACGCAGAGCAAAAAGAGAAAGACATTAGCTGCTGTCGAATCAGATTCTGACGATGCCCCTCTCATATCCAAGGCCAAGGCAAATGGCAAAGTTGTCCAGAAGCCTCCTCGAGTCTCAGCTCATCAAATTGGTGAAGAGTCAGACTCAGACGTGCCTCTTGGCCAGAAGCTGGCCAAACAAAAGCAGAAAATAGAGAAAGCAGCAGAGAAGGAAGCGAAGCAGATTCGAAGGGAGGAGAAGAAGGAGGCTGGAAAGGCTGTCAGAAGGCCTGTCCCGGCAAAGAGGGTAAAACAGGAGGAATCCAGTGACGATGACAAGCCTCTATCGAAGCGGGCACCTGCAGCTACTACCAAGAAAATAAAGGCCGAACCGTCCAAAACCGCTAAAAAGGTCAAAGTAGAAGCTCCCTCACCCGCGAAGAAGTCCAAGGCAGTCAAAAAGGAAGAGAGTGCCGATCCTGACGACGAAGAGGATGAAGAGGACGAAGTCAAATGGTGGGAAGATCCGACCAAGGGTGATGGAACAAACAAGTGGGAGACTTTGCAGCACAACGGCGTTGTCTTCCCACCTCCCTATCAACCACTTCCTCCGCAAGTCAAGATGAAATACGACGGTCAGCCTATCACCCTCCATCCTGATGCAGAGGAGGTAGCCGGATTCTTCGGCGGCATGCTCAACTCGACGCACAATGTGGAGAATCCAACGTTCCAGAAAAACTTCTTCAGTGATTTTAAGGACATTCTGAAGAAGACCGGCGGCGCAAAGAACAGAAATGGGGAGAAGGTGGAGATCAAAGAATTTGCAAAATGCGACTTCAGGCCCATCTTCGACCACTACGAAGCCGAAAGGGCAGCGAAGAAGGCGCTGTCAAAAGAGGAGAAGAAAGCCATCAAAGAAGCAAAAGACAAAGCCGAAGCCCCGTACATGTACTGTCTCTGGGATGGCAAGAAACAAAAGGTTGGCAACTTCCGAGTCGAACCTCCTGGACTTTTCCGCGGCCGAGGTGATCATCCCAAAACCGGCAAAGTCAAGACGAGAGTCATGCCTGAACAGGTCACCATCAACATTGGTAAAGAAGCCACCGTTCCCGTTCCGCCAGAGGGTCACAGCTGGAAAGAAATCAAACACGACAAGCAAGGGACATGGCTGGCCATGTGGCAGGAGAACATCAACGGCAACTACAAGTATGTCATGCTGGCTGCAAACTCGGATGTCAAGGGCCAGAGCGACTACAAGAAGTTTGAGAAGGCCCGTGAACTCAAGAAGCACATTGATCGAATTCGCAAAGATTACCGGAAGGAACTCAAGTCGGAATTAATGGCCGATCGACAAAAAGCAACTGCCATGTACCTCATCGATCAGTTTGCCCTTCGTGCTGGTAATGAGAAAGGGGACGACGAGGCTGACACCGTCGGTTGCTGTTCTCTGAAATATGAGCACATTACTTTGCGGGCTCCTAACACGGTCATCTTCGACTTCTTGGGGAAAGACAGCATTCGCTTCCACGAAGAGTTCGAGGTGGACGCCCAGGTCTTCAAGAATCTCAAAATTTTCAAGAAGCCACCCAAGAGTGAGGGAGACGACATCTTTGACAGGCTGACTACGACTCAACTCAACAACCACCTGAAGAACTACATGCCAGGCTTGACTGCCAAGGTCTTCCGTACCTATAACGCGTCTTTCACAATGGCCAAGCTACTTTCCGAGATGAAATCTGAAGGTTCAATAGCCGAGAAGATCAAGGATTACAACGACGCGAATCGAAAAGTTGCTATTCTCTGCAACCATAAGCGAACCGTTGCAGCCGGACATGCGGGTCAGATGGAGAAGTTGGGCGACCGAATCAAAGGACTCAAGTACCAGCAATGGCGAATCAAACAAATGATGCTCGATATCGATTCAAAGATCAAGAAGAAGAAGGGTGCAGAGTATTTTGAGCTGCCAGACGACCTGGATGAGGCCTGGATTCAAGAACATCAGGCCTTCTTGGTTGAACAAGAGAAGGTTAAGATCACCAAGAAATTCGAGAAGGAGAATGAGAAACTCAAATCGGAAGGTGAGAAAGAGATGAAGCCGAAGGAGCTCGAAGAACGCCTGAAGGCGGTCAAGGATCTGGAGAAGAAGTTCCAGAAGGAGAACAAGACGAAGAAGGTCGAGGCGGAAGGAAAGTCTCCGAATGTCGAGAAGTTTGAAGAGCAGGTCAAAAAGATTGACACAAGGATTGCTACCATGGCCGTCCAGGCAGAGGACAAGGAGAACAATAAAGAGGTGGCATTGGGAACTTCGAAGATTGTAAGTTCTGCACGACACCAATTTCCAGACCACGTTGGCATCAGGCTGGCTAACCCACACCTTTCTCGCAGAACTACATCGATCCACGGTTGACGGTGGTTTTCAGCAAGAAATTCAACGTGCCCATCGAGAAGTTCTTCTCCAAGACTTTGCGTGAGAAGTTCGAATGGGCCATCAAGTCTGTCGACGAGGACTGGGTCTTCTGAGTCTGGCCCATTTGATCTGTCACGCAGGCTTTTGCAACAGGTGGAAAGGGTCAGTCATGACAACGGGGTCAAACTTCAATCGCGGTGACCTACAATCTACTGGCGACCAGCTTTGAAGACAACTACAAATGCTACATCACACGACTAACATATGAGAAACATACGTATTGCTACGAACTCCATCCACTTCACCGTCGCTTCGCTGAGGCATTGCATGAGACACATCGCATCACCCCGGGTGCATGCCCTGTTAGGCGATTCACTCAGCAAGCGGTGGAGGGTTGTGAAGGGTTTTGGTTGAATGGATCGTTGAACTGCAAACCATCAATAGCTGGAGGACGACTCTGTCTTTTATGGTACCAGCGGACCTTTTTTGCTTTTTCTAAAGGGGTCCACCCTCTGAACTGCATTGTTCTGGATGAAAGGAAGAGGAAGCGGAAGGGGAGGCAAGAGCTTGCATTCGACTTTCTTTTCCTGTCAGCATAGCACCGGTATAGGGCGGCATTTTTCACCAGACAGAAGTCAGTCAGACAGACAGACAGACATACAGACATACAGACAGACTACTAGACAGCACAGATCTAGAAATGGTTAGAAAGAGAAAAATCCTTGGAAGCTACAGACAGTCAGTAGACTAGAGTCCACGCTAGATATAGAGTACACAGTGGACTCTTTACTCCGTACAGATAGACACACTTCATGGGTGTGAGTGGCGAAACATGCGCAACGCGGACGACGAGGACTATTACTGGTGCTGCTGTAGATTGGGACTGGACATGATGGGACATTCAGCGACGGGCGTGAACACCGTGTGTACATACTGTACATGGCTTGCAAGCTGGCAGGCCGGCAGGCCGGCAGGCCGGTAGGCAGGGGGCTATTAAAAAGGCATATATTGATTTGACAAGAATTTCTCGTAGCTCAGCTAGTAAAGGGGGAAAGGAAAAAACCAGAACATTGACTGACACTACCTCACGAGAGCGAGCATCCAGCCCCATATCCGATCCGATCCGATCTGTACAGTCACTGACAGTTCCATGCTCATCGTCATCATCCTCCATCCACTCCAATGCAGGCAACGCAGGCTATCCCCCTGTCCTCGCTCTCGCCCTTCTCTTCCATTGTCATGGTGAGTCTCCTCGAGAGAACTTGGCCGTGGCTCGGAATGCAAAGGGCAAGACCAGAAGCAGAATGATCCTCGTTCCCCATGACAGCAGCACGCTCTTCACTGCACCGGGCAGCACTCTCTACCCTCTGCTACCTCAACCAAGCCCAGCCTAGTTCATTCCTCACCCTTGATCTCATAGCCCAGGTGTCCCAGCCCTGTTGCGTAATGCTCCTCTTTCCTGCCTGTCATTTGTTCCCAAGTTCCCGTCCCTGTGATTTCCACCAAACCAAGCATGCAGAGGCAATCTGTTCAAAATACATCTCGAACACACAAACACAGATTTGCACAAGGAGATTCGTCGGGCGGGTTCGTTCAACGATCGTCAATGATGATATGTGGGAGGGAGTAATAAAAGGATTGTCGATACTAAAAAAAGGTTCGGCTCAGTCGATGAACACGAACCTGTGGTCGAAGCAGAGAAAGAAAATGATGCCGTCCATTGGTTGTGCGCGTGCACTTCGGTTGTTCTCTTGTGCCCAATGTATCCTCCCATCCGGTGTTCGCAGTGCAAAAAGGCTCAAATTCCCTCCGATTTCCCATACTGTGTCGCTTATCTGCCTTGTCCCTTTTCACGGTGAGGTGAGTCCTTTGTTTCTAGAATCCCCAGCTTCGACTTCCGGTGGGTTGGTCTGTGCCCCTTACAGAGTCGGGTGATCGGTGCAAGCACTCGAGTCGACTTGCAAGGGCCACAAAGCCTGCTGCCACCTTCGTCGACATCCCAAGGTCGATTCGACATATATTACTTCCGACGCCAAAGTCTGTCCATGGTTGTTTAGCAAAAAGAAAAGTCTGGGTTGGTAAACCAAAGCGAAAAGCAAATTGCATTCGGAAGCGACAGGTGTTTGGTCGAAGACAATGCGGGTATCTTGCAATAGACGGCTGGTCGTCGCGGCGGTCGGGTTATTGTGGTGGTGGTGGACAAGAAGACGGCAGTTTTGCCGCCAATCTCATAGGGTTGGAGGCAGATTGAGAATGCAAGTTCATCAGCTTGTGACGATAAGTTTGGCGTGTCCTGGCGTGAGCCCGTACTCTGTAATGTTTGATATTGGTGGACAAAGGAAAAGGGCGATCAACGGATTATCCCTGCGAGACCAGCAAGTCATTCAAATCCAAAAGACCTCCCACCCAGACGATGCTTCTCTCCCACCCTCAGACGAAACAACGCTTGCTAAAGTGGCAGGCCCCTCCCACCTTGACATGCAAAACAAAGGAAAGATGGAAAAGAATGTCCAATGTGGCTTTCGGAAGATGACAGGCTCAGCCCGTATCCTCCTCACCATCATCGTCATCCTCTTCTTCGGCACTTTCACTGGCGAGCTTGGATCTCTTGACGGGGGTTTCGTTGTCGGCAGGGCCAGCCTTTCTCTTGGTGCCCGAAGACACGTTATCGGCTTTTTTGGTCGCGGGCGTCCCATTCTCGGTGCCCTCGCCTTGATTCTTCTCCAATGCCGCAACCTCATCGGCAGTCAAGAACCGACCTCCGGGACCACGAGGTCGTCGCATGGCGTGATTGTGTCTCGACTCGTGAAGGTATGGCTTTCGGCCCTTGGAGGTGAGCCTCAGCTGCTCTTCAAGCTTCTGTCGAGCCACGCGGCGCTTCAGAATGCGGTGGAATTGCTTCGCGTTGACATACAGCGGAGATTCCTCTGCACTTCCCGCCACAATCTCCTCCTGTGGTGGTTGTACAGGTTGCTGGGGAGGAGGCATTGTAGGGGGAACAGACTGTCGAGGCATGTTATGGTTCAGGACAGGCTGAGAGACTTGGCCGTGAGGACTCGTGATATGTTGGCTCATGCGTCTCTGTTGATTCAATTGTCCTGCTTGAGGCATGCTCACAGTGGACGGTAGGGGCGGCATTTGTCCTACGATGGAAGTGTTAGAAACCAAATGAATCTTGTCAAGGTGCTCCAGAATATGGAGGTATAGACTAACCTGATGCCGCCGCAGTAGCCATGGCCGCGGCCTGAGTCGGCGATATGCCATATCCTTGTGTCATACCTGTACCAACACCATATTGCGGATAAGCAATGGATTGATGAACACCGCCAGCCGACTGAGGCTGGTAATGATTCTGGGTCTGAGAAGGGAGGATGGGAGAGGCTTGATTGGGGTTGTGTGATTGCATATGCGATTGAGGGCCGGAGGGAGACTGAAGGGAGCCGGGTCCGGCACTCTGAGGCGAGGTTTGGTAACCTCCCTGCATATGAGGGTGTTGGGTGTGTTGCTGGTACTGAGGAGGGTATTCCATTGTGCAGACGCCTTTCACTACGATGGAACGTCTTTGCTCAGTGCTGATAATGGATTCAGGGCTGCAGAGAAAGAGAAGGTTCTCGGCCCGCAGAGATGGTCTTGCTGGGTCGCCTCAGCTGTCGCGCGTACGGAAAGACGCAGGTCTCCGGAGTCTAAGCTGGGCAGTTAAGAGGTCGAGCAGGGCCGCAACGGGTGACTGTCGAATAGCTAAGACGCGCTGTTGGGGGGCTGTTGTGCCTTGAAATGTTGCAACCACGGCGCCTCGACACTCTGATAGGAGGGTCTAACAGCGGCAGGTTGGAGCCTGGTGCCTTGCGTTAGTTGCTAGCGCAGCTCACGGCGGTCACTGGATCGCCGGGCAAACACCAATACTGACCTTGGTCGGTGGTAGAGCAGATGATGAACAGACTTGTTCTGAAAATGTCGAAGGAGTCGAACCCAGCGGTCCACTCACTATATTGACAAAGACAGGCCAACAAATGAGGCGAGAAAGGGTCCGGGATGTTGCTGCAACCGTCGAGACCCGGGCTGAGTTCGCCTCAGATTGGGCTTCTTTGCAGGAGAAGCTGGGGTCTAGCGCTTTGATGAGTTGTCACTTCTGCTCTCGAGGGAGGCAGAGTGTGGCGAGGGATGGGGATGCCTGACTTCGACGTCACGCCGCGGGCTGCTATTTTTCCAGCTCTTTCCCTGCTGTCTCCGCCAGTTGACGTTGCTGTCGTGGTTTGTCGCCGCCGCGTTCTGGCGCTGCTCCAGCTTTCCCGAAGCTCTGATGCGACGCGCCGCAGGCTGGAATGGATTTGTTTGGGTTGCGGGCGTCTGAGAGGAATGATTCGAGGGCGCGGAAGGAAGGTAAGCTGCGATTCGATTGACTGACTACGTACTGAGCAGCGTGTGAATCAGTATTGGCTCTGGTAGAGCGCAGATGCGATTATTGGAGGATGGGGTCGGGTGGGAATGGTTATGTAGCAATCGATTGGAGGCGCGCATGCAGTGATGTGTTGGCAACTCCATGCAACTCACCTTTTAGTTCCGTCCCACAGTCAACAGGCAAACCCGGAGACGGGCAGCAGCCAGTATCTATTCTTGTAGATGATGAAATTTCTGGTTCTTTTGGAGAGGGGGCAAGGTTTGTGGGTTTTTGTGCTCGTCTCGGAACAACCACGGGTCGTGCCCAAGTGATGCGACCGCCCGCTCAATTGCTGCCCACAAAATGAAGCTGGTCGGGTTTACAAATCTAGGTTCGCAGAGGCACTTTTCTGCGCCCGCGACAATGATGAAGGTGGTCACTGACGCGGTCTCGGTTCAAGAGACGACAGGCCACCAGCAATGTCGAAGTTGATGAAGTCGCGATTTACGAGGCGACCGTGACGTGAAGTCTTGCCAAATGAAGTGCGGGTTTGGAGGGAAGCGCTGTCAATGGCGGTAGCGGGAATGCGGCGGTCGATGATGGGCTATTTGGAGCACGGGACTGGCGGTCGGTCGGTCAAATCGGTGATGTGTGCCAGTAGCAGTAGTCAATTTGCGTGTTGTGATAGATAGATTGCCAGCGGTGAGGGTGGGTGGTTTACCGCGGTGAGTAATGGCAGTAGTGGCCTCGGTGAGTGGGCTTGCAGATTGCAGAGCTGGCTGGGTGACTGGGGGTGTGGGAGCAGGTGGGAGGGGGATTGTGTTGATGGCTTGTCGGGCTGATGGACGGCTTGTTGCGCTTGTCTCTGGAGGGGGGCTGATGAGATCACCGGCCGGCCTGCGCGCATACACTCACACAATCTCTTTTTGTCCACCGTCTGGCTGTTGAGGCCCGAGAGGGTTTGATATGGTCGATGCGCGCAAGGCTCTACAGGATCGAGTTGAGGGTGAATGATGATAGGTGGTGATTGTTTACCAGCAACGTGGATCGTGGAGAGGGCAGTCGAATCAAATTGGATGATGCAGTCGACCAGGTCGAGGGCACCGAGGGTGGTGAGCGAGATGATTCGGCGACTACTCTGAGGCTGGAGAGCCGCCTGGCCTCGGGTTGGTTCGGGGCTTTTCTCTTGCTGATGTGCCTGGTCACGGTCTTCTCTTTCAGTCGCTGTCTCACGGGCCCCACGTGAAGAATGACGAAGGATGATGTCGATGTCGTGCGTTGCGTGCTGCGTGCGGTAGCGAGCAAAGACAATGTGTGAGTGGTGAGTTGTGAGAGAATAGTCGGCCCAGCTGGAGGGTGATTGGGTGGTTGGGGGTGAAGGAGGTGAAGTTGAAACGATCAGGCGAGGGGCGATTGGGCGATACAAAAGGGAGGGAGGGAAAACGCAGAGGATGAGTGGGCGACTGGGCGACGGAGGGGGGCGGCTTTGCGCTGAGTTTGACTCGGACTCGTCGCTTCCAAGGTTTTTTTTTTTTGCAGGCTGCCTGGGATGGGCGGGCGTGGATGGGTGATGGGGGGATGGAGTCTTCGGCGACCAGCTGTGCAAAAAAAAACAAACTCTTCCCACTAATCACAAGAATAGGTAGTGCAAGGTAGTGCAAGGTAGTGGTGCTACGGTTCCTGCTCGGTACAGCCAACTAGGTATGAAAATCACTGATTCCCTGCTTGCCTGGTTCAAGGTTTTTTCTGCTCGCGTGAATTTGCTTGGTTGAGGCAAGAGCCAACCACCACGCCGCTTCGTGACCCGGCAGACCCACTATGCCGCCATTCCTCTTCTGGTGCTAGCTCCGCACATGCCCATCATTGATTTTTCATTTTCCCTCCGCCGCCGAGCTGCGCCAGTAGTGGACGAGGGACGCAGTACAAGCTTCTGTGCTGAAAGCGTGAAGGACTCGGCGTCGAAGAGAGTGTTTATAACAATCACTTGCAACACCACCTATGCTAGGTAGGTATATACTCCAGATATGTCCTATGCCTACTCGGTACGGAGTATATTTCCAGTTTACGAGGTGACTCGGTGCGCAGGCTGCACAGCTGACGGACGCAACGCCAGCAAAACCTTTGTGTCCACATCATGTGATCGGGGTGCAGCTCCTGCTCGGCAGCGTTGACCGCATCCTGCTTGTCTGCTTTCCTGCTTCCCTGCTCGCCTGATTCCCTGCGTGCCTCGAGTCGCATTCCCTGCGCTTCTTGCTTCCCTGCCTTCCGGCTGTCCCTGCCACGCTGTTTTTCTTCTTCTTCCTTTGCTGTCCTTTGCTCTTTGTTGCGCCTGCATGGCCCAAACCCAGTCATTCAGGGACCGTCTCTTCTCTCTCGCCTCCTCACCTCCTCCCTCCTCCACTCTCGCCCGTATTCGTGTGTCAGCAGCAACGTTGCATGCAACTGATTCCACCGCGCAGTCCTTCGCTTAGAGGTTCCATCACCCATGCCCCGTGCCCAATCAGGCTATCGTCTCCCGAATGCTGCTGTTGCGTGATGAGCAGCCCGCCGCAATCTTCCTCTCTCCCGCTGGTGCTGCTTTTCCTATTACCTTTCTCGTCAAGTCAAACTTCGACCGCCTCTGATCGTCGCAACACGCGAATCACATCACAAGAGGTGCCACTGTTTTGGTTTCCTCCAGATGTTAATTAGGGAGTCCAAGGTCTACCTCTTTCGGGTCCCGAGAATTTCAAGAGAATTCCAGCGTGATACCCAATGAGACACCATATCACCCACTGGTCTCAATTCGAGGCGCTGTTTATTTCCCTGCTGTGTGCCAATCATGTTGGTCAACAGCCTCATTTTCCCTTTGGAATTTTTTGATTCGTCTGCCCAGGGGAAATTTAACCAGATAATTCACATGTGCGGTGAGCTTCGCGCGGCGCATGTCTGCCTGGCTTCATACCAGACATGATGTTCCTGAGACCAGCCCTAACAAGAGTTGAGTCGGGTCTCCCATCAGAGCGAACAAAGGCCGCATTCGTTGTTCTTTTGCTTCTCGCCGGATCATAACGACAGAATGCAGATATGGAATGTTTTCCCATAATCCGTAATGTATAGGATCGTTTCGCAAATGTCCATCGTAGTAATTCTCCCTGGGGTATTCTATGCTTGCCACTGATATTGATGCATTTCTCGATGCAGCCCTCCTCCCTTGTGACAATCGCTCATTACCGCCCCTTCAGTCACTCAAAACGGTTCTCAACATCGATACAAACGGCTCTCGCAGTCTTAGCACCTCGCTGACCTCTGGCTTCACAGGCTCGCCGGCGCTTCTCCTCAGCCTATCTTGGGCCTTTCTCCGGCGACGCCGTTCAGCCGAGAGAGGATCGAGATCGTCTTCTGCATCTTCTTCGTCCGAGTCGAGGTCGTCTTCATCGTCGGAAATGCGAAGATCCGCCAGATCGCTCTGCAGCGTCACCAGAAGGGTAAGCATAGCCTCAACTTCGAAGGCGGCCCCTTTCGTAGGGATCGCGACGAAAAAGGGCGGGAGAAGAGACTCACCTCATGCAATCCGAAATCACTGCTACGGAAGTTCGCCCCCGGCATCCCCGTCGCTACCTCTGAAGAGTTGCCGGACCCTATTCCCTCAGCCGCCATTTTCTGCCTCGTCTTATCACTATGCCACTTCTTTCGCGCCTCCTGCCACTTGATCAACGCATCGACCTCTGTAATGATGATCTCCCTGTTCACCGCCCCCATATCTAACGCCCCTTGCAAAATCGCATTCATATCCAATTTTCCGCCGCTCCTGGGGCCTTTGCGGAGAAATTCAAGGATGCCCTCGATCCAGCCCATCAAGGCAGTAAAGAGGCCGTTATCATGAGTATGGACTTCGTGGATGAATTTATACAAGTTGTGTTCGTGTCTGGCACAAAGGTCGATGAATGACTGGACAGTCTGATTCGGATCCGCGGACACGTCTTGCCGTTGTGCGATTTCGACTGTTTTGATTGCGTCGTCGGCGAAACGCGCAAAGTCCGTAATAGAGCTGTAAACATTGGCAGATTTATAAACCCGAATCAGCGGTTCGTAGAATATGGTGAACAAATCACGGAACAGCTGCAGAGTATTGGGCTCCTCAATCATAGCTGCCATCATGGCCTTGTCACGTTGCCGAGTCATTAGTTTGAGAAGTTGCTTGAGGTGCGAGAACATTTCGGCACCTTGTTTGAGTTCTTCGTCTTCGTTCTCCACGGCGCTGTTCCATGCTACCCATGCGTTGTAGACCCGTTGAATTTGTGGCGCCGTAAGTTCGGGTTCGAACTGCTCTGATCTGAGAATGGCGACGACAAGATCAATTTGTTCCGCGTTCGCCTCTTGCCGGACAATGTTCTTGGTTTCTTCAGGACTGTCAACGAAGGCCTTGATTTTGTTGACTAAGACTGGGTCTGCCACTTGTCCAGCGACGCCATCGATTGATCTCTGGAACTGCCGGATTCCGTCTGCCAGCGTCTGGGCGAATATCCGTTGAAGTAGCGATCTTGCGCCAAAGGGTTGTGCCAGAAACAGATCCAACACACCAGACATAACAGCTGCTGGATTCGCGATTCGAATCACGTTCTTCAATACCGTGTACGGCACAAGAGAATGTATCCGTTTTGCCTGGGCAAACAGCTCAGGGGAGTTGTCTTCTGCCAGGAATAGATGGTAAATGGTGGCTGCCACTTCTATCCTGAGCCATTCTGCAAATTTCTGATACTCGGGACTCAAGTCTTCAAGCTTCTCTTTGCTTCGGATCTCGGCAAATAGTTTGGTCAAGCCATTGGCCTCGACAATATTCCTTCGGAATTTCTCCATGTAGGTGTCCAGCTCTGCCGCTCGTTTTCTGGCAATGTCGTAGAACTTCCTCTGCTCTTCCAGTCGCCTTGCGTCCATCTCCTTTCGTCGTGCAATGTCTTCTAATTCTTCCTCATTGAGGCTAATCGGTCGAAGAGTTAGGAAGTCCGACATTGATTTCGACTGCGCGATATTTGGATTTTGCAAGAGAGTCCGTAAGAACGCTCTTAATGACACCCTTTGGTCCTCCCGATGTAGACGAACGGCTTGCGGGTTAGGGCTGGGACTTCTTTCTCGTGATAAACTCGTCCTCGGGGATGCTGAGGACTTGGGTGAGCCTGCCCCAACGTTGGGACTCAGAGAGCTGGACGACTTCAGACGTCGATGAACGGTCAAAAGGTTCCTCCCAGAGTCTTCCACGCTGGCTTCAGTAGATACGGAAGAGAGCGATGAGGTGTCGCCTTCCCCTGACTGCAGGACAGATGCCATTGTGGATGACTTGTTCTTCCTTGGGAGAGGAGGGAGGATTTTCCCGGGCATCTCAGTCCGTAATCTCTTGTGCAACTTCACAAATTCACCATACCGTCTTCCGACGTATATTTCTGGCCGATCGGGTCTTTTAACTCGTATCAGGAACTCGGCGTGCTGATGGTAGCGGACGGTTCGCTTGACCGAGGTGATTCTCACACCGGCCACATTGACATCCCAGTCATTAATGAAGTTTCCTTCAGGGATGTTCACAACCAGGCCTTGCTCGTTCGCGCCTCGTTCCACAACTTCCATCTCGGCAAAACGTATTCTCTCTTCATAACCAGAAGCCGTGGGAACACCAGACACCATCATCAGCTCTACCAATTTTTCCGACTTTCTTGCCAGTTTCTTTCTCTTGGTCTCTTCCAGCCGGTCTTCTGAGGAGGAGATGTATTTACTAGCGAAGGATTCGAGGAATGTCTGTAATTTGTCTTGCCAGAATTCCTTCTCTTTCGCCTGGTCGAGGAAGGGGAAATTTCGGACATGGTTGACAAAGATGTACCGCAGGATGGGCAACTCAGAGTCCATGGGCGAGACTTCGCCATATTGCGAACGAAATGGAGCGCCGAACCGTTGCAGGGCAGTCGGACTGCTCAATTCGGCGATCTCGTCCGATACCTGGCGGGAGATGAGTTCTCGCTTGAGATAATGTTCTTGTTTCCCCGTCAAGAGTTGTCCCGCTGGCGGTATCGAGCCGCTTGGTGAGGTGGGAGCGTCGACACTGATCTTGGGAACCTTGACATCGCCATTGGCCTCGAGGGTGTTCTCGGGTTTGTCCGCGGGTTTCGCTTGGACATTTGTGACAGTGTCCTGAGCAGACATTTTGGACGGATGGGGCGAAGGGTAGACGAGAGGAAAGGAGGTCAAGCACTCATCTCCCACGGGCGGTAAGGGCAACTTTTGAGCACATTAAGAAAGCTTAAGGAAACCCAAGGAACTGTTACGTGGCCCTGGGATAAAGCGACAAGTGCGCAGCAATGTGATGGTTACGAGAAGTCCGTGGTCAAACGATGATCTCCTCGTGGCCCTCGACGATAATGGTTTAGACTGATGAAAAACTACAAGCAGAATAGGATCACTGGATCACGAAATCCCAGTGTCACAGCCACTGTTGCTGTCATGGCTGCGCAGCAAGCTTCAAACCATGGTCGCAGATGGGCGTGAAGCAGGTGCAGGATGACTGCGTCATGGGGCGGAAGGAAGATGGCCCACGGATGGCCTCCCGCAGCCCAAACTTGGCAGGGCGAGGCTTGATTGCCCAGCAAGTGGCCAGCCAGGGCCAGGCAAGGGCCCAGGAGGTCCTTTGGTTAGGCGCCGCAGAGGGGGCGAGGGGGCCTTTCCGGGGTGTCGAGGGGTCAAGTTCACATCCAGGGGTGTGCCGGTTCAAATGACGCCGACCTGTCAAATCCACAGGGCACTGGCACAGACACTTCGGTTAGAATGACAGCTAAATGACAGTGGCAACTTCCACATCACAACCGACTGAACGAGCACATCATCGCATGCGCGTCCATTACTATTTGCGAGGCGGAGCGAGACTCCGAATCAACAGTGTTCACCATATCAGTCCAGTGGGAAGTTTTCGCCCTCGACTTGATTCCTTGGGAGGTTGAGACACTTTGCTGCCCCATGATGGTGGGCTTGCCTTATTGTCCCTAGAGTACTACTGTGTACAATCGGACTCCTGTGTCGCACAAGGCTGCCGATGATGACGATGACGACGACACAGAAAACCAGGTAAAATGGTCTGGGCACAAGCACCTTGGAAGTTCAATGATTTGCCCCCTACCTCACAAAACATACACCAACTTTTGACCGCTCACTTTGTCATGCCTCAACAAATCGCAACCCTCCAAGACGTTCTCGAGCCCCTTGCCCACCTTTGGGGGATGAACTTTCAAGCGTCCCTGCTCCAAAATCGGCTGAACTTCTTCGATCCACGTCTTCATAAACTCGAAGTCTTTGGCATTGTCTTTACTCTCAAAAGACCTCTTCTTCACAGGATCCCCAGTTGCAGTGTATCCCAAACTGTAAGTGGTCCTGACATCCTTACGCGGGAATTCAACGTTCAGAATCGCACCGTAAGTCCCCCCAGGCGATATCACCTCTGAACAGAGCTGGGCTGTTTGGGGCAGGGAGATCGTGTCCCAGATGTACTTGAGATTGTTCTTGGTATATTCTTTGATCTTGGTCGCACACTCGGGATCGTTGTAGTCAAAAGCTTCCACTGCTCCCAATGATTTGACCAAGTCAAAGTTACGGGGGGAGCAGGTGGTGATGGGCGTATATCCAGCGCTATAAAATCAGCATCAACAAGTCCTGCCGCGGCGTCTCGAACTTACAGCTTCGCAAACTGGATCCCAACAGTACCGGTCGCTGAGCTGCCTCCATAGATAAAAATGAATTCCCCTTTCGTAGATGGCTGTGAGGGTAGGTCCAGGCCCATTTGCTGAAAGAGTCCTTGCCCACAAGTAACAACAGCGACGCCTAACGTTGCGGCTTCTTCAAACGACATGTTCTCTGGAATCCGCATCTGCACATCAGCCTTGACTGCGATGCGCTCAGCGAACGCCCCATCCTCAGGTTGCAACTCATTGCAACCATGCGCAAAGCCGCAAATTCGATCACCCACTTTCCATGGTTTGGAATAACCGGACCCAGTCTCTGCAACGACCCCAGAGTAATCACAGCCCACCAGGAGACCTTTATGGTTCATCCAGTCTATGTGTTTCCAGTCGGTGGGGTTCAACGCAACTGCCTTGACGTCGACAAGAAGGTATCCTGGTCTGTGCTGGGGGTAAGGCCTGTCGGTAGCCAGATGCGCCTTTCCAGGCTCACCATCCTGTACAACGGCCTTCATTGTAGCGATTCTGAACGTGTTTCACACTGATGGCAGACGGAAGATGCAAGAAGAGGGTGGATTGAAAGTCAAATATGAGGATAACGTGAAGAAGTTGTCGTCTTCCTGAGTATGGAAGGAAAATCTGGAGAGACCTTTTAGAAAACATGTCGGGGAACGTATGCCAACCTGTGCATCTCTAGCAAGTGGATCTCCCAACACGCTGACTATCCGGATAGACAATACTCCACGTCCCATCTATTGTGTACGCTTTTTACCCGGGCGCTCGATTCTGGAGAAGCTGGATTTCAAATCAGTACAGTCGCAAGGTTTTTTTTTGGGGCTGCCTTTAAGGCGAGCCGCGGGCCGCGGCATACAGATACCTGCTATCTTTGCTGCTTAGACGTCCCCCAGGCCATAACTTGAAGCGGGGTGACGGATAGTTCTTTAACCCTAGCATGATAGGATCTGGGGCATTTTGTGGTCTCAATTTAATCCAGGAGAGAAAGCACTTACCTAAAGGTAATTCGTGACATTTTATGTTCAGTCGAATGTTCCATGATCAAAGAGAATAACCAGCACTGAGGATAACTTGTTATGCGAATTATTGTGAGCCAACCTGACAAATTATGTCCGTCGCCAAGCGATGGTCATGTTTCTTCGTTAATCTGTCCAGTCACCAAAAGGGTGTATGAGACTGCTGTGAATGCTTATAATCTCATCCGTTGATGCTCACGTGCGTGTTGAAAAGGCTGTCGTCTGCATATCGCCAATGATGTCTGCCGTCCTCCAAAAGAGAAACGCGTGGACTTTTTCTCGTCGGTTCACGAAGCTCTACCTAGGTAGATTGGGGGATTTCACGGCAATCGCCTGGGTAGCGCAGAGAGCGCCTGTCAAATCCCGGCGAGTTCTCGGCTTGTTAGCCTTGGGTTTCGTCGATCCACCTCGTCCAAAAGAGGGTGGATGGTGGCAGAAACGAAACAAGTCGTCGGAAGTTCAGTATATGCCCGGCTTGTGAGTAGTTACATTGGCTGCGACAGAGCCGTGGTCATAGGGTCAAGCGGTATATTCTATGTCAGGACTGGGGTACGAGGCTTTCAATAAGCTCTTCCACGTGCAAGCAAGCCAATACCAAGGCACTCGGTAGTCCTCAGCATGTTGAAGTAGGCCACTGCACACGCCCCTCTATGGACCACAGCCTCGCTCAAATGCGACGAGGCTGCAAGCTCCTTAAAGCGGCCGGCCTATCCCCGCAACTTTTCCCCGAACAAAATAATTTTTCCACGACGGCCTCAACCCTGTGTACGTCCTTCCTACCACCTTAGAGCTGTCACCATTACTCTTCTTTCTGTCTTGAAATCAACCCGTGAATCATGGTCCGTAAACTCAAGCACCACGAGCAGCGACTCCTCCGCAAAGTCGACCTCCTCACCTACAAATCCGATGGTCCTTCCCACCGCGAAGCCGCCGTGCGACGGCGCTACCATCTAACCCACCCGCTCGACTATTCCAAATACAACACCCTGTGCGGTCGACTGAGGCAACTTGCGCACCTGCTGTCGAACCTCGAGCCCACGGATCCGTACCGTGTGGAAATGGAGACGGTCATGTTGGAAAAACTCCACCAGATCGGGATCTTGAAGCAGAACCGTGGCCAAGGGGCGGGACTGTCTTCTGTGGAAAAGGACGTGACGGTCAGTGCATTCTGTCGTCGCCGGCTGGGGATAGTGATGGTCCGCATCGGGATGGTGGAACACGTCGCCACGGCACACAAGTTTGTCGAACAGGGCCATGTAAGAGTCGGCACTGAGGTGGTTACCGATCCGGCCTTCCTTGTTTCGAGGGGAATGGAGGACTTTGTCACCTGGGTGGACGGAAGTAAAGTGAAGAGGCAGGTTTTGGAATACAGGGAGAAGTTGGATGACTTTGACTTGCTGTGAGGTGATCAAAAGTTGGAACTCGAGGCTTGTTTGCAGCATGCGAATCGCGTGCAATCTCAAACCCTTCCAAAAATCACCACAGGATCTACACGGGTTTATGAGCACCCGCTGTTTGAGATCCGAAGGAAGTGCAGATCGAACAAAACAAAACCATGCAAGTGGGGTGGACGCACGAGGCACAGGCGTCTGAGCACGACTCGTGACCCTCTACGCCCGAGGCGGGGGCTCTATACTACGCCATGCTCAACTCTCAACCCTATTTTGTTGAACGTCAAGAAGTCAGACCTAATGGCGAACATCAATCACGGGGTGTAATGCACAAGATTCGTCGTCGATGAAGATACCAGTCGGACGCGCCACTCAGCAAATCTTGCGATGACAACGCAGCCGGATTCTCCTGCGTCAGTCCCCGAAGCCTTCGCTCATCTGCAAGGACTGATAGGCGCTTTACTCAAACACTCCACGAGAAAGGAAGTGGAATTGGGCTCCTACACGAGAGAGACCGCAACACGCAATAACGAGGGCGCGCGTCGGCCCTGTATTGAGGCACTTTGCCCGATTGTCTCAACTGGCTACCTATGTACAATTATGTACACGGTACAACTCCGGACCTTGACTGCTCATAGTCAGTCTGATTATCGCGGTATCTCCATGTCTTCCTGGACAATATTCGGCGCATTATATGTTATCAAATTTTCGGACATGTTGACTGTGCCGGATACACGAGGATCAAAACAAACGCATGCTAGACCGATCGCTGTACCCCCGGAACAATGCAATATGAGACTGCTGCAGATGAGTGTGATATGGAGCTGGATTCGACCAGGGCCTTCCGCTCTGCTCTAGCTAAGAAGCCTGAGGCAGCTACCATTGCCGTTATAAGGCGAAGCACGACCATTTTCGACTTTTGGCCCGGTCCTTTACCCCGTCTTTGGTACCTCGGGCTCTGATAATCTCACGGTCGGCGTCTCCCTCTTCCGCGCCCACTTCCTCTTTCACTCTTGGAACACTCTTCTCATTCTCAAACTCGGTACCTTGGGGGATCTTTGGGGTTTCATCCCCTTCTGTCTGGTGGTCTGTGTCACTGTCATCATCGCTGACATCCAACCGAAACCTCCTCACGCTGTCTCCATCACATTCACCTGTGAAGAAGCCCCTGCGTCCACCCTTGGTTCGAAGACGCCGGGGCAGGACTCGACGCAGAAGACCCCTGACCCCGCTGTGTGCGCGGTCGATTTTCTCGTACTCGGCGCGTCGCGTTGCATTGGAGGTCCAGGATATCACGGTATTTAGGGTTGGCCGTTCCGGGGTCGCGGTGGGTGGGACAGAAACTGACTCGGAGCGACGGGTATTGATGTGGGACATATGTGGTAGGGTATCCGAGCGCAAGTTTGGAGGACGATCATTTCCGCTGGCAGGAAGAGCATAAGAGTATCCGTAAGTATATGGATATTGAGTTGGCTGATCATGGTGTTGATATTCGACAGCGGTTAGTTTTGCATCGATCCTCTCACAGATGCGCCGGATACTGTCCTGGTCCGGGTCGTCCTCGGGGATTATGGAGGCATGCCGGGTTGTTGTTCGCGAGGTCGATGTGCTCGGCAGAGGCGTGATGTCCCGACTCAAGGCCAAAACTCCGTCCAGGGAGGAGAAAAGCTGGCAGCTCTGGCGATGCAGCGATATGGAGTCCTTGCGTGATCGAGGCTGTTTCCTCGCGAGACTGCTTTGTCGGGAGGGGATGGAGATGGAGTTGTGCCGCGAGGGTCTCGGGCTGGGTCGAGGATCGGATGCTTTCGAAGTGGAGGTCGATCGGGAGCATACCGTCCTCGACCTGGGTCGTTTATGCACAGGTCCATGCTGGACTAAACAATCTGATGTTATAGTGGCCTTCTGGGAAGGGGAGCTCCAGCACTTGGAACTTTGTTCGGTGACGTTTGAAATGGCGGAGTGGAAAGACTCGGTGTCTGATGCCTCCACGGTTCTGTCACAGGGAGTCGTCATGTCGTAGCGTAAGCTCATTATTCGTATCGTCGTCATGTCATTCATTGATTGCGAACCAAAAGTGCAGGGTGTTATAGCTGGAGTGGCGGTCTTCAAAGAGGGTCTGGCGTCCCCAAGATGTGACCTTCTGGACCGTTTGATTCTTCAGAACAAAGGAAAACAGTAACCACTGCGAGAGAGGGAGGTCAAACAGTTGACGCAGGGCATCGATAGCGAGGAAGACCTCCTCATGCAGAATGCTTTATATCCATATTACCTCGAGCAGCAGCACCCGCCATGTCACCCTGTGGGCGTGCAAACAGCTTGAAACACCAGAGGTAGGAAGAGCAAATGCAGGGTATTGGGAGAGAGAGAACCGAAAAATTCATGCAGCAAATAAATTTAATTTAGAAAATGTCCCCCGATTTCTGGACGAGGGTTGATTATGCACCAGTAGGTCATCTGTCACGACTCACTCGTCCAGACCTGCAGGAACGGAGTCACCTGTTTGGGAAGAGCAAAGATTGCCTAGGAGAGGCGAGGAGGAGTGCAGTGTAGCAGGGCGGTCCATGATCTTCGGTGGGACACGCTTGTTTGAGGTCTAAGCCTCGAAGGCGAGAGGGAGGAGTTTTGCCGTTTTGCCGCCACGTTCGAGGTTGGTTGCTTCCGACTTCGTGGTGCTGGTGCAGAGGAGTGGATGAGAGGGCATGGCATAGGCTACTTTTCTTTTCAAACGAGAACCAATTGGGCGCTTGTGGGCGGTTGATGATGCATGGAAATGGAGACGGGCATTGCTGAGGTAGATCTCCGACATACTGTAGTTGCAGAAACTTGGAGGGAGGGGATGTCGCCATCGGCAATAATGAAACACCAGACAGAAAGAGGCATAGTTATATCCAATGAAGGGCCATGTGATTGAGGGATAGAAGTCAAGACAGCGGTGTGGTGCAGCAGGATGAACCTGACCCTCTCAAGGACCAAGGTTTGTTTGTTCCTCCTCTTGCAGATGGGTCAGTGGCCACAGTTTCGATGGGATGGTGGACTGGCGGCATGGCAGAGATGGAGATGGGGAATAGTTTGGCATAGACTGGCGTCGATTGGCGTAGACTGGTGCAGGTTGAACGACGGGTTGGCGTTGGATGCAATTGAAGTTGATGGACTCATGGTGGTCATGGTGGTGGCACAAGGTGCCAGTGTCGCAGTCTTGGCCGCACACCGCCTTGTGCCACCTCCATCACTGGCACCGTTCACCTCCACCAACCTCCAATCACGACCACTACAAAGCTAGCTAATTGACAGCTACTGGCCAACTACTGGCAGCTACTGGCAGCTCCTGGCAGCTACTGGCAGCTACCGAGAATGCGCTTTGTGCTTCCACTTCTCCCATGACTGGCTCACCGACGGCACCGCAACCACTATCGACAACAGCGTGGCAGCTGATCCACACGCCATCGGCACCAGGTGACTGTCCTTGCAGCCTTGTAGGTACGACATCAGGATCCCCTGGAGATGCTTCTTGCCAAACAGTCGCCGGATTTCGGTGGCTCCCGTATTGACCACCGTCTCAGGGTTCACCTGGGGCACATTGTGCCCTAATGCCGAGACTAGTCCGTTGGTGAAGGCAGCTTCGGTTGCGGCGATGAAGATCGAGGCTCCCACGTTCTCGCAGAACAGCGTCAACGAGGTCACGGCTGCCATATCCTCGACTCCCACCGCCGCCTGATTCATGATCATAGGCACCTGCAATGCAAGACCCACGCCCATACCCGTCAGGATCTCGAAGCCTATCCACGACCCGAGACCAGCGTTGGCGTCCAGCGTGTGAACCATGACCACCCCGAGAGTTCCCGCGACGGCGCCTATCACGAGGAAAGGCGTGTAGTGCCGCCAGAAGGTCAGTAGCCCGTTGGCCACGAAGGTACACGCAGAGACGGCCAGGATCAGAGGGATCAGTCGAAGCCCACTTTCTGATGCGGATGCATTGCCGACAGACTGGAACTGGATAGGCAGGGCGAACGACAGCGGAAAGAATAGGCCGGCAATCAAAAACTGAAAACCCAGGCTGACAACAATTGACCGTTTCTTCAACAGATGGGTCTGGATCATGGCTCGACTGCCCATCTGCCACTCATTGATGCTGAAAACAACAAGCAGAGCCACAAATCCTGCCAAGCTGGTGATGACATGCCAGCTGCTCCACGGTGATGAGATTCCTCCTGTGTCCAGTGCGAGCACGAGGCAAACCATCGAACCTATTTGACGACCCTTGTATTAGCCGGGCTGTCGAAGCAGCTTCCGTTCTTGCAAAAGAAAGCACCTACCCAAGACAAGCAGGCTGCCAGTGAGATCTAGCGAGATCAGCTTCTCCTTCAGGGGCACCTGTATGGCCTCAGGCACCGACGGCACCTTGACGGTGAGCGCCGTGGTAGCCGCAGCCAAAGCCCCGACGGGCAAACTTATCCTGCGGAAAAGCGTTAGTCTTCGCAGCTCAGAACTATTGACTCAGGGAGCACGGAGTGCTCACCAGAAGCACCATCTCCAGCCAGGTCCGTCGGTGAAGACACCGCCCAGTAGAGGCCCAACCACACTCGCGCACCCAAACGTTACCCCTAGTACTCCCATGTACGCGGCTCTGTACTGTGGTTTTGCACTGAAGGCGATAATGATGAATGCTCCTGCCATGGCTCCTCCACCGCCCATTCCGGCAATGACTCTGCCCAAGATCAAGACTGAGCTGTCGGGAGCCACGGCACATATCACATTGCCCAGCTCGAAGATGAAGACGGTGAGCAAGAAGGTCCATTTGAACGGGAAGTACTTGTACTGCTCGCCGGTTCGGAGACTGATTAGCTTCATGATCGAGTCCCGGGCCTGAAGCGCAAACCCGGGAATTGCCAAAACTTACAGCTTTGCCCCAGGTTGATTGAAAAGCCGCGTTGGTGATGGTGTAAGCCGACCCGTACCAGCCCACGTCCTTGACTGTGCCGAACTGATCCGTGATCCTGGGGATGGCGGTCGAGATGATCGACGTGTCCAGGGCCGACAGGAAAATAGTAAACACCAGTCCAATGGTCAAAAGGACAAACCGCAGCCCCGTGGGATAGTCATGGTCCCGCTGCTGCTGTAGAGGCGGGTCTGTGGTGTGCTGGCCCTCATCCGCAGTGGTCGTCGGGTGCTGAAGCTCGAGACCTTCGTTGTCGTTTGGCGTCGTCCCCACAGAAGCCATGGCTCTCCCAGCTGATAATAGGAGACACCAGGCACTGGCAGCTTGGAAAACAGTTATAAAGGGAGCAAGCTATTGTTAGATAGATCAAACTACGATGGATCACTAAGTGAGTCACGGCCTCCAACTGCACGTCCCATTGGGCGGCGACTTACCGAGTACTACCTATCGACAGGTGAAGTCCGTCATTATCATTACCTAGGTAACCAAGCATCCGTCGGCAAGGGATGTTACGCTCCGTACATGAGAGGACATTGGAAGTTTTCGTAGTCTTACGGTGCTACTTACGGTGTTCTACATAGACGGCTCAAAGGGTCTTCGGTTATGTACTTAGAGACAAGCGATGCTCATATTGCCGAGGCAATATGGAGCTATATTGTATACGTTGATTCCGGGATGTATCAATGTGTCCAGAGCAGTGTCGCAGCAGAGCAGTGTCGCCGAGTACAGGAACTGCATCACAAGGTGCGTCAACAGTCCGTAGGCGGAAACACCTCATCACCTCTCATTTCATCTCCTCATCTGTCCTGGGTCGGCCGGCGTTCCTCTCGACGCTGGCCTCGACGTGCTCGGTCATGAGCTCCTTGACGTGCTTGATGAAGATGACCGCGACAATGGCCAGGACCACGAACGGGATAATGCTTGCCCACGCCAGCCGGTAGGCCCTGGCGTAGGCCCAGTCGCGCGCGTCCAGCGCCTGGTCCAAGATGGTGGCGTTGAGGCCGCGCACGGCATCGAAACCGGTCCCGGCCCCGATGGCCTCCAGCAGGTTTGGCACCGAGCTTGCCGGCAAGCCCGCGCCCGTGGCCGCCTTGGTGACGTCCCGAGCAAGGGTGGAGTCGATCTTGCCGTTGATGATGGCGTCGAGGACCGCCGACCCGAAAGCGCCGCCGATGGCGCGGGCCGACAGGGCAAAGCCCGACGCCGTGGCGATGAAGGCATGCGGCGCGGCGAACTGCACCAATGCCAGGATCAATGTCAGGGGGCCCGACTGCCCGATGCCCGCGAGCACGGCGAAGGCGTATTGCGCGTGGTTCTCCGTGGGCTTGATTGTCGCATAGAAGATGCAGACGATCAGGAAGACAGTGTATGTAAAAATGAGGGGATTCTTGAGGTCTTTGTACTTGGTCGAGTAGAGGCTGCGAAACCGGATTAGAGACAAGCAGTGGAGTGATAACATGGACCGAGGAGAGAGGACTTACACCATGGGGATTGAGAAGAACAAGGCTGGGAGCTGGTACGCCAACGTGCGGATGGCGATTTGCCAGGACGTCGTCTCCCATCCGAGATTGAGTATGACTTGAGGAGTCACACTGTTGACGGCGCTGTAGAAGATCCAGCTGCGGTCGAAAGTTAGTCATGTCAACGTCGACAGCCTTGATGTTCCTGAACGGCTTACCCTTCAACTGCAAAGGCAAAGACCGCCAGAGGGAAATTGTAGCCGTCCTTGAACATGACCTAAATGGAATCATCAGCGCCAAAGAATCGCAGTGGGCAGCCAGGTGGAAATGTCTCTACTCACATGAGCAATAATGCCATCAGTTCTTCCTTTCCATTCTGCACTCAACACATTAGCAATTCCTCGTCAACAACGCTTCAAAGTGTTCGGCGGGAGAGAGGAGTTCACCATATATTCCGAATAATATCAGCAGTACCACGCCAACGACAAGCGGAGCGATGACATGGGTGTCATGCCACGAATACGTGCCACCAGTCCAATCCAAAGCCAGGATGGTCAGGGTGGCGCCGCCGACAAAGAGGACCGCACCGACGGGATCGAGCGACCACAGGACCTCCATGAAAGTCATCTTTGGATAGTCAGATCGGCGAGGCGGGAAGTAGAAGGCCAGCATCAGGAGCACCGTGGCGCCGTGGAAAGCCGCTTGCATCCAGAAGATGTTTCGCCAGCCGCCCTGATCGGCGTTGGTCACGGCGCCGGCACCGAGTTGCCCAATGCTTCACAAGATTTGTCTTAGCAAAGTTATCAGCCAAAAGAAAACCAAACACTTACAGGCCTCCAAAAGCACCACCAAGGAAGTTGGCCCCGTTGGCTATGGCGCGGTACTTCAGGGGCAGGACTTCGGCTGGGATGGCGACAATAATGCCCAGGGACGACAGGCCCACCCCGATGAGAATCCCTCCTCCTATCAAGGTGTTCATGGAGTTTGCTGTGGCAGACACGACGGATCCAGCAAAGGCAACCGAAAGCTGAATGCAGGCCAGGTATTTGCGGTCTACCACATCGGACAGCCTCCCTATGATGGGACACAGGACGCTCTGCACCAGGAGCGGGCCCTTCACATAGAGTATCAGTGTCTTTGATTGCGGGTCGTCTGAAAGAAACGAGAACACTTACTTGAATGATCCAGCCGGCCAGTCCGGGATGACCCAAGTCTCGAATGATGAAGGCAATGACCGAGCCAGCGGCAACCACCACAAACACCAAGGTCAAGTTGCTGCTCGCGGTCAACCAGGAAGAACTGGCGAAACCCTCCCAGGAGGAAGGGGAGGTGGATCTTACCCAAACATGGTGACGAGCACCACGAGCCATGATCGCCAGCCGAGCGCGACATGCGTGTCGTCCAGGTGAGAATCGGTCCTGGCAATGGCGTCGTTGACTTCCTTGACATGCTCGACGGTCGACTCGTGGTGCTCGCCCAACGGCTTTTCCACAATTTGAGCAGGGGCCACCTGCTCGTTCTGAGCGGAATGCATGGCTCCGCTCATGATCACAGATTCGTTGAGGTATTAAGGGAGAGATAGAGGAGACACACACGCAATGAAGAAAGATGTACAAAGGGGGAACTGTGAAGACTGACCTTCAAGACCTGGGGCTGGGATTCTTCAAGGAGCTTGCTGATATGATGACAAGAACGGACCAGGCTGGCACTCTCCGGCACTGTGCCGAAGACCATACTGTCGGCAGTTGTTCGACAAGCATCTAGCAGCGTGCTGATTCGCGGTTTCTTCATCTTGCCGGAAGTTACCCCCGCAGGAAGGTCTCGTGGCATAGTCTCCGAGGTCTAATATAGAAGCAACCCCGAGAACGTGTCGCAGGGAAGATCGCAGGGCGGCCCAGTAGCCTGGGAGGCCTACCCAAGGACGACCGAGGGAATGCACCCATTGAAACAAAAGAACCATGCGATCTATACCGTTTTGGGCCACGCCAAGACCGGCTAAAGGCCGACCTTGCCGTTCCGGGCGTGCTCGGCATATCTCTGATTGGTCCATCTCCAACCAGCCTGCGGGGGAGGAGAATCTACCCCAGAGTCTATTATCTCCCCGCCTCTGGGGGCAGGTCGGCAGTTGCAGTTGATTCTGCATGAGGAGACAACAAGGCTCTGGCTGTTGCTGTGTCCTCGGGTAAGCATAAATCAGGTAGGTTCCCCAGTGGCTTGCAAGGGAGGGAGGGGGGTGTAAGCAAAGCAAAGCAAAGCATCTAAGCAATTTCCAAGCAATTTCCAAGCAAAAACTTGGCCTGTTCACCGCCCGCAAAGCCAGCGCAGACTTAAGCTCTTTTGGCTGGAAATCAGCCTCTGCTGCCTTAGTTTCCTTCTCCGGGTGAACGCCTTGTTTGGACGACGAGTTCCCCCTTCACTATTTCACCATGGCGATGTCAACGCCGCTGACTCAGCAGGCTGTCTCGCCCGTCTATCTGCTCGTTGGCGGTCTCGTCGCTGTTCTTCTCTATCTCTTCATCCAGAGCAAGAGGGCAGGACTAGACCATATCCCGGGACCGTGGCTGGCCAAATATACCAATGCTTGGCGCGGGTTCCAGGCATGGCGGCTCAACCACCACAACGAGGCAGTCAACAACTACCAGATCAACATGATCGGCCGCTATGGAGACGTGGTCAGAATCGGTCCCAAGCATGTGCTGGTCTACGACCCGGAGGCTATCGACACGATCTTTGGCTTTCGAGAACGCCTTGACAAGGCAAGTACCCTACCCGGCCCTCAGGTTTTTTGTTTTGTTTGATTTGTCCTTCAGACAAGACCTCCCCCCAAAAGCTAACTCGTACTCCCGAAATCATCAGGGCCCGGGATACCAAGTTTTCGTCATGACCGGCACGGACCAGACGGCGTTGGTCAGCATCAAGGATGAGAAGACTCACGGAATCTACCGACGGCCCATCGCTCATGCGTATTCGCTGTCATCCCTCAAAGGCTACGAACCGTACATTGACGAAACGATTGAAAAGCTGATCAAGGAGCTCGACAAGCATGACGCCGACGGCACGCCCATCAACATGACCCGTTGGCTTCAATACTGTGAGTCCCCACCGTATCGCCTCACTGGCACCAGCCATCAGTATCTGACTTTTTAAACACCTTAGGGGCTTTCGACGTCATGTCCAAGATCTCGTTCGGCGAGCCGCTCGGGTTCCTGGACCACGGGTACGACTTCAACGGCATGATCCAGGCGCAGCGGGAGAACTTCCGGTACATCAGCGTGGCCAACAACTTCCCGCTGCTCGACACACTGACGAAGCGCAACCCGCTGTTGAAGTGGGTCACCAAGAAGCCGAGCATGTTCTTCACGTTTGCGCGGCGGGTGGTCAGCGAGCGGCTGGCGCAGGCGTCGTCCAAGGACCCGCAGGACGCCGAGTTCGAGGCGCAGTCGCGGCGGCACCAGGACCTGCTGGGCAGCTTCATCGCGGCGCGCAAGGCGTACCCGCTCATGACGGACCTGCGCATCACGCACCTGACGGCGACCAACGTGCTGGCCGGGGCCAACAACAGCGCCCGCGCCATGGACGCCACCATCCACTGGCTCGTGGAGCACCCGGAGGCGCAGGAGCGGCTGCACGCCGAGATCCGCAGCGTCAACATGGCGGCCATGAAGCAGACCGACACCGAGGGCCCCGCGGCGCTGGAACTCGCCCTGAAAATGCCCTACCTCGACGCCGTGATCCACGAGTCCTACCGCCAGTTCGGCGCCCCGGCAAACAACCTCGAGCGCGTCGCCGGTCCCTCGGGCCTCACCCTGCCCAATGGTGGCGTACACCTACCTCCCGGGACGGTCGTCGCCATGAACGCCGCATCCATGGCCATGCTGCCGCACATCTTCGGCAAGGATGCCCGCGCCTTCAACCCAGAGCGCTGGCTGCAGCAACCGGGCGAGTCCGAGGAAGAGTTCCACAACCGCAAGATCCGCATGCACCGCTCCATGCTGGTCTTTGGCCACGGCAGCCGCAGCTGCATCGGCAAGAACATTGTCCAGCTCGAGCTGTACAAGATCTGGGCCACGCTGTTGAGGATCTACAAGGTGAGTTTTCCCTTTCCCCTCCGAATCTCTGGTCAATCCTTCCCGTCTTTATGGTCCTTGAACTACCGAGATATGTGTGTGGCTAACCAACATTCCTATAACAACCAACAGTTTGAACCCGCCCAAGTCAAGCTCCACCAGGTCATGACCATCCCGCGGCGCCGGGAGCAGAAGACCGAGAAGTCGGTCGAGATCTGATTAAATCCTGTGGTATCTGCGTGAACAAACATCTTGTCAGAGCATTCCATATCATGTATCAGGCTTTATTTCTTGAGGGGAGACTTCCTATACCAGAATTACAATTACAATAAGGTGTGAGTTGAGTCGTCTAGCTCTAGAGTGGATGGATCTATAATACAAAACCTTTGGGTTGCAAGGGTATAGAGAACATGAAAACCCACGCTCCTTTTCTTCTTTTCAAACATCTTGCGCGTCCTTCCGCTCGGTGATCTCTTTGGGGTTCCCAGCTTTGCCAGCCTGCTCGCCTGCGCGGACCTTCAAGCTGCGCCATTCGACAAAGACACTGCCGAGGATGGTCACCGCGCAGGTCGCCGTGATCAGGTAGAAGACGTCGACAATGGCGTCGTTGTAATCCGCAAGAAGCACCCGCAAGTCTCGTCCGCCAGCAGCCAGCAGGTTCCGCAAATTCGTGGCACCCGCCTTGGTCACGGCACTGGGGTCGACGCCCGGCAGATTTGTTGTCACCTTGGAGACGAGGCGGTTGAGGAAAATGTTCTCGGCAACCGGCACGAAGATGGCGGAGCCGAGGAAGCGGACGAACATGATGACGGCAGATCCAGTGGCTATGTCGGACTTGTCCAAAATGGTCTGGACGACGTTGAACCCTTGTTGTGCGCCGAATCCTAGACCCAGGCCCAAAAGCACCTGATAGCCGATCCACTTCGGGTGTTCGGTAGTCGCGGTAAAGGTGGACAATAGCCCGGCTCCGATGGACGTGACGACGGAGCAGAGGATGAAGAACGGCGCGTAGTAGCCCACCCGGCTGATGATGATGCCGGAGGATATGGAAGCAACGACCGAGGACAGAACCAAGGGGAGCAACATGATGCCGGATTTGACGGCGTCGACGCCCTTGATGGCTTGGAACCAGATGGGGAGATAGTACACAGTGGCCATGAGTGCGGCACCGTTGAAAAAGGAGAACCAGATGGCCGCCGCCACACTGCGCTGTTTGACGATCCGAGGAGGCACGGTGCCATCTTCTTGTTTCCAGAGTTGGATGCCCACAAAGGCAAGGCAGAGAAGAACGCAAAGCACAAGGAGAACGATGATTCGAGCGTTGTTCCACGCATATTTGGTTCCTCCCCATTGGAGAGCCAAGATCAGACAGACGATACCAGGGAAGAATACGAGGTTGCCCACTGGGTCGAGCTGCTTCAGCTTCCCGAGGAGCCCTGGAGGGCGAGCATCGAGCTTCTGATTGGAAAGGCGCAAAACGAATGTGGTGACGACAACGACCACCGCTCCAATGGGGAGGTTGATATAAAAGCACCACCTCCAGGTAACGCTATCAGTGAAGGCACCTCCGACCAGAGGGCCGATGACAGACGCAACCGCAAAGATAGCTCCAAAGGCACCCTGCCAAATCGGCCGTTGCTGCAATGGAACGGTGTGAAACATGATGACCATGACGCCTGAGAACATGCCCGAAGCTCCCAGGCCTGCAATGGCGCGACCCACGATGAAGGCTGCAGAGGTCGGAGCTGATCCGCATACTGCTGAGCCGACTTCGAACAGCACAATGCCAGAGAGGAAGACCGGTTTCACTGGGTAGAACTTGTACACCTTGCCCATGAGAAGCTGAAAGCTGCACATGGTGAGCAAGTAGGCGCTCCCATACCATCCGATATCTTCGATAGAATGGAACTCGTCGGTAATCCGTGGGATGGCAGTGGATATGATGTTTTGGTCCTGGTGTTGAGACGGCTGGTTAGCGAGGGAGGGCCCAGACTAGGACTTCAAAGAAGTTTGACTTACCAAAGTCACCAGGAATATTGAAAGATAGACAGCCAGCATGATGACGATGCGTTTCTGCATGCTAGGATATCCATCGGGTGCTCCAGGGCTCTTTTGCTGGGTCTGGTCCTCTGGACGATGTTCGCCGTCTTGGGTAGCGGTTTGCGACATGGTGGAACGAATGACTGACACTGGTTGAAAAGGAACGAATGCATGTCATGAGACACTCTAGAGTAGCCATCTCTGCAGACCTGGATACCTCACCTCTTAAGTACCTGCTTCGTTGGTCGACGCCTGTTGTGTTCGAATGGCCCCTTTTCCTTCTATTCGCGTCGCTGCTCGGGGCTCAAAAGGTCAGTTTTCGACTTCCGAGCGCCGAGGTCAAGGACCGGCCAAGTGCAAATAAACCCTCCCACTTCTGCAACAATATTATCTCTCCGACGACCGGGCATCATTCCAGGAGAGGCGAGTGTCAATATCGACTATGTCGCGACCCGTGGCCGAGGATCCAGCGGTAGCGGACGAAAATGGCAAGACTTTCTCCTGCTTGGGTTGTCGGCAGCGCAAAATCAAGTGCGACCGCCAGGCTCCGTGCTCCAACTGTGTCAAGGCGGACACACCATGCAGCTTCATTCCGCCTGTACGCGGCAAGCGGAAGAGGACAAAGCCTCCCCGGGAAGGATTGCATGCCAAGTTGAAGCGATACGAGGAGATGCTCAAGTCCTATGGCGCAAATATCGAACCATCTCTCGACAGTGATACCTCGGATGTGGAATCAGCAGCCAGGTCGGATGTGGGCATTCCCAACCATGCTGGGCCTCAAATCGAAGTTGTCCCTGGTGCTCCTGTGCCTGATGTAACCACCAGGTCAAGGCTTGTCACCAGGGAAGGCGGCTCAAGGTATTTCGACAGGTATGGTTGTGGCTTTCGCAAACTGGTGGTCGGCTACTAATGCCCCCATAGTGCTCTGTGGTCCAACTTAGGAGACAAGGTGAGACCAACGGCCGTGTTAAGCAGCTTTGCGTCTGATCAAAAGCTTCCAGTTTCGGCACCCGGACGAATACGCCCCTGATGGGCTCTTGGACGAGGCCAGCGTGAACGAATGTCCCCTCTTTCTTGGTTCGCCTTCCAGTGCCGCCAACACCTCAAGTCTTGTTGATCACTACCCTTCCGTTCAAGTCCTGCGCAAGATGAAGGATATCTATGTGGACCGAATTGATCCTCTCATGAAAATTCTGCATATCCCGACCTTCTGCTCCTCGTTGACAAACGCACTGCAACATCCGCAAGAGACGCCCAACAGCCTAAACGCGGCAATGTTTAGCTTCTGTCTAGCTACAGTCAGTGCCCTGGATGATGACGAATGTCAGAGTCTGCTGGGAGGACCGAGGCCACTCATGCTGGCGCGGTATCGAACTATGGCTCGGCAGGCATTGATAAATGCTGGACTCCTTCACACTTCAAGCCTCACGACACTCAGGGCATTTTCTTTGTTCCTTGTAAGTTGCGACACCGGGATGTTTCTATTCTCTCTACCCTAACTCAAGTAGATCGGTGTGAGAACCTCCAATCGACACGATACACAATACATCTTGTCAGGCGTGGCCGTACGACTCGCGCTCAAAATGGGTCTGCATCGGGATGGCGAGTCGCTCGGGCTGTCTCTTTTCGAAAGTGAAATGAGGCGGCGTCTCTGGTGGCACATTGTGCACATAGACTTTCGCGCCGCCGACATGCTGGGCATGAGACCGTGCCTGGATCTGTCCATTGGAGACACCAAAGTACCTTTGAATGTCGAGGACGAGGACCTCACTCCCGAAATGGTCGACCCCCCGCCCGAGCGCGACGGAATTACCTCCATCATCCTCTGCCTCGTCAGATGCGATATCATGGAGGTCCTACGCAAGCTTGCCTCACCATCGTCAAATGGTGCTTACTGGGACGTCCTCACGAGCCCTGATATCACAACCGCCCGAAAGGATGCCGTGATAAGCCACATGGAGGATCACTGGGAGAGAAAGTATCTCCGGTATTGTGATCCGTCAAATTCGCTCCATACATTTGCATCCATCATGATCAGGTCCTGCATAGCCAAGATGAGGCTCCTTGCTCACAGTCCACGACGACGGCTGGTTGGACGGCGCGTCAAAATCCCACAGGCAGAACGGGAAATTGTCTTTGCAAATGCCACAAAATTGTTGGAGTATGCCGTTCTGGTGCGAGGAAACCGGGGACTGCAAAAATACACATGGCGCATCAGCACGAGCTATCTCTGGGACACATTGCTCTGCGTCCTCATCGAGGCCCGACACCGCAAGCCGGGGCCAGAGGTGGATCGGTTGTGGCAGCTAATTGGCGTGGTGCTTTCGCAGTATCCCGAAGCTTTCAAGGAGTCCACTGGGGCTGTGTATGTTGCAATGGGTAAATGGACTTTGGAAGTTTGGGACGACTATGTCGCCGCCACCAAATCCGAGGGCCTCCCAGAACCAGTGGCGCCTGATTATATCAATGCGATCCGGCAGAGTTGGATATCTAGGTCGAAGCCTGCAGCCCTTGATCAAGACTTTGCCGGCTCCGCAAAGCTCCAGTCTGCGATGCAGGATCGAGCTCTACCCGAGCTTGGAACCCTCGACTGTTACAACTTTCCCGACCTTGTTTCCTTTGAAACGGACCCGAACGAATGGGTTCAATGGGAGCAGCTGCTTTCGGAACATAATGGCTTCGGCCAGATGGAGGACTTGTGACAAGTCATTGTGCTGCTCATGTTGACCTCACTCGAACTCGGGACACCGCACATGTCTCATCTGGGGCCATGGCGCACTTACACTGGGGTTCGATGCTGGCTTAAAGACATAAGATTTAGGAGATATGGAACAGGCGACGAGTTCATGAATGTCTTTATATCGAAACGACAAGCGAGCCCTGGCACCATCAATACCGTACCTAGCGAGCTAGGTACCTAGGTATCGAATCTGTGCAAGGCTGACAACAGCCTCGTCGTAGATTAGGAAGAGAATGCAAGAAACAAAGAGAAGAGAGGATAGAACATCAATCACAGCTCCGTGGGCTTCGCTAACCTGGGCACACCCTTGTCTGATTCATCTGATGCGAGTTCTTCTTGCATTGTCGGGTACTAGGTATTGATCGTGGGCCGACATTGGAAAAAGGATTGCATGGACAGCCACCGGGAACACTAGCTGACAATGCTAGACGGAAAGGGAGGCGCTGGAATATAGCCAACAAGAAGGCAAGAAGACGTTTAAAGTCGACAAAGTTAATACATTGAATAGTCGACTGACCCAACCGTTTCTCGTCCTCTCACCACGACCCTCGAAGCCATGCTCAACCGAGATCGACTCGAGCCAGTTCCGCCCATTGCCATGTCAGCGCTGCGCAAGGATCTGCCCATCACTGCAAAGCACACCCTTCACTCCTGATTTCGGATATATATGTACGAGAGCTGGAGTGTCGTGGTGAGGAAGAAGCATCGTTCCAGTGTTGTCGTGTACTTCACGATCAGGTCCAGTGGATGAATAGGCGTCAGTAGGACATATCTCCTTTTTGGTCTCCCTCCCACCATGGAATGCTTGTGACAGCGGCATGAATACTCAGAGTACTGAGCACATGTTCCCTATAGTCCCTTCTCCTCAAGAATGAGCTCCGTCAGTCCTCATCGTCATCTCCACCCAATCCGGCGTTCTTCCTCATCATGGCAACGTCGTCTTCAAGATCTTGGATCTTTCTCGCCAATTTCTTTTTCAAGATGGCATTCGTCGTTTTCTTGAGCAATTCCCTCTGCTCTGATATTTTGTTCTGCATGTCCTCGATTCTCTCCATGGCTTGTCGCTTGTTTTCATCGCCCTCCTTCTCGGCATCGTCGCGGTCTTCATCTTCGTCACCCGCATCTTCGTCTTCGTCCTCGTCAGAGGAAGCTTCTGGCGCTTCTGCTGAGACGGGGGTATGTGCTGCCGTCATAGACGGGGACGCTGATGTGCTAGTTACTGCGAAAGATGAGTCGCCGCCCGCTTCAGGAGGATGCAAGGTACTCCGAGCTTGTGCGGCAGTGTCTGTGGAAGGAGCGGCATCCTCGTCAAAGAACATGCGCTCAAGCGCATCGAGATCCTCTTGACCCACTTCCTCCTGGACAGGAGTCTCAGTAAGCATGGGTGTTTCTACCATAGAACCATGCACACCGGGCGGTATGTCGAAGTAATCCTCTGGTTCGCCCTCTGCATCTTCGTCTTCTTCCAGTTCGGTGCTGTATCCTTGTTCGTCGAGGCGCGGATCATGGTCCAGAAGTTGATACTTGGAGCTGAGGGCCGCCTTGTCCGCCTCGAGGAGAGCATGCACTCTCCGCTCAACCGCTTCAATATCATCCACACGAGCCCGTTTTGTCCTTGCAAAACGCCTCTTCCGTACCCATTTCATGGGGGCAGTGATGCCATGAGCATACTGATAAGTCTTGGGGTCAACATCTTCGGGGAGGGGATAGTTCCTGGCTTCCTCCTCGTTGTTGCAGCGGCCAAGCACCAATAGCATCTGGCAAATGTCTATGCTCTTGATCCAACCTTTCTTGTCCCAGGATTTCATTCCCTCAATGATGCATGGGAGATCTACCAGGGTGGTGGCGTACTTGTGGTCCTTGATCTGCAAAATCCCTCTCCTGCCTAGTGTATCGAGCATTCTTAGATTGACGTGTGCACCTCTCGCCAGTACCTGACTCGCTGTCCCGTCCTCGATCACTTTTCGCAAGTAATCACAATCCTCCCCAGGTTGCATTCGCAGAACAAAGCCTTCGTGTATGACTGGATCGACTTCACGGCCAACAAGCGTCTCGCCTTTGTCGTTCTGATATTCGCTCTCGAGTTCCGAGTCGTAGCCTACACCCAATGGTCGCTTGGGGATCTTGCCTTTGATTTTGAAAGCCAGGTGTGCTGTCCCCGTGGTTTTGGGTGCAGCTGCAGGAGTAGATAGGGAGGATTTCTTGAACGTGAGTTTTCGAAGTGCGGCCGGTTTGGGCGGTGCTGGGGCTGGCCGACTTCCTTCACCATCATCCTCGCCTGCGCGTGAGTCGCGTTTGCGTTTCTTGGAGGAGGAGCCCGGTGTTTCGGCGGGGGTATCTGTGTCTTTCTTCTTTTTCTTTGGCTTTTGAGCATCTTCAGGGGCAGTCCGAGGAGTGGTTGTGCCTGGGAGTTTGAGCTTGATGGATGGTGTCCTAACAGCACTTTGAGGTGTAGGGGTCTGCACTGGTGCAGGTTGAACTCCTCCAGCTTGAGAGGTTGCAGGTTTACTGGGGAACTTGAGTTTCAAGGATGGGCGCTTCACCTTGTCCGGGGGTGGAAAGGGTGCGTCCGCCATCTCGGAATCGTCGTTGTCGTTGTCGCTGCCGCTGTCGATTACAGGGCCACTTTCGTAGGAGGGAGAGGGAGGGTCATTCTCCTCGTTGGAATTACAGGGAACAGGAGAATCGTCGAGGAAGTGCTGGACTTCAGGCTCTAGTCTGACGGTAACAGATTTGTGTCTGCATTTCGTGACTGTTGATCCGTGATGGCTCTTTCTCACACCGGAAGATGGATCAGGCTTCAGGATAGATTTGGCTTGACGTTGTTGACGGTGGGCTGGACTGTGTAGACGGCTTTTGGGTTTGACTGGGGGAAGCTTGAGGGCTTTGCTCTCGCCATGCTTTGGCGCCTGATTCGCGGTGGTGGGGGGCTCGTCATTGGGTGCATCTGCCTCGCGAGGCGCCTGTGGTCGTGGGGCTGTGGCGATCCGGTTGTCAGCCGCCGCCGCCACTATAGGCGTTGCCGCCTGCTGGCAGGTGTCGTTATTGGTGAAGCCTTGAATGCCTGGGGAGCCTGGGGCTGTTGGCGGTGCAGCTCCATTGGCGGCAGCCCCGGGAAGCGGCATGCCATTTGACTTTGGCGAATTCTCTTCCGCACCATCTTGTACTTGTAGTTCTCGATTCGTCGCCTCTTCCTTCTTGATAAACGGGTTGTGGTATTGAACAGCGTCTCTCAGCGTGACTGGCCATCGAAACAGCAACTCAGGCCTGAGTCCAAGTCGCACAAAGGACGCTGATGGTGAATCAGGCAGCCGGTAGTGTTCCAGCTTTTTGCGCTTCACCCACCTCACCAGCGGGTTTGGAACTGGATTTGGATAAGCACGAAGAGCTGGATCTGCGACGGGCGCTGGATTTGCCTTCTCTCGTGATGACCTAGCCATCTTGACTATCTTTCTCGTGGAGTCTGCTTGAGCCACGAAAAAAATCTGTTCTATGTTTTGAGCAGAAACGCGTCAAGCCAGGCAGTGACAATGACTTCAGCCGACCTTCACACCGCGCTTTTACGCCCGGCAGTCCTCCAGATCCTGCGCGCCGCTGGCTTCAGCTCCGCGCGACCTGTTGTGATCGATACCGTCACGGATCTCGCAGCTCGCTACCTCCTCTTACTAGCGTCATCGACCGCTCAAAACGCGTTCAATACGCACAACACCTTCACGCCGACTATTCAGGATGTGAGACTTGCGCTGACCCAGGCCGGGGCGTTGACGCCGCAGATGAACACCGTGGAGGAGAGCTTGAGAGGCGATGTGGAGATTGTGGAGGGAGTGTGGGTTCCGTTCGAGGATTTACGAGGAGTCGAGGGGTTCGTGAACTGGGCGTATGCACCAGTCAATAAGGAGATTAGGAGGATCGCTGGCTTTGGTGATGATGTGAACGTAGAGGAGATTGCAGCAGGCTTGGACGAGCAAGAGGATTATGTTTCTGGTAAGTTCTCGGTCAGCTTGATCGTTCTTTTGGAATCGCAGAGAGGTGTGCTTGCGAAAGTGCGGCAGTCATGTGGTGGTGACAGAAATGTGAACTGACTTGTCGTTCGCCTTGAGCAGCGTTGAAGAAGCGCCACAGCAAAACCGGCGAAGAAGTTCGCTATCAGGGCACCGTTCTCGGCAAGGATACAGAATTGCAAACCGTGTCAATCGTGGGCGGCCCTGCTGCTTCGATTGCAGAATGGGCGCAAAAGTCTTTGGCCAGTAGGCGAACTTCTTCCAACCTGCGCCCTGGACAGGAAGAGGGTGCCACCCCAGCGACATCTGGCATCAGCAGTGCACCACTCACTCCGATTGAGTCCGAATGAAAGGGAGCTAGACGTTGGCATTGCCATCCATTTCAAAATCAAATCGTTCAGGTGCGGCAGACTTCACTGCTGAGTTGATATCACCCCTGAGAAGAGTCCAACCTCGCACAAATACAAGTGAGCACAATACCAGGCCCAAGATCCAATCTACATGTCCAGATTGGTAGCGACATCACGAAGCGCCGAGGCCGCAAGCCTTTCTCCCTGGGCCGGAAAAGACATGTATTGGATGAAGACATTCATGGAGGCTGATTCCAGCGTCGGTTCCCGAGCAGAATTGAACAACTACATTTCGCGGAGGCAATGGAACCAAGGAGCGCAGCATATTACACCACAAAGACCAGGACAGATCCCCCATCCGAGCGGCTGATATGGGACACATGAGTCGCTTACTGAAATAGAAAGAGAAACGTCAGATTGGTGCCATCGAACAGCAATCTGCACAACTTGAAAGGGGACTTGAACAGATCCCATTCTCAACAAGGATAATCATTAAATTGGCCAAAAAGTATCTGATCATAGATATTACACTATGCTTCACCCCAAACCATCCTTTCAAAGGACTCGACACAGTTCAAATGGCGAACCAACTGATAACAGAACCCGTTAGATGCACTCCTCGAACCAGTGGGTGATATAATCGCAGACTCCCGTTCGTATTCCTGATGTCCTTTCTTCCGCTGAAGACATAATCAATTCTCCTCCTCCATCTTCGCCCAGGCAGCCATCCTCTTCGGGGGAATGACAACACGATGTCCCACCGACGACGACGAAGGGCTCGTCGCGGCATTGTCGTAGCCAGACTCAGAGGCAGATAGCGCCGCGGGACCAAAATGCGTGACGAATGTCGTCAAAACGCTCCCGTCGCCGAGGGTGCTTATTGCGAACCAATCGCCTGTTGTCGGGGTTGCCGTGCCATTGGTCTGCTGGTTGGGTGATGGAGAAATGGCTGTAGACATCATGGCTGAGGGAGAAGCAAGAGAGGTAATTGTGGAACTATCTACTGCAGGCGATGTTTCTGTCGAGGAAGTAGGTGACGTTTCAATGGTAGCATTAGGAGAGCTGAGCGCTGTTGGTTGAGACACACTCCCCAGGCTGCCCGTCGACGTGGAGGTACTGTTCGCTGTGTTGAAATTGCCATTCCAGGTTGAGGCTGAGGGCCCGGTATAGTTCCAGTTCTCCCATATGTACGAAGGTGTCCAGGCACATGGTGTTCTTTTTGTGGCATTGGTCCAGTGCGGAGACGAGGTTATACTCGCTGGTGGAAGACCCGAGCTGCCGCTAACAGCTGTCGTTGTAGTGGCGGTCGCATTGAATAATCCTGTTGTATTTGAATTGCTAGGCGCCATTGCTGTGCTGGATGCAGTTGCATTAATAGGAAATGAAGAGACTGGCGGAATGGGAGAGATTGACGTCCAGGTTTCATTACCAGCTAACGACGTCGTGAGTGAGGGTGTAAATGACTCTGACGCTGTAACGGAGGCTCCTTGGGTTTCCGAGTTAATTGTGGATAATGAATTCGATATAGCTGAAATGATAGATGAATTGGAAGATGATGGCGTTGGAGCCAGTGGTTGACTGGTCGAAACAATGCTTGTCATGTTGTCGCCTATCACAATGGTCATGGTGATAGCTGAAGACTCTGCTGTCCATACTGAACCGGTCTCAGAGCCTGTGCCACTCAGCGGTGTCGTGCCTTGGCCAGAGGTCATAGATGAGGTATGATTACGCCATTCTGGGACAGTTGCTGTCATTGTGATCTCCTCTGGTGGTAGAGTTATTGGAGAAGGTGTAATTGGCGCCGGAGTGGCCTCTATCGTGATAGTGATCACAGTGCCACCGCCTTCTGGCGAGGTGTCCGTTTCAACCGGTGGGGTGTATCCCCAAGCTGGCGAGGAGATGTTGGTCGACAATGGACCATCAGTAGGCCGCCCTGTCGCCCATGCCGGGATCGTGCCGTTGTGTGGGCCGCAACTTGAGCCAGATATAGAGGAACAAGAGAAATTGAATGGAGGGAAGGACCAAATCGTTGCAGTGGACAGAAGTGTTGTGGTAGACATTGATGAGGTATTGGAAGTCCCTGATGCGATTATTCCATTTGTAATAGAAGTGCTCTCAGCCGACGCGATTGTTATATTGCTGGCAAGAGAGTTGGTTGATGTAGGTGCGATATTGCTGGTGGTAGATGTCACGTTAACGGACAACGAGCTTGTTGAAGAGGTTGGAATTCCGCTGATGGCTGAAATCGCCGTCTCATTTGAGGAAGACGAGGTTGTGACAAGTGTGCTCTGCTCCGGACTGATGCTGAAGCTGGTAGGAGCCGCACCTGGAACCATCCATGATCCAGAATGCTCAGTTGCCCAAGGTGGCGGACCATTGGTGTCGTTCCCATAGAACCACGGATGGGTTTCGTTGTTGCAACGGCGGACGAGCCGGTTATGCACAACTTACTCTCTGTCAGCAACCATATAACGGGGAGTTGGATGTCAGAGGAAACAAACCTGGACGCTGCTCTGCAGATATCAGCACAAAGCCTGCAAGGCTGATAAAAAGAGTGACTAGAACGCTCCTCATTATGTAAAGCAACCTCAATTGTCCAGGCGTAAAGCTGCCTCTAGAAAGAAATGAATGTGCTTTCGACAGACAACTTTATATTGCTCACAGGATGGAGCTCCTGGAAGCTTCTTCGACACGGTGCATGGAGCCCCTTTGCCGCAATGAACTTCTTCATCAGCGTCTTTGCGGAGGATCATGATATGATAGAGATGCGCGACAGTCATCCGTAATCTCGCGTGGAAGTTCTTGTCCGCAAGTGGAGCAAATATATTCCAAAAAGGCCTCTTTTTGTTTCTGTCATATTCATCACGGCGACGTGCTTCATCCCCAGTCTCAAGAAAAAGAGTCGCATGTCGAGCGGCAAAACGGTAGCGGGAGCGGCTGCACTATACCGTCAGGAGCTTTTGGTTATGTCGACTGGAAATCCATCAAGCACGCATTTGAAAGTCCAAGTTGGCACTATCGTGGCGGACACTGTTGTCAGTAACGCCATCTAGTGGCATTGACATGAGCATCAATCAACCGACTCGGATGCTTGACCGCATCACTTGTGGAGGCAGTTGTTTTTGACCTCGGAGAAGTACATGGGGATGCGGACAACCTGCGGCGGTTCCTGGCATCAGCAAGATGTCGTGCACTTCCCCCTCGGCCTGATGTAGGACAGCCTCGTGATAGGAATGAAGGAAGTGGGCTGAGGAAAGCGGGTTTGGAGCTGATCACCACTTGGTCTGCTTCAAATGCTGGCATCTCGAGACTTGTAGAGACATAAACGTGAAGAACGCTTGGCTGCACGGGCCACAATCTAGTAACCACATATCATGCAGCTATGCATGGCGCAGAGATCGCTGGTTTCGAATGGACTTGGTCGAAACCGCCTTCCCAGATTTGTGCCACCTGGGGCGAAGGCTGCCGCTGCAAGGGCACGGCCCATGCAGCCACCCACATGTGAGATTGACACATCATGAGTCCGACGGTACGACTTTCCTTCTTTTGCGATGTTTTAGCTGTACACATGATAAATCGTGACGGAAGGGCGGGTGATTAATCTTAGTATCGGCTCAGATGTTGAAGCAGGGTGGTTGAAGACTGGGTTGATGATACCCAACAAGGCGTTCAAACAAAGAACGAGTTGTTCTCAAGCTTTCAAACATTTCCACGGGCCTTAGGTCGGCATTTGCCGTCACCGCTGTCGCGAGGCGCATAGCACTTGCGCACTGCCGCGTTGCTGTGATAGCTCCAGCGTCATGCGAGAAGTTCAGCGCCAGTGAGCTGCTGCGAGAAGCTTCCACAGTGACGAGCCTACGAGGCTGCCGGCACATTTTTGGCACATAGACTTGGGATGCAAGTGGTAACAAAAGCTCCGGCTGCCAAAACACATCGCGCAGACCCCTTTCTGGCGTATCAGCGATGAGGTCCGCCAGAGGTGTGTTCGAAGATTGATGACTGTCCGTCATGGGGTGCTTTGCACGCTCATAGCAAGGTAGTGCAAAGGAGTAACGCCTTTTCTGAAGGAACCACGGTGCTAGCGCCATTGTCACAGATGACTGATTCTGTATATTGGTAGGCTGCGAAGGCTTGTCCGTAAACTTGCGAAGGTTAGATTCCAGCCATGATTTTGATCCTCTGCACGTTCTTAGATAGTGCGCTATCATTGAAACAGCAGGTCTTTCGAGATAATAGTGAGTTGAGAAGAGTCGGGGCGTGATTGTTCGGAAGATCAATGAGACAAGGTATCAGAAATGGACGCAAGTCGGGGGAAGAATCGGCCATCTTGATCCTCGTGTTGATCGCCGCCGAGAACGGACCTGGCTAGCGAGGCGAATACGAGGAAGTGGTGGAGACTATGTGATCGACCTTCTGTAATCAATTCCTTCACACTTGGGGAAAGAAACGAAGAACAAGAATGACACCCTCTGCAAGCACTGCATGTGCGTCGCAAAGGAAAATGTTTGCAAAGAAGCAGCTTCTTCTTGCACATCATCCCTGCCTGTTTGGTCGGCCTGCAGCTGGACTCAACTCACTCTTGCTCAAGCCGGGAAGCTAGTTGCTAGCACAAGAAATAAACAGCACGATCTGATGCTTTGCGTAAGGGAGACCAGTGTTGAAATATGACTACTCAGCCATTATGTAGGATACAGCGACCTGTCGAGGCACATCCCCAGCCTACTAGTTAGTGACATTGGAAAAGGGGGTTAAGGCACGCGGCAGGTCAAGTTGGAAGCACAAGGCACGGACAGAAGTCTGGGTGTAGAAGAGGGCTCTCAATGGATTTCGACACCCTGTGGCTAGTGTATACAAAGCCCGTCTCACCGTCCAGCACGATATTGTAATAAACCAGTATCCTCTTGTCCTCGCAAACTCCTCGGCGCCACTGCCACCCTCGTGAACCTCATTGAATCCTCACTGACTCCGCTGTCTCATACCGAACCTCAAGTAAGGGGAATTGGCAAAGGTCCCGCCAGCGTCGCCTTGGTCAAGTCATCGACATTGGTCGCCGTGTTTTGGTTTGTCAGTGCCGCGAATGCAATCCCAAACATTCCCGGTTGCACATCCGCATGCAGTTCGTCGCCCTGCTGGGTCACGGCAGTGTATGCAGGAACATTGTTTTGGTTAACCCACGCCATGTAGAGGGGACCCGAGTTCCAGTTTTGAGGGAGCATGTTTGGTTGGCCGACCTTGAAGATCAATTTTCCAGGAGCACTGGGGTTTGCAAATGACGGGCCACCATAGCCGACAATCCCCAGATCAGGAAAGACAGGCAGATTGGTGAGCGATGAGGGCAGATTGGGGCATGAGTTTCCGACGATAAAGTCAAGAGCCAAGTTGTAAGCCCAAGGGGCACTAATTTTCGTCTCGAATGTGGTGGGATTGGGGATCTCGTTCGCGGTGAGGCGGAAAAAGGCGTCGTGTCGAGACTCAACAGGAAGAATCGAGGCGACAGTGGCCTCCAGGCCAGGGTCACTCGTCGAGAGACCATCCGCAAGGGCGATCAAAGCGCCAATGCCAACAGTGGTGATGATGTTCCCCAGTGCTAGGAAGCTGGTCTCATCCGTCGTGGGGAAGTTGTACTCGCATGGGGCGACATCCTGGGCGCCATTTGCTTGCAGCAAACCCACAATGGAAGCAACATGCACCTCCTCTTGAGCAGCAATGTGCGAGACCACGACCATATTGCTCACACCGTTCGTCTGTCCTCCAGTTCCCCATTGTGTATAGTTCATCAGTCCCTCTTGAAAGAAAGCCGACTCCAGATTCTCCAAAAAGTTAGCCAGCTGGAAATTGCCAATCCCAGATTGGGAGACATGAGGGGTGCCAGGTTGGTTTGGCAGGCCACCACCCGCCTGCTGGGCGATATTAGGAGGTAGGTTGGTACCAGTCACCACTGGAGCAGGTGCTGCAAGAACAGATTTGGCGAAGAAAGAAAGAGCGACAGGAACGAAAAGGGACGACATGGCTGCGACTGTGTAGGAAAGAAAACTTGCTTGAGACCCGCACGAAAGAATTGAAAGATGCAGCGCAGAGTGTAAGAAATCGAGAATCGGGGGTTCAGAAGGGGACAGCCATGTGTTATACGGCCACCATCGCCAGCGTGAGGAGGCTGTTCGTGAGGCAATCTGCTGGGCCGTAAGCACTACCAAAACGGGCGGCATCAACCCCCGGTCGAGGATCATTCTCAGCCACATGGACTGATAACAAAATGGACCTGCTGTAGGTCCGCAGGCTTTTCATCGCATACTAGCCATCAACAACTCAAGTGATATTGCTCGTCTCATCGGTCAAGAATCGCAGTACACAACCCGGGTCCTTCAACCCGTTTGCAATTCTCAGGCGTTGAACAAGAAGAACCCATCTAAGAGTAATCGGAAACGAACAAGCGCCAGAAAGGGAAATATCCAGGTACGATGCAGCGGCGGGGGGCGGTTGGAAGGTTAATTCAGCTCGGGGGCTGCGAGGATGTAAGCGATTGATGGAGAGGCTTTCTCGGAGACAAGCTTCGGTAAGCACTTGCAGTTCAAAGCTTCAGCTCGAGAGCTAGAGGGAAAGGGTTCGACTGTGTCAGCAACTCCATTTTTAGAGCAACGCGGCCTCTGAAGGGCAAAAAGGGGGCGAAAATCTAGGTGTAAGATGCGAAAGCAGTAGTTGCGGCTGAGATCTTGAGTTATGGCAAAAGGTGCAAATACGCCAAGCTAAATGACTAAGCTGGTCGATCCCACCCAATCAGAGCCTCCTAGAAAATGGCAAGTGGTCTGACAAATAATCTCAGAGCATTCCCGCATTACACTACCGTCAGACATATTCTCATCTTTTATTCTATGACGCGGTCAATGCTCGCAGCTCACGGTCGCGAAGATGAGATATTATTCGAGACCTGGAGACGATGCTCCTACCCACTAGCTTCACCATTCCCTTCCTACCATAGTCCAGCACAATGAGCACCTTCAGCATATGCTCTCAGTGCCTTCGAGCATTGAGACAAAGTGTCAGAACAGAGTCAAATGTCCGTTGCACTCCCTCATCAAGCCCTTCCACCTCCAACGGCTCATTGACTAAGGTGACTGCACAGACGTCACGAATTCAGAGCTCATCCGTCTCAAGGCGACGATATCTGTCGGTCGCTTCTTCGAAATGGCAACAAGAAGCTCCTCGAAGCGGAAGTCAAGCTCCACTGGCTGAATCGCTTCCACCCACCACAGCTCCTACTGTCACGTCGAATGTAACAGCCTCGTTTCCCACCACCGAACCACAATCCAAATCCAAGTCGGAACCACCACCAGAACGAAAAGACAAATCTTCTGCACAACCCCCCTCCCCCAGTGCCGGTGTAAATGTGTCACAGATGCAGCGCCAAATCCAATCGCACCTCAGCAATCCCCCGAGCAAGAGCATCCCTGCTCGCCTCGCCGAATCACTTAAGAAAAACATTCCCGCTGCGACAAGAACCTATACTATCTACGGCCAAACCGAAGCGATATTCAAATCTTGCGCCGCACCCGCTGACTACACCATCCCACAGGACCAACGAATGAATATTCTCACGGGGAAGGGTCCGCCAAAGGCCGCGGCACAAGAGGGCGCGGAACTGGGACAACCTCTGTCCGAAAACAAGGATTCATGGTGGTTCAGCACTGTTGATCTGCCGCCTACATTCTCGACATGGTCACAAGTTACATTCCTGCACATGTATGTAATCGTAACACATCTGCGCGCGTCGCTAGAATCCGAGGCCGAGTTTCAGGATTTCCACCGGTACCTGATTGAACATTTTTCGAGGGCCGCGGAGGACAAGATGATTCTGTTGCACAACCTCGCCGCCCAGGGAATGCGGAGTCGATACCTCAAGGACCTGTTTTTGCAGTACCGGGGGATTCTGGCGTCGTACGACGAAGGACTCGTCAAGGGAGACGCGGTTCTTGCAAGCGCAATATGGAGAAATCTATTTCGCGCGGATGAACAAGTGGATTGGGAGAAAGTGTCTCTTGTTGTCGCGTACCTGCGAAGGGCAGTAAGAAGAGCCGGCCTGTTGACGCTGGACGACTTACTTGGGTCTTTGCAGAAACAGACCGGGGTCTGGGGATTCACCCAACACCAACAAGAGCGTGTCCAGCAACTGGTGGCAGAGACGAGCAAGGGCGTGAATGAGGCTCTTTGAATGTCCAAGGTACATCTGCTGCGAGCAGGATCGTCTGACTTTTTTGGCTCTGCCATCAGTGCACGAGCACCAGGAGTGTTTTCGTTTCGCGCGCATTATGTGGGTTCAATTCTGCGCCAAAATCTCCTGTCATCTTTAAAGTGAGCGTTCAATGATCTCTCGGGAGGTATAGAGATACTTGTAAATGCAAGGTTCATGCAAGACACTTTCTATGTACAATACACACAAACCTAGCTATTCAAGGGAATCAGCTGTGAGAGTCTAGATACCCCAGCATACCTCCAGCTAATCCTTGACCATGTATAAAATGGTGGTTGGTAATGAGAGCAGACATGTGCATCAGGTTGAGGGGAGCAAGCCCAATTGTTTTGATCATCAGAACGTTATCTCATTGAAAGAAAGAAATCATAGCTATATCAACATCAAATATACCCGTAAGAAAAAGGGCGGAAGCAATTTCTCATGCGCTCTCCCCCATCCGCTTTCACAGCTTGTCTTTCCTGGGCAGTTCACACTCTCCCGGCCCCCTTTGCCAACGCGAAGCAAATCCAGCCAAAACGCCAGGGTGATAAATGATGACGAGATGCTATCACAACAAAACCGAACCACGAGGGGGTGGACGATGAATGGCTACACCCGAGCGATCGCAGTGTACGTCGTTGTTGGTATCGGTATCGTGACCGTCCTGTGAGCGAAAAGGAAGGTTGTAGGGAGTTAGCTCACAAACATCTCTCTCCCCCCAAAAAAGAAAACCTCGTTCGAGACCCGGGGGGTGACACAATCGGGTGATATGTACCTCGCCAAAATTTTTGAAACCCGCAAAGTACCGCTCGCATACCCACACTTTTGGGACGACGCATGTTTCTCACCTCACGACATCGCCGCCTCCGAGATAGTAGCAGATACAGAGGCCGTCAAAGAGCAAGACCCTGTAGCCCGTTGCGCATGTTAGGAGTCCTCCACACGGGTAAGGCGTGGGGTTGGCGGGAGGGAGAGTGGTCTCCTGAGACCGAATGGCGGGAGGAATGACTCCGGCATCTTCATCGCGGCGCTGGAACTTCAGGTCCGCAGCCGCAGTGAGTGCCGTCTGAGTGCTGCTTGGTGTGCAAGAAGTAGCGGTGTCGTCGTCGGTAGCGGTAGCAGCCAGAGTTGTGTCATGTGGATACACAGCCGCGGGGGCCCTCACCGCCGGGTCACCCTCCTCGTTGGATTCAGCAGCTGCTGAGTGGATAAATCTGCTGGACATGTTTGCACGGGTCACTTGTAGGATAATGCATAGCTGGAGGGAAAGGCATACCCCGGCCAAAAGCAGTCCTCCTTGTCGCTGTCGCAATCGCCACTGCTGCTGCTGTAGAAGTGCTCGCTTCTCACATGAGTCCACATGTAATCGAAGGTTGGGAGCGCAGTCACGAGGAGCCTGCTGCTCAACAATAGACCCAGCCCCCAGAGAGACCAAGCTTCGAATGTGCGCATTGTGATAGTAAATACGGTAGTGCTGTTCAAATGACCTTTGCTGTAAGAACAGAAAGATGGAAGAAATCGTTCGAGAATGTGCTGGTATATGAAGAGTTTCGCGACTCCGGAGCCGCACCGTGGCAAGCGGTGTTGCGCAGGGATTTCCTTGGAAGTCGAAGCGGACAACGGTCCTTATACTTTGACAGCTCTTGTGCGCCCATTCAACTGGAAGGGAATGATCAGCAGCAGCACACCGTGTTATTGCAGGTTCAACCAGATTCGTTGAAGGATCGCAATATTCAAATAGCGAGAAGAGACAACACACCATGGCCTCAGCATCGAGAACATTCATGGCGTGACAGCCATCTCCTGGGGCAACACAATATGACGAGTTCTTTGACCAAGAGCCTGGCAGCAGTCATATGTCTCCTCTCGGCCGGTCAGTCTGTGAGACAGGTCTACCAAGGGTGTCGGCAGTGAGAGGTTGCAGCAGCAGTCTTTGGTTGGACCGGGACGTGGAAGGACCTTCTCTGCACCAGTTTACCCGTTGCCATTGCGTCTCCAAAGAAAAGCCACTCTCTATCAAGCAAGAAGAAGGACAAGGCGGGCTGCTGTCTCCATGGCCTGGGAACATGCATGATTCGATCGGCATTCTCCAGAGCCTCGTTTTCTGGAAGCGGGATAATTGTCCAGGTACATTGCCGAATCTTGGGTCGGTTCAAAATGTGGCTAGTATGGTCCATCTGACGAGATCGAATCGACATATGGTAGCGTCATATCCTCAGCAGCCTTTTTGGGCCCTGATAGACTTACTGTTCCATGGTAAAACTCTTTGTTGCGGTTGGATACAGCCTGGGACATCATGCACGGGGGAGATAAATTAAGATGGTCTTGACATCTTGGAGAGGTTGAGTTCCCATATCTTTGGAGATATGCCTAGATTGAGGAAGGATCTTGCCAGATCTTCGCATAGGCATTGATTTCCGAGGATGATCTTGGATACAGAACCTTTTCTTCAGAGTATGGAGATGGGAAGACCGGATGTCCCGAAGCAAACATCGATCCGGGGAAACAAAACATCATCTGGCGCAGTTTCTGCTCCGGTGGAGAATGCGGCCAGACGCGCTGTTCGCGAGATGGACATGCTGGCCGCATGTGCATGCGAATTCCCCTTGTCCAGACCTGTCTCTCAAAACGTTCCAGCCACGTTTCCCAAGCGCAAATCTTGTCCTGGTTTACTTTCAGACCGTTCACAGTATGGCGCTGTCTTTCTAGAACTGTCCTCTTGCGCGCCCAACGCCTGACGCACCCACTCGGAATCTCTGCCCCTGTGAGGGCGAGCACCGCCCAACATGCTCATCCTCCATCTCATCTCCCGTCTCGTCCCTCTCCTCGCTCTCATCACATGTTCATTTGCGGCCGAAGACTTCTACAAGATCCTTGGATTAGACAGATCTTGCTCAGACCGTGATCTGAAGACAGCTTATCGGAAACTTTCCAAGAAGTATCACCCAGACAAGGCCACGGGAGACGAGAAGAAGTTCCTGGAAGTTACAGAAGCATATGAAGCCCTGTCCGACGCCACGACTCGCAAGATCTACGATCAGTATGGTCATGAAGGGCTAGAGAACCATAAACGAGGAGGTGGTGGAGGCGGCCAGCCTCATGACCCTTTCGACCTTTTCTCCCGATTCTTCGGCGGCGGAGGCCATTTTGGTCGTGGCGGTGGCGGCGGGGTACGAAGAGGTCCCGACCTAGAAGTCCGACTACACGTTCCTCTGCGAGACTTCTACACAGGCGGGGAAACGGAGTTTACAATCGAAAAGCAACAAATCTGTGATGAATGTGAGGGATCAGGTTCGGCGGACGGACAAGTCGAGACATGCAATAAGTGCAGTGGTCGAGGAATCGTCATCCAGAAACACATGCTCGCACCGGGGATATTCCAACAAGTCCAGATGCAATGCGACCAATGCGGGGGCCAGGGGAAGACGATCAAACACAAATGCAAAGTATGTGGGGGAAACAAGGTCGTGAGAGGCCCCACGACCTTGACTGCCGTGATTGAGAAGGGAATGCCCAAGGGCCACAGACTCGTCTTCGAAAGTGAAGCGGATGAACATCCTGATCACGTCGCGGGCAATCTCTACGCATACATAATGGAGACCGAGCCAGCCATCAACGAAGATGAAGCATCGCGGACTGACGGGACATTCTTTCGTCGGAAGGACAACGACCTATACTGGAAGGAGGTTCTCTCGCTCCGAGAAGCGTGGATGGGCGAGTGGTCTCGCAACATCACGCACTTGGACGGGCATGTGGTCCCATTGTCTCGCAAGCGCGGCGAAGTCGTTCAACCCGGCCAGACTGACACGATCAAGGGTGAGGGGATGCCCGTTTATCACGAAGGACACGTACACGAGCATGACCATGATGGCCCCGAGTCTGGAAATTTGTATGTGCAGTACGTGGTTGTGCTGCCAGACCAGATGGAGACGGGGATGGAAAAGGAATTCTGGGCTGTGTGGGAGAAGTGGAGGAAGAAGAAGGGGGTGGATTTATTGAAGGACAGTGGTAGGCCAGAGCCAAGTGTATTAGTAAAAGACGAACTATAGACACCTTTGCTTGCTTGCAATCTTAGATGGGATGAAACACGAAAGATTGACTAGATTCAGCTTATCATCCAGCTCCTGACTTTTACTATCTCCTTGTGTGTGCTCCCGCGTGAGCCAGACAGACGTATGGCTCTACCCCTGATCCACGAGCCTTGGTGCCATCAGAGGGAGCATAGGATGAGAAGAGGATTTTGTGAATGTGGCATACCGCGAATCACTGTTCTACTCCTGTTCACGATTCTTTTCCCCAGATGACCTCTTCCCCATCTCAGGAATCCAGCTAGCTGCTATTAAGCTTTGCCCACACCCAACAACTTGAAGATCACGCAACGTGGCGCTCTAGGCGAGCATCTCCCGAGCCTAGTGCGAGAATTTGCAACGCCATGCCACGTGGAATGCAAAGCGCCTGTCGACAATGTTGTGGTATGATAGTGCATCCGTACTTCCGGTCTGAAGTACGTATCGACTGTTCCCAATCTTGGCGAGGAAAGCGTTACACAGGTCAAGCGCGAGAATACATCGAGACCGCGGCCCCATACTGGGAACTTCGGAAGCGGATGAAGAAGACGATGACGAAGCGAGGTAAAGGAAAGCTATTGATGAAGCAAAATTGTGTAAGGCTTATATAACAAAGGTGGGAAGCTATATCAACCACATATCATACGGAAGAGAACCCCATAAACGTCCCATGGCACAGCGCAATCTGAGCAAGACAAGGACATCGCCTCCAGCACCGACCATTCTATGCAGCCGCCGCAACAAACGTCCCACAGTTGCTATTGCCCGCTGTGATTTGGCCATATCCATAGGATCCTGTAACAGCAGTAAGCTGGTCGCTAGCCTGGCCAGCGGGACAAGTGTTGACGGTGTAGAGCAGACAGCTTTCGTCCTGAGAGGAGTAATTGGGAATGTATAGGAATATGGCGTCATTAGGATTGGCCAACGCAGCGACACAGCCTAGCATCGAATGTGGTTAGCATTCCTTTTTATCTGCGGCCCATTGTACCAAAGCAACTTATGAATTCAAGGCATGTTGAAACGCTCGTGGAATATCACTTACAGTCGTATGCGGTGTTGGTGTTGGAAACGAGGATGTTGTTGAAGTTTCCTTGAATATTTCCAATCGGCTGGCCTAGATAATTGTCGGCCAAGTTGCTGGTGGCGCACGCGGCATACAGAGTTGTTGTCGAAGCGACAACAGTGATCGTGCTGGTCGAAGTCTCCGTAGTCGTCGCCTGCAAACCGTCAGCATTGTCATGACACCTAGAGGGGTTGGCTGTCTGATGACGTACGGATAGGGTAGTCGTTGTGGTAGATGTCGTTGTGGTGGTCGTTGTCGCCTATAAGCAACCGCGTCAGTATATTTAGATGAATTGAACACCGCTCAAGGTCAAGTAGAGATGTCAATGGCCAGCTCAAAATATATCAGCCGCCAAACACTTAAACGGTAGGGAATTAATGAGCGCCAGAGCCGGCGATAAGCATTTGTGGGCACAGAGAGTGGCGTGGGGCGCAATGTTGCAGTGTCCTGGAGGCCAAAAGCTGCCAAGTCTGAATGGAGATACGTACGGATGGATAAGTAGTGGTGGATGAAGTAGACGTGGAAGTAACTGTGGTCGATGGCTGAACAGTAGAGGTGACTGTTAACGTCGTTGTTGACGCCTTGCACGTGGTATGCGTCCAAGCATAGCACGTCACTCCCATGGGATAGCTCTGCCAGCTCTTCTCTAGCAATCCCGAGGGCTTTGGCCTTGTGGTGTCGCGACCGACCTCCATATGGACATCTACGTCGCGCTTGGCAATAGGATCTGCACCACCGGAGCCGGAATATTCTGACCCTGGCAGAGAAGTCTGGATGGCGATGAATCTAGCCGCGGTCAGCATGAATAATGCCTAGGAGTTCTTGCCCGTGTCGCAACGTACCCGGCTGGGGCGGCGGAGGTCGTGGTAGCAACGCTGGAAAACGTGCTCGTCGTTGTGGTTGTTGCAGTCTGTGATGATTCATCTGTCAGCATGAGCTCGATTGATCGAGTAGGTTTGTTGACTGTTTTGCCGCCAAGCCAAGAGATCTCAACGCACCGATGTCGACGTCGTAGAATCTGTCTCGGTGCTAGTGCTTGTAGCTGTGTCCGTAGAAGTTGGAGCCGTGACGGTAGTGGTGGTCGTCGCTGTGATTGTGCTGGTGCTAGTGGGCATCGTCAAGGTGGTAGTGACAGTCGAGGTTTGGGTTGTCGCGCAGAGAGTGTATGAAGTCGACCATGTCGTCCTGTATGGCGCCGGATACTGGCCGCCCATTTGTGTCCAGCATTGAGTGGAGGAAGAGGGCGCTGCAGGGCAGCCCCAAGGTTGGTTGCAGGGAGCCGCAAAGGCGACAGTCGCCAACGAGACCAACCCGGCCGCAAAGGTGCTGAAATGCATGGCTTGGAGTGTGAAAACGAGTGGACGCGATGAAGACCGCAAAGAGTCAGTGTAGTAATGGGACAGTCAAGAAGGAGACAAAAGAGCGGATGAAGAACATGGACGCTCAGCGACAGCAACGGCGGAAGAGGCCTATATCATCACCAACTCGGACGCCATCGCCTTGCATAGCCAGAAAGGGATGGTTTCTGGTGGTGAAATTGCATGGCCGCCGCTCAGACAGCCACATTCGAGCGACGCTGCCCCTGGTTTGACATGGCTACCGCAACGGGCAGTCGACGTTACCAGGATGGAAATTAAGAAATTAAGCTAGGACAAGCGAAGCTTGGCTTTGCGGGGCCGCGGCCTTGTTTCGCCAAGTCAGCCTCGTGTGGAGACGTGCGAAGGTTCAATATGTCTCTGCGCAGGTCGCCTTTTGGAAACTAAAACCCACCCGATCGTTCTGGCCGGGACAACGGCCAATCTCAGAAACCTCCTCTGCCCCCACCAAGAATGCGAGGGGCAAGCTGAGAACGAGATTTCAAAAGAAGAAGCACCGATTAGTACTCATGGCCCCGCTGCCGCTCTTCCGTCACTATGCTCTTTCTGCACGTGGCTCTCCCGTCTGACAAGTGGCGTGATGGGACATACATCTGTCGGGTTATGGATCCCTTCAAGCTGTGCTTGTCTCGTGATCAGAGTGGTTGATTCATGAGCAGACCACCTGGGAAAATCACGTATAAGGCGACAAAACATATAAGTCTCGTGGCCGATCCTTTGACTTTCGGGCACATTAGCAAAGAACAACGACCGTATCGGCGCATATTTTCATCGGCTTTTAAACTAACACAATGTGGGGAAAGCTTCTCTCAGTGTTCAAAGGCAAAGACTCCGAAGGGCAAGACTCCCGTCCAACCAATCAACGACATGCATCCACACCTTCCGATCCATTTGGTGATGATGAGACCGAAAACACGAATCCGCCATCGAGCGAGGGACGAGATGACCCGGGGGTCCGGCTCCATCACAGTCTGGAACAGGCACTCGGGCGGGGTTCGCGAGACGAGGATGCAATTGACGCCGAGGACGACGACGAGGCGGAGGAAGTTCCCAGTCGCCACCAAACTCTAGAAGAGAACATCGAGCTCGCCAGGGAATTGTCGCAGGAACTGGAACACCAAGCTGAGGAGCTGAGGCGGTCAGCAAGCAGCAAAGACCACACAGGGGCTCGCTCAGACAAGTCCCAATGACTACCTCAGTGCCGCCGAAAGCCCGTCACTGATTTCCACACGTCTCTGACGGGAAACGATGGGAACAAGGCGTCTGGGTGGCTTGGTAACGGCTTATCGCTTAGGCGTTCATTCAAAGAGTGGGATCACCTTTTGATCCGGGACGAATACAGCAGCAATCTTTCAATTTTGAGGAATGGATGCTCGGAGGTATATACGATGCTGGGTGTTTGGTCCGTCTGCCTTCTCCTGTCCTATCGATAGTTTTGTATGATGTAAGCCATCGGAGTAATGTGAGCAACGAGTTAGCAGTCATAAACAGCCGTAGTTGTGTGAGCAGTTCTGTCCCAAAGCTTTCAGGTTGGTAAACTGGTCAGGTAAACAAGCACGCTACCTCACGATATTATCCTCGGTTACCGCTCCTGGTGGATTAGAACAGCCTGTTTCCGAACGGCCTTCCCGCTGAGAGCAGATATGGCTGTGCGCCACACCACAGCTACACGAGCAAGGGATGCAAGTGGCAGGCATCTGATCTCGGCTGTTTCGATCGAGCGACGCGGGTGAAGTCAACATCGGCCCACAACAACCTCTCGGAAGCTTCACGAGACTAGATCATGGGCTCGAAGAAAAACCTGGCAAGCGAGATATGGCTTGAAGCAAGCATCCTGTTTGCTCTTCACTTGAAAATGTTCCCCTAGTCCGAACGCCAAGAGCTCGACATGGTACAGCCTGTGACCCGCACAGCAAGTGAAGAACATTCGTGAAAAGAGTTATCAGAACCAGCAGGCAGCCTTGGCGGAGATGCTTGAACTACACGACCGCGCACGAAAACATCCCAACAAAATATCCATCTTGATATTTTTGAACCAAAAAAAAGGAATGGTATTTATAGAGGTAGGTTCGCAGTTTCCTGCGCGCACCCTCTCTAAAGGAACCCATTAGCCACCTAAGCCAGAGTCCCGAAGAACCACTAATTTGAACCACAGTAAGTGTGGAGAGTCCCGAAGAACCACTTTTGATGCAAAGGCTTGGGTAAAGGAGTTGGATCAACTTTCCGCTAGGCTAATGTAACCTACCTGGGGAGGCGACAGGAATTGTGGGCTTATAATATGTATACATGATATTCCCAGCGTCTTTGCTGTACTAACCGAGTTAGGGGTTTCGATAGCCGTTTTCGGCCACGGGTGGATCTGCCAAGTGAACTGCAACTCAAAACTCGTCACCAAAGCCAGACACCGCTGTCGTCCCTTATTCACCGTACTCTTCTGTCTAGGTGCTAATACAAAGCAATGACTTCAGCTACATCCTTCGTTGACCGCCTGTGTACTCTGCAATGATACGACGCGTTTGGCACGCTACTGGGGTTAGATATACACCGGGCAGGGTCAAATTTGCTGTTCACTGGTACCGAAGAGGCTCCTGAGAAAGGAATTTAATCTTTTTAAGCTTTACAAAAGCAGTGCATATGTCAGATAGGTTGGTATTGGTCATGTCTACCTAGGTAGCCTTCAGCAGCATCCACCGTGCTCGATCTGCCCGCAGCCTAGCTAGAGCTTGACCAACATCGTCCAGCACTTCCAGAGATTCCCCTTGCCGTTGTGCTTTGCTCGCATGCCAAGGATGGCTGTACTCCCACATATCTGAGGGTTTGCACTGCCACTGTACTTCAGGCACGGACATCTCCCCTGTCCCGCGTCCAAAACGACACGCCGTCCGGACCTGAGGCTGAAGCAGTTAATGGTAGTAGGTGTGCCACACCCTCACGATTTCACTTCCCATGATTCTTCGAGTCCCAGTGTCTCGCGTCGCTGCTGGAGTATGCAAAGTCCCGCCCTGAGGAGTCCCAGTACTCCCGATCCCGAGCCGCCTGATCGTTCGAGTAGGAAGGATGTGCGCGGTAGCTGCCCGTGTCGGCGTTGAAGCGAGTGGCGTCCGGGTATGAGTAGGTCGAGTTCGGGTGGTTGGTGATGGCCTTGCCCAGGGAGTACCACTTGTAGTCCTCGTCGGAAGGCATGGTCTTTTGTTCTGTTCGATGTTGTTTTCTTGTAATCTTCTCCTCTGTGGTTTGATGAAATGGATGTTCTGTGGGAAATCGTGTCGGGGGTTATTTCTCCTGGTGTGGTGGGATGAGGTGAGGCAAGAACGCCAGAGAAAGGACATATTTAAATGGCATACATCTCATTGTCACCCATTTCCCCGTTTGTGCGCGTCTTCTTGAAAGGTTGGGCTTTGTCAATTGGCGCCCGTGGCCGACACTGAGGCTTGCAGTATTCACTGGCATGGTCACCGCAGTGCGTTGTGCTGCGTACTTACTACTCACAGGCGTGAAGGCGCAACTCCTGTTTACCATATCATCCCAACAAAGGGGATGTCACCACTGACGGATTCTTCCTTGTCTGAAAGAATGGTTACCGGGAATCCCCGTTCGAAGCGGATCACGGCGAATTGTAATCATCGGACTCACTCGCATTATTGCAGCATATGTGCCATAAAGAAGTTGCGCTCATAGGAAAGAGCTGCGATTTCGGGTACACGCAGCACCTTCGACGGTGCTATACCTGTGATAAAGCTAAGTCTGATGCTACATAAGATGGGGAAGTCCTCGTTGTCTGAAAGATATCAGAACTCGAGCCGTGACAGTTAAGTCCAAGCTCACAGCTCCTCAACCGTTGCCACAAAGCTACCCTATGACCCTACAAGCCTCAAAGATCTCAAACAGCCGAGAAGCACAGTGGAGACTCAACCCCTGGACCATGTATTTGCAGCCCAGAGCAAGAGCATGCCCGTCTAGCTACCTAGGATGGAGCTTCGAGTCCCAGTGTCTGGAGTCGGAACTATCGTATGCGAAGTCTCGCCCTGCTGAGCCTAGAGCTTCCCGATCTCTCGCAGCGCTATCATTTAGGGTGCTCGCCGCTATCTTCTCATCGATATTCCTGGAATAGTCTGTCGGCGGGTAGGAAACATTCTCGCGATACCGATCCAAGAATTCGACCTCACGGGAACCGGCACCTGAGGTCGGGTATAGGTAGGAGTAATTCTCCTGCACCTTGGAGGTGGACCAGTCGCTCATGTTGTCGAAATTCTCGTCTGAAGACATCTTGATCTCTTTGTTTGAAAACTCTCCTTGTGAGTAATTGGGTCAGACTGCGTAGAAAATTGGATTTCTTGGTGTGCTGTGGTCCAAGAGAAAGCTAGGAGGAGCATATTTATAAGAAGGAAAACTGGTTGAGTTCGTTTGCTCACAGCTGTCACAGCGGTGTTGCTTGTGTTGCTTGTGTTGTTTCAGCTCCAAAATGGTGAGGCCCTTCGGGTTTGTCAATGGTGATCACGAATTTTTATATCGCTCTCAAGCGTTTGCAATCCTCGAAGCAAGAATGCATCAACATCTCCCTGTTTGCTCCCAGGTATGCTCCATTCACCCGTTTGATGGACATCTTTGGGAAAGACTTGTCGGGTGACCTCATGCCTTTGGTGATCGTAGTGCTTGACTGGAGACGAGCGGACTTCATAGAGTTGTTTGTATGTTGCCGCCTGGACTTGGATGTTTTGAAAAGGTCATGGCTTTCTGTGCTTCACGACAGGCTCGAATTGATGCGGATTCCATGGGTAATGTAACACTGTAGCGACTGCCACTAACGACCCGTCGATGACCCCAGAGAGATCGGACGAGCCGTGACGATAGAACAAGCTCAGTGAGAGGTCCACCATAATGATATTCACGTCTTCTCCTCGGGGACTTGGAGACAGGATTGCCTGGCGTACGCCCAATCATAGCACCTGACACCTTCTTCTTCTCGCTCCTGCGCTGCCTGATGGTTGGCTGCGCTAAAGGACTTTTTGTCTGCGTCAAGGCGCTCCGCTGCCTTGGATATTTCCAAACGCTTTTTCACAAGAAGATCTTTTTCTTGTTGGCTGGAATGTGCCGATGGATAGTACTCCTTGAAGACGGTCTGGATGTTCTCGGTTTTGTACTGCTCAAAGTAGGTACTGACCACTGTGGAGGGTTCTGACTTCGGCTCAATTGGCACGCGACGACCTTTCAATTGCCCAGCCAGCAGTTCCATCTCGAATGGGTTGCTTTGGAGGATTTGAAGTAGCGAGGAGATCTTGCGGAGGTCGAGGAGAAGTGTAAATCTTCCCTGACAAGCGTCGTCGTCGTCAGCCGCTCTTGGCCCCCACTCAGCCTGCAGGCTGTGGCTGTGCAGACCTGTTTAGACACGGGCTAGATGGAAAGGGAACTGATATTGACAAGTTGAACTGCATGGAAGGAAAATATCTGATTGTGGTTTTTATCGACTATGATCGACCTCATCATATTGAATGGTGACACCGGTTTACATGCTTCCAACCACGAGGGCTCCGATACGCCATCAGGCTGAAACTTGCCGCCTTGCCTCGGGCAGTGTTAGTGAACTGATGCAGAGGCGTCTAGGCTGTGGATCCCATCCTCGACGCCCTACATTGCGTACTTCTCGAGCGCGAACCAGTCGAATGTGCATTGCGAAAATTGGTTCCTTCCGTTCATTTCGACGTCATGGAGTGACACATACTGACCTAACTCGGGGGTTTGCCAGTTTTCGAGAGCTCGGCCATTGTGAATATCCGCCCCATGCTCCTGTAGCCCTTGCATACTGTCCGGTTGGACATCTGTGAAATGGAAGGCTCGGAAGGTGTTGGATTCATCCCCTTGATAAGAAAAGAGCTGCAGGAGTGATGTAGGGTCGAAGCTGCTTGTCTCGTCTAACCGAAGCTGGTAGTCCATCTGGTCAGCTACCCCAATATTGGAGCTAGTGGAGTTCGTATCTCCATGCTGCATAGCTGGGCTTGTAGAGTTCGAGAAAGGTAAGGTGGTTGAGTGACCACCTCCAGGCTGGGCCGGGAGGATAACCGTCTTCTTCATACGAAAATGCTCGCTGCTGGTCGGGGCGCTTTGCTTTCTGAAGATGTGGCGGACATAGGCTTCGGCAATCTTTGTAAAGGTTTCTGCCACTTTCTCAAGCTTTACTGCAGAAGCATGGTACTTTTGGAACTCGAGAAAGTATAGCACTGTTTGCCGGAGCAACTGCAAGTCTTCGACACTAGTCTTTGCAGTCGGATTGGTGATGACTTCACCAAAGAGCACGAAGAACGGAGTGAAAGGACAATACAATTGTTGCCTGCGGGAGGGTTAGCGTCTAGAACGTCCAGTTAAGGAATACCAGATATACCAGACAATGCCATTGAATACTTCTTCAGAATGGGCAACTAGGCCTTTCAGCAGCAAGATCGCTGCTCTCGCAGAGCCAAGGCACGTTTCACGACAATCTTTGTCACCTCTCGTTAGGCAGACAATTAAATGGTGGTATTGGTAGCTCAGGAAGCTGAAACCGATCCGGATAGAGACCCTGGCAGGGTCGGTTGCATCTGCCAGATTGGTATGCATTGCTTGAGTCTGAAATCGAAGTTACCACCAATTCAGTCTCATCAGAGTTTGCTCACCTGTTGGACGACATATATCCATTGATCGAGTTGCTTCGTGAGATTCGACTGGCGGCTTGAGTCATGTCTGCCGATTAGATAGAAATCCGAGATGTCGCCCATGATCATTGCAAGTTTCGTGCATTGCACAAAATAGAAAGCACCAAAGAACTCCACATGGGGTGGAAGATTCGTTCCGACGTCTGAGGTGCCTAGATGGGGCCTATATGCTGAGAGCTGGCGAGGAGAAGGAAGCTCGACGTTGTGATATAACGCAGAAGGCAACATTGGCGGGCATCCGAAGGAGAGCGACAATGTTTTGTCAATGATGAAGAGGCTCCAGAAGAGGCAGAGGTTGCGAGAATATAGCTCGCTATCCTTCGTCGCAGATGCCGATGGAAGTGGAAGCTTGACCATCTGGGCCATCCGACAGGCCTGGCTTGTCAGATTCCAACAAAGGCTAGGCGTCACGAGATCCTGTCCGTGGACGGCGAAGACGGTTAATGCCTGTATGTTGGGTATGGTTGGTTCCATAAAGAGACTGGCCTCCTCCGCAGCTAACCAAGCGTTCCAGCGCAAATGGAAGGTATATTCAGACAATTGCTGAGTTTGTGTCGAGGCCGTTGCAAGTATGGTGTTCAACATCAACACGCAACCTCGCTTGTCCACGGACGAGGGACGAAAGACCAAGTCGAGCAATATCTCTTGGGGAGGCCGGCTGATGAGAGGATATCCTCGGTCGACTGCTTTGAGAAAACCTTGAAGCTGTCAGCTCGAGTTCTGCGAACCTGTGCTAACTGGTAGGCATACATTGAATAAACATCTGTCCAACTGGCTCGGACGGAACAAAAAAGGCTTCATGCTCTCGCCTCGTCACTCTGACCGCAGCTCTGATCTTATCGTAGTCATAAGTCGAGATTTTGAATTGGTCATAGAGATCAGAAAGCATGCCAGTGCCTTGGTTTGTGATATCTGTAAGATTCTGGCGTATTTGATTGCAGTCAAGCACGTCCCGGGTGTGGGAAAAGGTGGAGGTAATGCTATTAGAGAGAGTGTCATTGCCGAATTCTTGCCGCTGATCCTGACTTGTTTGTGCGTCCGAGCGACTCTGAAAGACTGCGTACCCGGGACTTAGGTCTCCATGCTGACCAGATTGTTCCGGAATTGGATTGGCTGCTGGGGTTTCTCTGAACACAATTAGCTATTTGGAGTAGAAAAGCCTCACCTGTGGGCGCTACTTGACAGTCTGGTCATGCACTCTTTCAGATAGGTCCCGGGAATATGTGCAATCACTCGTCCAAGCGCAGCAGTTTTTGCATTCGGGTTTCTCTCTAGAACAACGAAGCTGCCATGTATGAGTAATGCACCGGAATCATGATCGACCTTCAAGGTAGAAGACGCGAGCAGCGCAACCAAACATCCTGTCATCCACACACCTTTTTCTTCCAACAATAGTCGCACTGACAGGTTAGCGAGGTATCGGCAGCACGGCGCCTTGACTTACAGCGTATCGACTCAGGCTCTTCTCGTCAGCCATCCTGTCAGTGTCACAGATGGTCCCCTGCAGCGGTATCCTCCCGCGCATCTAGCAACGAAAGGAACTGCTGCTGTGCATTTCGGAGCAGCGTCGACATTGTATAGTGTTAAAACTTGGATGGACGGAGATATCGTGAGGCGTTCCGAGGAAATTGAACTCGATTCGCTGCTAGCATGGCGACTAAGGCTTGGTTCCGACTTCGTCGACCGCTATTGGACGGAACCGTGGAGAAGAAGGGTTTAGGTCTAGAATTGCATCCTATCAATAAAGGACGGTCTCCAGTCTCAATGTTTCTTGCCGACGACGTCGATACCAATGCTGGCAGCAGACGAGGCTGAGAGATGTCATACTCCTTTCTTCCTCCAAGTGGCTGCTGGGAAGTCCACCAGGGTCGCGAGCAAGAGTTACTGGCTATAGGAACCTCGTCTCCTCATTGTCCTCTGGTCTAAGCTGTTTGACAAGGACGACAGCAATGCAAAGTCGGCTGATCATTGGTCGAACCTCCCAGACTCAGGTCCTACCTTAGGTACCTAGTATTCACAAAGCAAGCCTTGCGCCATCCGAGCATCTCTCTTTTACCCAAATAGGAAATTTAGGCGAAACGATAATCAGAGCCGAAACTTTTTGACGAAGCCAGGAAATCCAGCCGACTGCGCAGTCTAGGAAGAACACCCATTCATGGTCACGAACCCTTCCTGTCTAGCTTCCGACGACGCTTGGAGAGACTCCAATATGTGTCATGGCTCTCCCAGACACGCGCAACTATGTCCTTGCCATCGAGAATAACAAGCAGGAAGCGGCGGAAATCGCAAAGTCGGTGGCACAAAGTAAGTCCGCAAATGCCTCGATCGGAGTGGTTCATGGGACTAACAGCTCAGAACTCGAGAGTCGCCAGACAACCTTGATTGAAGTTGTCCAGTCGCTGGGCGAGTATATCAACGATGACGACGAGAAAATCCGTGCCAGAGCCGTCTCCTACCTGGTTGCTGTCATCTCAGCGCTCCCTCCGAAATACCTGTCCAGACAACAAATCCAGGTGCTTTGCCAGTTCTTCTGTGACCGCATTCAAGATGGAGGAGCAATTGAGGGCTTGTCCAGACTGCAGGGCCTCGAAAGATTTACAAGCGAGATGGCTCAAACGGTCGTGAGAGCGTGAGTGCGGACCACCACGCTCCAGCTATCCAGGGACTTGCCCGAAAGTGGTCCAAGGTTGTCTGGCGGCGAGACTGTGTGGTTGGGCTTGACTGACAAGCATGCTAGGATATTTGAGCACTTCACAGACTTGCAGACACGCAACCAGGCTGGCAGGTACCGGATCCTCCAGCTCCTGAACGAACTCTTAGATCACCATCGCAAAGGTAGGCTTGACTGGCTTCTTTGCACCGGACGTCCTACTGACCTGTTGCAGCCGTAAGGGACATGAAAGACGAGTCCCTTGTGGGTATCACGAACTTGGTGGCAGGCGAAAAAGACCCTCGAAACCTGATGTTGATCTTCTCTATGCTGAGGGTTCTTATGGTTGAATGGGACATCAGAGACCATGTACAAACCATGTTCGATTCTGTATATGCTTACTTTCCCATCACCTTTCGTCCGCCTCCCAATGATCCCTACGGTATTACAGCTCAGGATCTGAAAGACAGACTACGTGAGTGTCTGGCTTCTACTGGAGCGCTGGCACCCTACACCTTCCCCAACATGCTGGACCGCCTCGATTCTACCTCCACCACTGTCAAGAAGGACTGTCTACAGACTCTGACCGCCTGCGCTACCAACTATGACCCTGAGACGCTAAGCCAGTTTTCAATACCCCTCTGGGACGCCGTCAAGTTTGAGGTATTGCAAGCCCAGGAGCCAGAGCTGGCAGAAGAAGCTCTGCATGTCCTCAAAGCCATCGCTAATTGCTTATCTACTGCTGCTCACACCTCCCAAAGTAAAACGACATCGTCACTCCACCAGTACTTGACACCTATCAACAAAGAATGCCTGGAACATCTGCAAGAGCCGGCGACACGGCAGGCAAAAGCTTCCGGTGACATCCTCAAAGCAGTGTCATCAGCCTCGGTCCAATCTTTCGAAATTGTGGTCCAAACCGTTGGACCAGCACTATTAGGTATCTATCAGTCTTCGAATGGCTTGGTGCAACAGCGAGCGATTCTGGAGATTGCCAACCAGCTGTTCGAGGCTGCTATTGAGGTCTATGGCTCTTGGACAGCTCCAAGCCCTAAAAATCCTCAAGGGCGACAGAATCTTGTCGGACAATTCAAGGACAATTTTGTGGCCCTATATAGTCAAGCCTTGATGGGGACGGTCAAGGAAGAGGTTTCATTCCGGCTGACGGCTGCAAACGGGCTGTTGTTGGTGTCGAAAATGAATTCGGTGCTCACGGATGACGAGATCGGTCTTTTCGTCCAATATTTCGATGATATTGTCCTCAGGGAAGAGTCCTACGGCCGAGACGAACTGAAAAGGAAAGCCATGACGGCGTTGGCCGAAATATCTCAATTCAAGCCTAATTTGATCTCCAACATCACATTTCCAGCTTTTATGGCACGTTTACCTGACTCAGAAGAAGAGGCACGGACTAGTGATTTCGGTTCTGTGCTTGAAGGGCTGGCGGAAATCAGTCGAGAGAAGGAATTGCTGGGGACGCTGATGAGACGTCTCTTGAATAAATTGGACATTCTTTTCAGCTCCAGTCAGGGTCCTCCATTTCCCTACACATGCCAAATCTTGGGTACAATTCTTTACGTCTTGAATCGCAGCGTTTCAGACCAAAATGCGACTTTGGATGCATATTTCGAACGGGTCGTCGTGGCACTGTCCCGAAGAATATCAGATGCCAATCACGGTCCGCTGGCGAATGAGAACGTGCTGGATCTGCTTGGTCGAATCATGAACCTCATCGTTCGACACTCTGCGGAACCGGCGGTTCAACGGACTTCAGAATGCTTTTATTCTCTATTCACTCAATCATCAGCCGGCGAAGGATCTGACAGCTTCGTCAACTTGATCGATCAGCCTACCCGAACCATTCTATCGACATGGCTTTTGGCAGCTGTTCCCAGAAGCACGAACTCTCCACTGCTGACAAGGGAACAACTTACCCTGAGCATCCAAAACTTGGTATCATTTGCTTCAAATGCTCAAAGTCCGGCAGTCATACAGAGTTGTCTTTCTCAAGTTGCTCTCTATGTCAACAAGCATTTTGCAACCGCTGATCTTGAGTTCGTTGACAATTTAGTCTCGGAGAAATTGTCCGCACTCAAGGACGAACCCATGGACGAGACCACAACGCCCGATTTCGACATTCGCCTCCTTTTTGCCCTCTTCAAGGCTCTAATTCTCCGACTTTCGCCGAGAACGAACGGTTATCTGGCCAACCTTGTCGAGCTCCTTGATTCGAGACAGTATCCCCACCAAGTTTCTCAGCAAGCAGCCCGGGGGTTTGCTACTATCTTGGCAGCCGACGACATTTTGTCCAAGCAGAATGGAGCGCAAATTAGGTTGCTTGCTCCTCAGCGCGTCTTCCAAACCCTCACGCCAATGATTTCCGACAAATTCAGAACATCACAGTCAACGCTTGAAAAAGAGAATTATCTGGTCGCAATGAGTGGTATCATGGCGTCTGTTCCTTCAGAGATTGTGATGCCAGAGCTTCCCACCCTCTTGCCCCTCCTCTTACAATCTTTGGACATTGCAGACCAAACTGTTAAGATTGCTACTTTGGAGACGTGTGCAGTTGTTCTATCGAACAACCCTGCTGCGCTTGAGGAAAGCGGACACATACCGGCACTGGTGAAGCGACTTATCGCTGTTGCAACGGTGACGAAATCTAAGGCGCCCGTTCTTGTGAAAACAGCCTCGCCTGGCCAGGGGTATACGCCCATTCCACCAACGAATCTACCGAAAACCCGTCGCCTAGCCACACGTTGCCTCACTTTAATGCCCAAATACATTTCAGCAAGTGCATCACGAGCCAACCCTCTGATTGCACTCAAGCGTGAAGTCCTGCATGGGCTGACGAATATTTTGGATGACCCGAAGCGGGATGTGAGGAAAGAAGCTGTTGATGCTAGAGCAGCTTGGCTAAGGGATGTCGATGATGTAAATGATGACGATGCGTAGACATGACTCTGCGGCGTAACAGGTACAGAAACGGGTCTATAGAACCAAGTGCACATAGGAATAGAGAAGCATGCTGAATGAACATTTGAAACATGAGGAGTGCCATGACAACAAAGCATCAAAGGAATGTGATTTCCTTGCAGATAACTGTATAGCCTCATTTCAAAGGAATGGCACCTGACGTTGAACCGCCTTCTCAGATCAATGCTCTCGCCCAGACGGAGTGAAAGGTTGGCCACGCAAGGGATCATTCGGTGGGGAGGGAGGATTCGGGGTTCGCAGCCTTGCGTGGCAGCCTTGCGTGGGAGATTACATAAGTAGAGTTTGTGCGGAGAAACTTTTTTGCCCTCCAAAGGCGCAGGCAAAAGCCTCTCTGCCAGCTCCAACATTCCACGCGATGCTTTAAGGACTGTGATCTGATAACAGTGCCAGTCTGTCGTCCAAGAAGTCCATCGACTGCAAAATCCGTGAGATCACCAGCCGATGAAGCGCCTCAATCAAGCGTGGATCTCATTATCAGGTGAATTCCATTCCCGTCAGAATTCATACCATCTTCTCCAACATGTCTGAACAGCGGTCCAGCGAACCTCGCATCAGGTCTCATAAGAGAAGTACTGCACACCGCAGACGTCGCGATGATGACGACTTTGACGAGCGATGGGGCGATGAGGAGATTGTGGAAGACGAAGGACAAGGCACAGAAGACGATTTCGTGGAATCCTCGTCCAAACGGGTAAAACTTTCTGATGGCTCGGCGTCGCACCGATCGAGGAATCATACACCTCCGGAAACGGATGAAGAGCGAGCGCAGAGGGAAAGAGAAAAGGATGCGAGAGAACGAGATGAGTTTGCGCAGCGGTTGGCAAAACGGGATGAAGAACGGGCAAAGAAAATCGTCGAGGACAGGTCCGCCGCCAAGGACAGTGCGACTGCTCAGCGACGAGCATTGGCCGATGATGCAGCGGCAAGAGATGCCGCGATGCCGGATCTGAGACTACGCTCCAGACAGGACTACCTGAAGAAGAGAGAGGCGGAAAGACTGGCTCTCTTGCGCAAGCAAGTCGCCGAGGAGCAAGCGGAACTCAGGGACAATCCGGACCTGTCTCGGCGAGAAAAGGAGGAATTTGCGCGCAACAAGGAGATTCTGCGCCTTGCCGAAGAGAGGCTGGCGATCGATGATCACCTCGACGGTTATGCTCTCCCCGAGGACTACATCACAGAAAAAGGCAAGATTGACAAACGTAAAAAGGAGCAGGCTCTGTACCAGCGGTATGTCGATCGAGATGAAGCCGGAAGAGAACGATACGTTACCGAGCACGAGGAGTGGGAGAAAGAGCAGACCAGGAGAGCCGAAGCCCAAGTCAAAAGAGCCGAATATGTCGACGAGGGCGAGTACACTTATGTATTCGACGAGAGCCAGCAAATGAAGTTCATATTATCCGACACCTTGGAAGGAGACAAAGGCATGAGCCGGGAACAGAGGGAGATGCAGCAGAGGCTAAGCGCGGCTGAAGCGAAGGCCAAAAGCATCGAAGAAACGAGGAAGAGCCTGCCCATCTATCAATTCCGGGATCAGATCATTCAGGCCGTTAAGGATCATCAAGTTCTGATCATTGTGGGTGAAACAGGAAGCGGGAAGACAACACAGCTCCCGCAGTACCTCCATGAGGCCGGCTTCACGAAAGGCGGCATGAAGATTGGGTGCACACAGCCCCGGAGAGTGGCTGCTATGTCAGTCGCCGCAAGAGTAGCAGAGGAAATGGGCAAGCGGCTGGGAAACGAAGTCGGCTACGCCATTCGGTTCGAGGACAACACCAGTGAGAAAACCGTGCTGAAGTATATGACGGACGGTATGCTGCTGAGAGAACTCCTGACGGACCCTGAACTGTCCCAGTATTCGGCACTTATGATTGACGAGGCGCATGAACGGACAGTGAGTACCGACATCGCATGTGGGCTGCTAAAAGACATTGCACGAGCGAGACCCGATCTGAAACTTCTGATATCCTCCGCCACAATGGACGCGAGGAAGTTTCAGAAATACTTCGATGACGCACCAATTTTCAATATTCCAGGCAGGAGATATGCAGTGGACATACACTATACGGCGCAACCGGAAGCCAACTATCTGGCTGCTGCTATCACCACGGTCTTCCAAATCCACATCACGCAGGGAGCAGGAGATATCCTTGTTTTCCTAACCGGGCAAGAGGAGATCGAAGCGATGGAGGCCAGTCTACAAGAGACAGCTCGCAAACTAGGGAGCAAAATCAAGGAGATGATCATCTGCCCCATTTATGCCAACTTGCCAACAGATTTGCAAGCCAAGATTTTTGAGCCAACACCCGCAGGAGCAAGGAAGGTGGTTCTAGCCACCAATATCGCGGAAACATCACTGACCATTGATGGTATCGTCTACGTCATTGATCCAGGCTTTGTCAAAGAGAATCAGTACAATCCTCGGACGGGCATGGAGTCGTTGGTCGTTGTCCCCTGTAGTCGGGCTTCAGCTGGCCAACGCGCTGGTCGTGCTGGTCGAGTTGGTCCGGGCAAATGCTTTCGGCTTTATACCGCTCAAGCCTATAAGAATGAACTCGAAGAAAACACAACTCCCGAGATACAGAGAACAAACCTCTCTGGGGTTATTCTCCTGTTGAAGAGTCTTGGAATCAACGATCTTCTCGACTTCGACTTCATGGATCCTCCTTCCACTGACACCATTGTCCGTGCGGTAGAGCAGCTGTACGCGCTGGGCGCCTTGAACAATGCCGGGGAGCTGACCAAGGTCGGTCGCCAAATGGCAGAGTTCCCCACCGACCCCATGCTCGCGCGCGCAATCCTTGCGGCAGACAAATACGGATGCGTAGAAGAGGTCCTCTCCATTATCGCAATGCTTGGAGAAGCATCAGCACTCTTCTTCCGACCCAAAGACAAGAAAATCCACGCCGACAGTGCCAGGGCCAGATTCACCAACAAGGACGGTGGCGATCACCTTTCACTGCTGAACATCTTCAATGAATGGGTTGATTCGGACTACAGTTTTGTGTGGGCCAAGGAAAACTTTCTACAACAGCGAAGCTTGACTCGAGCGCGTGACGTCCGCGACCAACTCGCAAGGCTATGCGACCGGGTCGAGGTGGATGCCAGTAAGACTTGTGGCGCCGCATCAAACATTGAACCGATCCAGAAGGCCATTACTGCAGGGTTCTTTCCTCATTCAGCCCGACTTCAGCGAGACGGCCAGAGTTACCGCACTGTCAAGAACGGGCAAGTCGTTTACATCCATCCCTCAGGCGTGCTCATGGAGAGTCGACCGAAGTGGGTCATCTACCACGAACTGGTGCTGACGAGCAAGGAGTACATGCGCAGTTGCATGCCCTTGAAACCGGAGTGGTTGATTGAAGTCGCGCCACATTATTACAAGAAGCAGGATTTGGAGAGCCTGGGCGTGGAGAGGAAAGTACCCAGGGGCGAAGGCAAGGCACAAAGTAAGATATGATGGAGGAGGAGGTTATGTAAATGAGACACGACGTGGGGAGATGTATCTGCCATTAGATGAGAAGTATTTTCTTCCCAGGGCCAAGTATCTCCTGTTGTCGTCCCCAGGTTCTTGTCTCTCCCTGTCGCGTCGCTGGACGAGGCTTCAGCGTGACGCTGGCGGTCGATGACAGCCTAGTCCCTGCCAAGCCCCACACGTGCCGTGCCGCAAACCTTCCCCGTGTCACTATCAGAAGAAATTTTTTTTATTTCTGCCCCAATATTTTGTTTCGCTCGCCCGCCTGAGTTCGGGAATAATCACCATGTAAGTACCTAGGTAGTCTATCTTGGATCTCGAAGGGACATCTTTTTTATCAAAAACATGTCGCAAGGCGCAGGATCAGTGTCCCATCCAAGCTGCAAAGTCATCCTCGCCGGCACCATTGCCAAGGGACTCTTGGCCGAAGTCCAAGCCGGTCTGAAGGAACTCGATCGCAAGCCGCACTTGCTGGGGATCCTGGCGAACAATGATCCAGCCGCGAAAGTCTATGCAGATTGGACGGAGAAGACGTGTCGTGAGAAGTAAGTCTTTCTTGTTTCTTTTCGTCTTCGTCGAAGCAGCACACCATTCTCGTGCACCATTGGGGGGCAAGGATGGATGTGTCCAGGGAGGAAAAGAGTGAGGAACAAAAAAACGGACACGCGAAGCTAATACTGGACGATCCCACCTCTGTTCTTGAATCTCCGAATGCGGTCCTGACGTGATTATTCCAAATTTGACAAAACAGTGGCTTCTCGTACACGCTGCAACAAGCGGCCAAAGATTCGGTCGAGGAGGTCGTGCTGGCGGCCAACGCCAACCCGGCCTACGACGGCATCATCATCTACTACCCGATCTTCCACAACCGGGGCCAAGACCAGTACATACAGAACATTGTGTCGCTGTCCAAGGACGTCGAGGGGCTCAGCCACCAGTACATCTTCAACATGTACCAGAACATCCGGTTCCTGGACGAGGCGCAGATGGTGAAGAGCATCCTGCCGTGCACGCCGCTGGCGGTGATCAAGATCCTCGAGCACCTGCACATCTACAACACGATCCTGCCCTACGGCAACAGACTGTTCGGCCGCACCATCTGCGTCGTCAACCGCAGCGAGGTCGTCGGCCGGCCGCTCGCCGCCCTGCTCGCCAACGACGGCGCCTGCGTCTACTCGGTCGACGTCACGGGCGTGCAGCAGTTCACCCGCGGCGAAGGCATCCGCAAGCGGAAACACGAGGTGGTGGAAAAGGAAGGCTGGACCATCGAGAATTGCGCTCCCCTGTGCGACGTCGTCATCACGGGTGTGCCGGGCGAGGCTTACAAATTCCCCTGCCACCTGTTGAAGGAGGGAGCCGTGTGCATCAATTTCTCCAGTGAGAAGGTAAGCTTTTTTTCCGGTTGTCCTCCTCCTCCAACAACTCCACTTGTGGGATTTGCTCGAATTATCATCAAACTCACCAGTTTTGTGACCTTGTCTTTGTTTTAGAACTTCCCTCCCGAGGTCAAAGAAAAGGCGTCCATCTACGTCCCCGCCATCGGCAAGGTCACCATCGTCGTGCTCCTGCGCAACCTGCTGCGCATCGTACAGAACCGCCAGGCACAGACGAAGCAGGAGCAACAACAATCATCCCAGCTCCTTCAGGCCTCCTTCGCGCACGGAAGCGCTTCGGGAGCCGAGGTCAAGACTCAACAATAAATAATGCAAACCATAATACTGGGGCAGATGGTGCAAAACTAGACACGACGCTGATCGGTGTCGCGAACGTAGCTCTGCATATCACGGCGTACTAGTTAGAGCTCGATCCCAATTTTCGGGGGTGGGATTTCAGGCAGATCACAGAGTCTGCCATTGTGTACCAATGCACGCGCACGCGCCGCACCATAGAAATGTTGCTATATCTCGAAATGGGTTCGCGGAAGCAGCGCATATACTTGATAGAACCGTTGACAGGACATGTGAGAATGCATGAGAAAGTCGCTGCCAAGTTTATTCTAACATATCATGAGTTATGTGATATGGCTAGGACGAGAGACGGCACGCCTTGCGCCGAGTTCTCTTGTTCCCGAACCAAGATAGCAAAGACATATTTCCCAATTGGTCCCAGGGAAATTCCCGGCCTTCCCGCAACATCTCAACAATCATAAAGCATCGTCATTCGTAAACCGTCGTTGTGCAACTCGCTTTCGTCTAGTACAGGAAAACACGATTATGGTGATCAAGGCCCTTCTGCCTGCGAGAAACAACTTGTGATCCAACCATCCTCCGCGCTTGTGTGCATACCGTGCAACTGAAGTATGCGGTCCAGAATGATTTGGCACTGCGGCATGGACTCGATCCCTGCTTTTCTCACCACGTGGGAAAATCGCTCTGCAAACCAGCCCTCGTTCTCGACCGTCAAGGAATCAGGGTCAGACGCCGAATGTTCAGCTGTGGCTCCGGTCCAAAGAACCCACAGTGCGAGTGGCAGTCGCCTGGCGTTATCTTGTGGTCCGGCCATGTCCAAATCAGCCGCATCATAGACCGTCAGTATGTGTCGAAGCTTGCTCAGCATAATAGGATTCCACACAAATAGCCTCCTGTGGTCTGTCATCTTAATATTTTCAATCCCTCCTAATTCACGAAGCCAGTATATCACACAAAGGATGGCGGAAGCGACTTCAAGTTTCTGCAATATGAGGGAGGACGTTGTTACATGAATCCCTTGGCTAAGTATGGCAGGGACGTCGAGGTGGGCGTAGAGGTTCATCAGTCTTCCAGTTGTCAGTATGATTTTCGAGACGGCATAGACCCACGTCTGTGAGATATCCAGAGATGTCTGTCTGCGAATTTTTATCATGACATCAAGCGTTTCTTGAGCGTCGAGGAACAGAGTACGAATGTCACCTTGCAGATAGGAATCCAGGTTTCGATCTGCCTCTGACCTCGATGTCAAAAAGAATGGGGAGACTGCTTTCCACATCGGCAACAGCTGTTTTTCGGCCCATCCATCCTCCCTGAGGTCGACCGACGTTGTTGAGAAGTTCATGGCAGCAAATTGAACTTCGAGGTATATTACATTGATGTATTGGAGGAGGTTCAAGGATGGGTCTGCAAAGATCTCATCCTGGTGGGTCGCGAAGATGTCCTTCAGGACCGTAACATGTTGAGAGAAGGCTTGTCTGTCTCCCAGAGAGGCATCGGCGAAGAGGAGGATTAGGAGGGCACGGTAGAGTCGAGGAATACTAATGTGAGGAGTAGTGGTCATGTAATCTTTGAGCGAAGCCACTCCCTTGTACCGGAATTGGTATGCTGCGTCGAGGTGCTCCGGGTTGGTCGTGACGAGGTGCATGGTGGCGGCGATTCGAGACAAATAGCTGTGGCTCGCAATGCTGTCGTACAGGTAGGCTTTACTCTCGGTGATCCATGTCTCGGTGAAAGGAGCCTGGGTGGGAACATTCTCTTTAGCTGTCATGCGCAGCTCGAGTGCTCGGACAGCAGGAACCACGCATTCCCTCTCAAAGCCGAGAAGTGAGCTGGTTGTGGCTGCAAGCTGCTCAGAGAGCACATTGGAAGGCTCTGAGCTGCTGTTTAGCAGGACGACGTCGAGCAAAGACGGTAAGCTGCGAATGGATCTTGACAAGGTAGGTGCTTGGGCTGTGTCGGGAGGTCTATCCTCGCGGGTGGCGCGGCTGGGGACCGACTTGGAAGATTTCAATTGAGGATCAAAGGCTTCATGAAACCTGGATGATTCCAAGAGCCGGCGAGCATCTTGTCCCTTTTTCCAGCGACGGTAGCCGTGGACGTGGCGCGTCACTCTCTGGCGGTGTGGAAGGGTGCTCAAGCTCGACGCATCGACATTCACAAAAGAAAAATCTCCTTGGAACATCGGGCCCGATGTCAATATGGCAGTTACGGTAAAGGGGAGTGAAATCAGTCGAGCTCGAGCAGAAAAAGGCTCGCTCTTGGGATGGCAAAACAAGTGGGGAGAAGGCAGGGAGGCTGATATGCAGTCAGGATGAGGACTGTTGATGCCCCGGGGCGATTGACCCGGAAAGAGCGGACGCTGTGAGCAGCGATTGAAGCGGCGACACCTTCACCGAAGCTTCACTTCCAGGGAAATGGACTTCGGGCAGCGACAGCGCCTCTTGGGGTCCACGGTAGGTTTATGCACTCGTGGCAATCTCCATCTCGCAGCCTCCCTGGCAACCCCCCTAAACTGGTCACCGTATTTGCCATGGCTGGCTAATGCTATGACCCATTTGCCACTCCTTCATTCTCTCGTGACATGATGGATGGGAATAAGAAGGGCGTGGTGGTGGTCCAATCATGAAAATCTCTTCGAAAGAGAAGCTACCAAGCTGATTTGCATATTTTGTGGAGACAGTTGGTGCCATCAGGGCCAGGGCTTAGTCACTTGTCGCCTAGACATATTTATACCTCAGGGGGGTTGCCAGCCAGGAGATCTTGCGCTTGTGAATCTCTCGGATCTGTTTCTTTCTAGAAGCACGGGGGCACGCCTCCGTCTGTTTCCCTAGCAGACGTAGGGCTGCTCAGGTAGGTTTCATGAGGTGGAAGGAAAGAACTTCGCATGATCCCTGTGGTTCAATTGGAATACATTTGATGCGCCATCAGGATGCCGGACTATGGTCCGTGGACGTTCAGTCACTACTAAATGCGATACTCCGACAAGAGTGAATACCGACAACTACTGCCACTCGATTGCCGCCATGACACCAACCGAATTCCGGAGATTTCCATGCTATATCCCAGACACCCACGCCTGAAATGAGAAGACAGAGAGGATAAGGCTACAGCCTCTTTTCAAGCTCAAGGGACGTTCAGCAGGTCTTCAAACTCTGGGAGATCATGCGACTCCAGAGTGGGCAATCTGTCAACCTCAGCGCGACCCAAGATTTGGCTGTGGCGACCAGCAGCAGAGACAGACAGTGGTGAGAAGGAGAAAGCGTCAAATTGCTGGAACTCCGTGGTCAGAGGCCTCTGGACTCGGAACATCTCGGTGGCCAGGTCTTGTTCAGAGTAAGTCGACATGGCTGCAATTTGTGCGTGGAGATCTGCGATGCGCCTTTTCAACTTGGTCACTATTTCAGCCTGTTGCGAGTATGAGTCGAGGAGCCTCTGATGCTTCTCGCCGAGATTGTCCAAAGTCGACTTCAGACTTTTGAGGTGCTTCTCTTTGCGTTCGCGAAAAGCACGTTGAGACGCGCGGTTTTGCGCTCGGCGCCGCTGCAGGCCCTGTTCTGTCAGACTTGTGCTTCAATCGGTAAGAATACCCTGGAATATTCTCCCAGGCTTCTTCAATATCCCAAGCTTGATGACCTTGGAAAGCAGTGCCAGCTGACTTACCAATTTCGTGCTAGAATCTGCAGGTTGCTCCGAATCTGTGGTTGTGGACGCTGTCGATTGCTCTGTGGGAGAGACTCCAACATCACCAAGATTCAATCGGTCTCTGGCGATAGAGTCATCTGGGTCGGCAGTGAGCATTTCTGAGAAGTCCACATTGGTGAACTGGTGGAACTCGTCCAGGAGCTGAATCTGACTGTCAACACTCCTTTCCCAGCACGTCCCAAGGCGTGCACCGTGGACTTACGTCGAGATCGTCAAATTCCCCCGGATCTACAAGGAACAGTTCTGAGGGTGTGAAGGGAGAAGTATTCGAGAGATCATCAAAGTGTGAGGCATTCATGACGGCCATTGTCCTGGTTATCAGGGAGATCGATTATGGATCTGTTGCTTGATAACTCGAGTTGGGAAGATGTTCTGAAGATCAGGTAATGATCGAGGATCGAAACACGAACTCGGTCAGGTCTTGGTCGAGATCATGTCTTTACATAAGATAGAGACGCGGATCTGGAGAAGGTCTTCGGTTGATATGCGGTTCTTTTGCACAATGGCCTTGTACCAGGGACTCCGTGCACAAACTCATGAGGCCCCCTTTGGAAGGCGCTAGCCAAGGCTAGTCTCCACCAAGCTACAGTAGGTTGGCGTAGGTTGGCGTTGGTTGGCAAATGGTATAGACTCTTTGCCCTACCGAATTCGGTATAGTAGGATTACATTGCATTCATGGCGGCATGCCCAGACGAAATGTGCACTGTGGCTTGCAGAGAGCATTCCTAATGGCTCCCGGTCCTGATACGAGCCATCTCCCAAGTGTGTTGGCGTGCATGGAGCTAAAGGGTCTCTTGTGACTCAAAAGCGTAGTAGTCAGCTCTTCCAGAACTTCCAGCGAACACCCAGTGCAGCCCAATCACAATTCCTACCTGCCCTCCTTGATGATTCCACAAGGGCCCGGGGGCAAATGATATTCAGGTCCCTGAGAGAAGCTACGAGCACATGTGCGGTTCGGGCGCTGCCAAGGTGGTCTCTTACAGGAGGCATTTATTGAGGAGGGCGCAAGGGAGAACCAAGGGTCAAAGTGGTGGACGGGGACTGTCTACTTGCAGTAAAGTTTAAGAAGAGACTTGTCCATGATAGGGAAACACAACGTCATACATATTTCCGGGCTCGTAGGGACCCTGCGCTGCCAGACGTGCGAGAACAATGACTCCAGGACATATTTCCTCTCTAAGGTATCGTGGTGGTCGGTCCATCAGCAATATTGCGACGCTGCAATGTCGTACCTACGCAGTGAGCAAGTATCAACGCCTCAAGAGAAGCCGAAACCCCGATCCAGAGTGAGAGGACGAAGCGGTAGAAGGTCGGTGCTTTACAGCTATCGACCAGACGAGATGTTCAGAGGGTTTGCAGAGCGGGTGACTCGAGAAAATTAGCTCACACAACTATAAGTTGAGAGTCTTGAAAGCAGCCACGATATCAACCGGTCTCGTTCCCGCGCGCATGATGTCGAAGGTTTGCGCCATAACAGGAAGCACGCCAGCCAGGAAGTGACCTTAGTTTTCGAAGCATTGTAAATCTTCTAGAAGCTGTGTTGGCCGCAGATCTAGGCTTCGCCCTGTGTAGCCGTTCGAGACTACCTGGAGCAAGCGTAACTCTATTACGCATCGCAACATGGAGCCACAGTTGCGTAACAGTGTCATAGGCTTCTGGTACCCTTTTACTGAGGACGGCACCAGCGGGTCCTCATAGTCGACTTCCATGTGCTCGTGGAACGCAGACAGCTGACAGGGTCATTTCCAGGGCAGCTATAGTTCAGCCTTGCGGACTTCCCTGTCTGAGTCAACATTGGCACGCAACATCAGTCAGTTCTTGCAAATATAATAAATGTAACCTTTGTCCCGTCAGCAGACCCTTTCCAACTTGCATATTATCCCCTAGTTCGCCCCGGAACGTGCCACCACACATCGTCATCGGCTTTCCTTGAGCTCAACAAACGTGAACAGGTGGTGGAGTTTCTCCCAAGGGTCCCCGATGAATGCTTGGCCGTAGATTGCTAGCAGCACTGGCCGACGGCCAAAAGTACACACAGCCACCACCTCAGATCGCACCGGGAAGCCACAAATTTCCACATTGGGCAAATGGGGACGTTGCTTGGAGACCAGTGACTCAGTAGTGAGTCAGTCAGTTGGGCGGGCGGCAGCAGCAGCATTGAGATGAGCCGTCTGGACCTCTTGCGAAACCCCTAGTGAGCCAAAAGAATATGCTTGATTGGACGGGGGTCGAAGCAAATGGAAGTAAGGTTTCATCAACCCAGAGGGACTCATGGACATTATTTCCATGAACCCTTGATCGAGTGTCGGCTGCAGCAGTGAGAGGAAGTGGTGGGTCGTTGAATGTTGAAAAGGTCGCTGTCGGGGACCACTTTGCTTTTCCCGACGGGAAAGCCGTGTTAAATGTAGCAAAGTTTCAAGACCCCGGAACTCTCTCAAAGGGGCGCTACATTGACCGATGCGTGGATTTGTTTTGAATTTGTTTGGTTGGCACCATTTTCTGTTCTGGGCAATTTTCTGGCATACGGGTTCGTATTAATGTCGCTTCATCCCGCACACGCCGTGATTGGACAGCCTCGTCTCAGTCCCCAATCAACCAGAGTCTTCAGTCTGCCGTGTTGGTGGCAGCAGTGCTAGTAATTGGCATTCGTTTTCATTTGTGTGCAGAAAGTACGCGGGCAATGACGAGTCGATCGAGGGCAAGGGTTGATCTGTGAAGATGGCAATTGGACCCGAACTCGACGGTATGCCAAGTGTGGGCAACGAGAATTCGAACACGGTCAGGCTGTGGCTTGAACGCAGTGAGCGAAAGCAGCTTTCCGTGAGGTGATCACAGGATCCCAGAGCCTAGTTCGGATGCAGTGCGATGTCTATGGTATCTTCTACCTAGATGCAAGATAAGCCGTGTATAAGACGATACCCACACCTCGAGATCCCATGTCTGGACACTCGGCCGACTGAGCTTCGAGGACCATTCTGATCCTGTCTCTCTTCAAGTCGATAAAGCTTTTGCTCCCGTCATCTCGCTCACTTCATTGATGATCAAACATACAACCTTCCGATATATATATAAATGATTGCGAGTCGTGGAATTGCACCTCACAGCAGCAGCACCTCTCATCTCATCGGCGTTGCTGTCTCTGGATCTCCAACTCTATAGCGATAACGGTCCCTCACAGCTTGGCCTTCTCGCCGATCGAGCCGATCTTCAACTTGGGCCCATACTTCTTGAGGACGGATTCGTTGTGATACTAGATGTGCGTCAGCTTCGACTTCTTGTCAATCGTCCTTGAACTCTGAGTTGGCGCGTGACTATCGCAACCAGCCCAGATGCGCGTGCGCTCACCTTCCAGAATTGCTTTGTAGCATCTTTCCCACCAACCCGTTTCAAAATCTTGGCTCCACCAGGGTGCTCGTCCACGAAGTTTGTCACATCATAGACGGACCCATCAATGATGATGTACATGCCATCGCTGGCGGTGGCAGTGTGTTTGGCCACATCGGCAGTGGTGAAGGTTTTAGACATCTTGAAAGTATTATGAGGAATTGTTCCGGCTGGAAGTGTCAAGGTGTTTCTGAGGGAGGTCTGCTGCGGTGGTCGGAAAGTGACGCAGCCTGTTCGCAGTGCTTGCTCCAACCGGTCTTCCGAGCAGAACCTTTAATGAGGAGGATCAAGCCGACTTGTTTGATTGGAACCGACTCTTTCTAGGGATGTTTCTTCAAAATGCACGGGTCGTGTGCCGAGTGCGCTCGCAATGCGGGAGGAGGGACGACGGTGGTATGATCGGGCTACAGCGACAAGAAAGGCAGGAAATAAAGAGACGGTATATACAGTCACGTAGAAGGTGATGAAAGCGCGGTAGATTTCTCTATAACAGAGGATGATGAAACAACGGTCAAGGATGATCACAGGCGGGAATATTAATCGATCAGAAGAGAAGCAAGCGATGCGGCAAAAGGTGGGAAAGATGCCGAGGTCCAGTTCCTGGCCGATTCCGACTTCAAGTTTCTCGGCCCGGTCAGCCAACTTCAGAGCCACTCTATTGGTCCGCCATGCCGCAACCACTGCGAAACATAAGTCTTCCTACAATTATTCAAGTTCAATTATATCCTCCAACTGGTGGGACATGAACGGTAGGTCAACAAAAAGAAGTTTTCTGGTAATTTGGGGAAGCTAATGTCGTTCAACATTGTTATCGGGGATGGGGAGAGTTCTTTCGGCTGGAGCGTTCGATGTCGCTGATGTTGAGAAGAATACGGATACTCTTCATCATGAAGACCCGTTACCATCAAGAACGGCTGAGGACGTCCACAACCAGGAGTATCAGGAAAGAGAGTTCATTCACGGCGACGCACGCACTCCCCGCCGCGGCAGACGCAGAGAGTGAAGATGAGCATGAGAATGAATGTGATCGAAATGGCCCACGCCCGTCAGCATCTACCGAGGATCTACATGGTCAAGAGACAGGAGCAGCTGAGAAAGTCAGTGGTTTTGGGTGTTCCCTCGTTTCCCTTTGGCAAAGCGTCATTGTCCAACTCACACGCAACACTATCGAGGTAGGCATGGGGGATCTGGGTATTGATACGACCTGAACAATGATCCAGGGAGTAACACCAGTTCCAGCGACCGTGCAAGAGGCAACCGCAACCTTACTACCGATACGTCCATCAAGGGTTTTCTCAAGCATCACGGACAATCGTCTAGCGTGCGTGCTCGCAGAGTGCTGTGGCAGAGTGGGGGATCAACGCTGGCCCTGACGGCAGCGCCAAGCAGAACGTGTATGGAATACCATTAATCTGGCATGATTGTTGTGTGTTGTACCGTAGGTATGCGTACCTCGTATTCTGTGACCAATTCACATACAAGAAAGTTGGTTGTTCAGCTTTGCTAGTGTTCCATGGATAAAACGTGCCGGACGGGCAGAGACAATATGCAAGGACATCTGAGCAACAACGGTACGCTTTGTAAGACAGAACACTCCGCTGGAATACCTGACTTTGCCCTCTGCTCGAAAAATACAATAATACGGCCCGTGGGGGCTATCGGTGGAGTGAGCATTGATGCGAGGTGCGAAGCCGCAATTCCGCCGCCATCGTTCTAAACAGAACAAAGCGCTACAGCCTTGCTTAGTTGAACGCCGTCGAGGCCACGAGGACCAATAGCATCATGTCTTGCACAGCCTTGCATACGGGGATTCATAACTAGTCTCATTTAGGCATTCGCACCATCTCTATCAGGAAAAGGCTGGTACCTGCCGGGTCCAAATGGGCAGCATCATCGAGGGTGCCGAGTCTGAGTATAAACAGCATCAAGGGCAGAAAATTCACCACTGCTGACGCTCTTCACTTCTCTCCTAAGCATATATCTCTCCTCACCCTAAGGCGACCTATTTCGCAAAAGCAAGAAAAGAAAGAGCAAAAAAGGAGCCAGAGATCGGACGATGGATTTTGATGGTGAATGGTTCATCGAGACAGCAGCAGCATGCTCATCATCACTTGTACGTTGGACACCATAGCGCACCTGATGCTGCTGATGTCAATGCTGCAACAAACTTATGGCTGACAGCCACTCGTCGCAGATTTTGGACGAGGAGGAGGAGACAGCCGCCGCTGCCTTGGATCACAAGTCTCTAGATTTCAGTCTCTATGACCTTGCAACGGCGACGACGTCTCTTCTTCCGTTTTCAGGGGATTCAGGCTCCACCAGAGCCATCTCTGAGACGGGGAGTAGCGGGTCGTGCTCCGGGCCCAGCCTGCCAGACACAGAGGCGGGGATCAAACCGTCGAAGCCGCGGAGACGAAAAGCGCGCATGAACGAGGTCGATGAAGAAACGCAATCGGTAAGCATAAGTCTCTCACCGGGCCTGTGCTCATATCTCCCAAAGTGGTGTGCATTTCGGGGGGAAACAAAGCTTTGTTCTGACGCAAAACACCTCTCCCCTTAGCGTCGTCGAGCACAGAACAGGGAGTCTCAGCAAGCGTACCGGCATCGAAGGGAGGACTATATCCAGCGGCTCCAGAGTCAAATCGTAGCCCTGCACCTGCGTCATCGGGACCTGTGCCAGTCGTATTACTCACAGGACCGGAGATTGAGCCTCCTCAGGGAAGTGGCTGCCGATCTTACCACGGAAGTTAGTATGCTGCGAAGACGACAATCACAATCACAGAATCAGCAGCACCAACTAGAATTCGAGAAAGGAGTCGAGCTAGGGAGTAGCTGCGATTGTACTACTGCTACTCCTATCTCAAATGACTCGATCTACTCAGCCTGTGCCTCAACTCATATCGAGCGTGATGGTGCCGTCTTCCCACCACCACCTCCACCACTCTTGGGCAGGGGTTTGCAGGAATGGCTGCCGGGATCGGCACCAACGTATCCGGCCGCCAACCACGCTTCAGTAAACATGGCTCTGTCGTAGGGGCTTCAGTTGTCAGGGGAGGGAACCAAAGAGGACGCACCATATGCAGGTGGTGGCGGCGGTGCCATAGATTCTGCATGAGCTAGCTGCATACCTCTGAACCAATAATGTATTTGTCGACGGTGATCTTGAAGTGCGGTGATTCGCGTGCATATCGCTGCAAGGAATATGGCCGATGTGCATGACTCCAGGTGGTTGGTGGCAGCAACTCATTTGGCATGCGCGCTGACCAATAGGAAAGCAATGACCAACTAAGAAAGAGGCCCGCTTGGAAACAGGGTATATTGCAACAAATCCCACATTACCTCTTAAGAAGAGCAAGTCACCTGCAAGAAAAATGTCTCCCGAAATCGCCGTCTGAAATCTTCGAGGCTTGATGTTATGGTTCCTGTGCCGTTGGAACATCACCATAGACGAATCCCTCTCCAAGATAGATGGTCGCACCTCCGCCGTACCACAATGTGCCGTTTCGGAAGTCGAGACCCTTCTCCTCGCCCACCACCCATTCGCCTCCAGGCATGATCAAGTGTCCCTCTTGAGGCCAGTATTCCGCTTCAAGCCACTTGTTGATCAATTCGAGCTCATTGATCCAGTGTCTTCGCTTCTTGATGTCAAGGGTCGCGGCCTCGTCCAGCGGATCTCCACCAAACACATTGGGAGAATTAAACCTGGCAATAGTAAGGTGCGCCGAAGGCACAACATATCTGGAGCCAACCTGAATTCCTGAATCTGTAATGGTAGCGTATGTATCACGCCGCAAATGGTGATACGTGTATCGATCGTCATCAGCTGTCCGACCATTTGACGGTGACTCGCCGGCGGCAGGCAAGAAGCTCAACGCAAGCGCCGCCGAGTCGTAGCTCAAAAATGGCTTGATAAGCCTGGCTCTGTGCAAGCAAGTGTGATCGGCGATCGCTTTACAGTGATCTTTGAGCGTGTCCATGAGGCCAGTAATCTCAGCTTCAGTTTTGGAGTGAGCGACCTCCATCACCGTCATATGTAGATTGTCAAGAGGCATAAGCCAGAGGTCTTTATAGTGAGCCGTAGAGAATTCTCTCAGGGTATGGAGCCATACCTGGAGCAGCATCCTTCAGCTTGGACTGTATGACGTCCACCAATGTCTTGACTCTCTGCGGCGGTCTCCCCCAAAAGACAAGACAATGTCGAGGGTCTATGTACGATATTTCCTTTCTGGGCCCTTCAAGTTTGACAAGGTGCTCGTCAAGGATCCAGCCCTTGAAGTCATCACTGAGGATCTTCTCTCGCTGTTGTGCGTTCCGCGTTGTCCGATGTACAGCGTACCGTTCTTGAATCAGTTTCTGAGGCCATGCATTAGATGTTATCACAACACACAGGAGCGGGTGCGGCTGACGGGGTCACCATTACAAGCATTGATCAGGCTGTCGTAAGGGTTTGCAGTGGGAGGAGTGGAGGAGCCAGACAAATCTGCAAAGTCAACTTTAGCCATGGCTTCCTCCTGCCACCCGCTCTTATGGTCGGCCTGACCTAGAGGTACGGTCGAAGACGAGGTTGAAGCCCTCCAAGTTGTGACGTGTGCCTCGTGGTGGGGAGTTGATATGTGCTTCTCGGAGAAAGGAAAATCCGGGAGTCCCTTACTAAGCAGCAGCGGGGCGGTACCTTCGGGAAACCTGCCACAAAACTCGGCTGGTCGCACATTTTCGCACTGTGCGTCTTGGCATCTGGCCGCGGTTTGCGCTCAATCATCGAGCCAGTCGACAAATTCAATCTCAATCACCACCGAACCTAGCTCAAAATCTGCGGCCAGTCACTCAGTCAAGATGGTGAGTTGATCTTCTGTCTCGAATCTGCGATGTGCTGTGTTATACTTCCCTGGGCGATGCATGCCGCCGGCAGTTGGACGATGAGACGAACGATGAAGAGATGGGTCACAATGCCAGAAGAGACGGAACAACGAGGCGATCGCCGGCTACATAAACTCGAATCAAGAAGTTGAAAGATCCTTCCATTCAGATGTCGGCGTGGCTTTGGGAAACGGTGCAATTCGGGGCTCTTTGGACTCGACTATCTTGGTCAAACTGCGAAATCTCAGTGGTACTGGAAATGCTAACTGGTGTCTCTTCTCTCGTCAGGTCAACGTTCCCAAGACCCGCCGCACCTACTGCAAGGGCAAGACCTGCAAAAAGCACACTCAACACAAAGTCACACAGTACAAGGCCGGCAAAGTACGATTCCCCCTTTCAGACCCGATCTGTGGATAACAACATTCGGTGAAGTGGACACTGACAAGCCTTTGAATAGGCCTCGCTGTTCGCGCAAGGAAAGCGTCGATATGACCGCAAGCAGTCCGGTTACGGTGGTCAAACGAAGCCCGTGTTCCACAAGAAGGCCAAGACAACCAAGAAAGTGGTGCTGAGATTGGAGTGCACAGTATGCAAGACCAAGGCACAATTATCGCTGAAGCGATGCAAGCACTTCGAGTTGGGGTACGGCTACAATGGTATTCCTACATAAGATGATCAAGGCTGACATGAATTTCTTGCAGTGGTGACAAGAAGACAAAGGGTGCAGCTCTTGTGTTCTAAACGTGGCGGAGGTTTTGCAGTACTTCAGTGGGACGGCGAGAGACGATGCATAAGTGCGATCAAATCTTCAAGATTCATCTCAGAGAGAATCAGGGATGACGATGAGACTCGGCTGATGGGAAATGAGATGGCGATACAACCACCCAGCACGGCCACATGTGAGATACTCACACGCATTCCAATTTATTGCCTGGGGTCATGATAGACTGGCGCTCTGTATGAGCAGCCTGCCATTTGAATGACCAGCGTCCACAATTGAATGTTACCGTCCAACCTGCTTTTGCGCACATCTGAGGTCTTGAGTTGCTTCAATTTGTTTCACGCCCACAGAGTCGGTCTCATCCTTCCAGTCGTCCAACTAGGAGTTTGACTACATGCCTCTATTTTTCTCTTACAGATGATGGTGAAGGATGTCATGATCGGCTAGGATATATATGCCACAGTACAGGTATATGCTAATTACATTCGCAATCCCCGTCCAACAGATTGCGCGACACCATCCTTTTGCATAGGCGATCACTACTGAACTTAGACCCCCCAAGGCAGGGTGTCTGGTGACCAGCTCCTAGGGCCCATTCCCCAGCGGAAAGGTCGGCACACTGAATACGTGCCCCAAATACGAAGCCACCTGCAGATGCGACCAGAGCGATTTTGTGGCTTACCCCGCGAAAACTGACCTCACCTCCTTAGAGGCCATGAAGTGCGTCGGACGCAAGGCCACCCAAGCAGACGGGATGCAAGCCCAGCGATCATCTCTCCCCCTCATGCGTTGCCCTCATTGCCTCATCAGAAAGAACGCTTCTATTAATATCAAATTCACTCAAAGGGACTGATCGACGTCGACGTCGCCAAACAACTCACCTCTAGTTACAGACTCCAGGTAGGAATCAAGGGCACAACCAATTCATCGACTTGACAAGTTTTTATATCCTACGTACACACCCCTCTTGCATGCATCTATTCCATATTCATTTCTCACCCCCAAGCAAAAATACAACAAGTGAGTTGGCCGCACCACTCGCAGATTCTATCGATAGCACTTGCAACGCCCTTCTATTCACTCCTGAAGTCCTGACTGGAGAGACTTGAGTATCACAACATTGCCTCTCACCAGACATCATCTAGACAATCCACGTCAAAATCACTTTTAACATACCGGGATCGAAGCTTCCCTTTGGTTCTAGAGCGACGAGACCAAATCGTCTTTGACAATCATCATCATCAGCCAAACCTTCACACGCCCCAATTTCACTCAGTCATTCTCGCCCCCACACTCTCTTTCTCTCTCCACTACTACTCCAGACTGTTAATTCCTCCCTCTCATACATACATAAAAGAGACCAAAAATGCCAAGCATATTCACCAACGACACCTCACGGGGTCCGCTGTACCAGTACTGGAAGGAGCGGGGCCAAGAAGAAAAGGCGCTCCGTGAACAGCGCATCCAAGAAGCCCGACTCCGCAGCAAAGGGTTCCGCCCCATGGACCCGGCGTTTGGACCGAGCAGCACAGAGTCTTACGCCCACCGAGCCGCGAGCGGACCACCGGCTTACGGTCACGAATCCGTCGACGCGGAGGGAAGAAGTGAGGGCTCCTCCTCCTCCTCCGCGGCTGCGGTGCGACAACAACAGCAACAACAAGGAGGATCTGCTGGTGCCGTCGTCGACGACAACGAACTCCCCTCATACGGCGCGTTGACAGGAAGACGGTCCGAAGACCTCACAGGCGCGGGCGGCGAAGACCCTCTCCTCCCTGCCGAGGAAGAAAAGGCCCGCCTGCGCCGACTCGAGGACCAGCGGCGCCAGATCCAGGCGGACTCGGCGCTCGCCCAGAGCCTCTCTACCGAAGACGAAGAGGTGGCGACGAAGACGCCTGCCCAGGCTCCCGAGATCAAGGGCATGCCACCGGACGACCGGCGCAAGAGCACGGCGGGCAAGATCGGGCGGTGGTTGGCCGAGGCGGCGACGGGTTATACGAACAAGCAGGAACGGTGGTGAAAAACTGTCCGGTTTGGTTACTTCTTCATGAGCCCACTCGTTGCCATCTCGGAACGGTGGATCTTTTAGGTAATATAGTTTTTTTCCATCTCTATTTGGTTTTCAAATCCTTACCTTCCTTGAGCTGGTTGTTGTAGCATCACTGCAAGTCATGACAACAATGAATGGACCGGGGGAATGGAGCCGAGCCACACAAGACCAGACGACGTGATCCAGCCATCAGTCTTTGCCACCCTTCCCTTCTTCTATTTCCCTTTTGTTCAGATTGCACCACCAAGTGTCAAGAGGTAAGCAAGTGACCTCAATGAGACACACATTTACAAGGCACACGCATCCGATTCCAGAACTGAGAGACGTCAACCCACATCACGCCTGGAATCGAACGTATCATTTCGGTGATTGTCTGTTCGACAAAGGCAGAAAAGATCTCGATTCTTCATTGGCAAAATGACTGAGCGTATCTAAAGACCAACTCTGGTCCCAAGGACAATCATAAATCGTGAGGTGACTAGCAAGAGGACCAACTCCAAAGTTCCCGTCTGTGCCCGTAGCTACAAGGATCGTTTCCATCTGATTATTCCTCTGCGTAGACATTCGTAATCATGATGAAGAAAATTTCCCACGCTTCAGTGGTCGTCATCAGTTCATGATCCCATCAAGACAGCCGGACTCCCATATCCCCCTTTTCAAAAAAACGCCAAGGAGACTCGTTATGTGGCCGTGTTCCATGTTTCTCTCTAAATGCTCAACGAGGGCTCCGTCATAAAAGTTCCTCAAGTTTATCTGCTCCGCTTCCTCCGGCCGTCCGGTCCGAGCAATCCATCCAGGAAATTACCAAACAACTTGCCTCCTGCTCCCTTTCCAGAAAGGATCTCATTTATGCGGTCGGCAAGGGGATCCTCGCCAGGCTCGGGTTTCCTTCGTCCCTTCTCGTCGAATCTAGGCGGTAGCTCGATCGTGGCATCGGAATCAGTGGGACTTGCCACGCGTTCGAGATCTGGTCCTCGGTAACCTGAACTGGGTTCTCCGCGAGACGAGGTCGGTTCGTGAGAGCGACGACGTCGGTGATGTCGGCGTCTGTCTCCATTTTCGCCAGAGTCTGGTTGAAGCGAGCGAGATGAGTGTTCTCGGCCCCTTCGGCGTTGTTCATCTGGGGTCGAATCTGTATCGTCTCCCGCTTCGTAGCCGCGCGAGTGTGAGTGCTTGTGTCTATGACGGTGACGTTCAGGACTTGATGCTTCAGACTCAACCGGTGCGGCGTCAGATACCTGTGGCGTCTCGACAAACTGAACACTCTTTCGATTAGACGGGGGCGGCTGGGATTGAGAACGTGGAGGAGACACACCCCGTCCGGTTGGGGGAGGATATGTTCCCTGACGCGGAGGATACGGAGCCGGCGGTGGAGGAATCGTTGGATCATTGAAGGAAGGGACTTGCGTAGTTGAGGACGGTGGTGCCGGAGCCGGCGCAGAACGATTTAGACCTAGATTCCCGGATTGTTAGCCAGGAGGAACTGCCTTGTCTAAAGGTGAACGATTCAAAAGGTACATGACTATGACGTACCATCTGGGACATGGGTCTGGTCATTGCTAGGAACAATAGGTGCAAAAGGATTGCCAAATACAGGATTCGGCTCAGCACTCACATTTTCAGGACCACGTGGTGCATAGGGGTTCGCACCAGAAGCATACGCATCGTATGGTTGAGTAGGAGCCGGCGGAGCAGCAGGAGGAGGCGGTGGTGGTGGAGGATAGTTCTGTGGAGGGTACGGGGCAGCACCAGGTGGAGCTGTACCAGGGCCAGCTTGTGGAGGGTATTGTTGAGGTACTGCTCCTGGTGGAGGCGGAAACTGGCTAGTTTGAGGATAGAATCCTTGTTGGTTTGCATACGGATCGATGACGGGGCCAGGCGGTGGCGGCGTGGGAGCATATTGTGTGCCGGGATTGAAGTTGTCGTCGTAAGGATCACGACCATATCCTTCCTCTTCTCGACCTAAGCGGTGTCAGCGACTTACATACCTCAGGGTTGAATCACTTACGTTTTCGTGCACGTCGTTCACGTCTATCTTGCTTCCTCTTTTCATACTCGGTCGCACCGATTGCTCCAGCTGCGGCAGCTGCTGTCATTTTTGCGGCATCTCGCGAATGCCTGCGTCTGCTCCGGTCTGGAGAGGAGCTTGAACTGCGGGACGATCTTCGGCCCCCTCGTTCGCGACTCAAACTACGGCTTCTGCTTCTGGTCCCACGTTGAGCGCCGTAACCTGCGGCTGCACCTGTGGCAGCCGGCACAACAGCATTCGAATAGTATCCATCTTGAGGTGGCGGTCTCCCGTAGTAATCAGGGCCGTAATTGTTGCCATACATAGGTGCATTCCCGTATTCGATGAGCCCGGGATCATTGATTGCACCCTGGCCTTGGTCATAGTACGGATTCTCCGACCTGGCCCTGCTTCTGGACCTAGAGCGAGCACGACGCCGCTCGTCCGCAATCCCTTCAGCTTCCTTCTTCGCTTTGTGTTTCTCATACAGTCCGGCGACCGCAGCACTGCCCAATCCGGCAGCGACAACGGGAAGTGCCTGTCTGATGCGGCTCCGGGAACGTTCCTTGCCATCCTTAGCCCTGGACTTGCTTCTAGCATGTTCAATCAACGCTGCAACGATAGCGCCACCGGCACCAGCCTTTGCCATTGTGTTTCTCCGATGCTTGGGATTCCGGGCATCGTCAGATGGCGCATCTGGGTCATCTTCGAGACTTGAAACAGACTCCCTCCGGCGCCGAGAGCGAGACCGGCTGCGAGAACGACCGCGGTCGCCGTCATCGTTGGACTTGTTCATGCGCTTGGAAGCAATAGTTGCGGCAGCGGCAAGTGCAGCGGCGCCGAGACCGACCGCTCCAAGTGTCTTAAACTTCGAGGGGGATGAGGAACGAGACCTGCTGCGATGTCGAGAACCAGATCGGGAGCGGTGTCGGCTTCGACTACGGTGCATTGACCTCGCACGGTGGATGCCTTCCGCGGCGAGAGCACCCAGAGCGCCAGCGCCAATATCACGCCCGACACGGCCGACACCGTGGGAGACATCCTTCCCTTCCTTCTTGTTGTGGTTTCGAAGAAGCTCTGCGGCACCAACACCAGCGAGGACGCCGGCAGCAAGCCCCCGTTTACGTTCAGGACTTGGGCTTTCCTCACGGACCTCTTTGCGAACATAGACCATGCTGTCGTCGCTGCTGTAATCGCGGCCTCTTTGGGACACCGAATCATGGGGACTCACGGACCGCCGACGACTCCGGCGTTCGTAGTAGTCGTCATCATCGCGGCGGTCGTCAATGCGCTCTCTGACTTTCTTTTCATAAAAGAAGTCCTCTTCTCCGCGAGGCGAGCGAGGTGGCGGGTCTCTTCGGACGACGCTGCGTTCGTCAACGTCCGACTTGCGGACAATTTGATAGTCGTCATCGTTGCGGACTGTCTCTCGAATGATGATGGGTTCCTGTCGAATGATGATGGTCTGTGGAGGAGGAGGTGGAGCGAAGTAGTCGGTAGTGCGGGTGTATCGTTGAACATCACGATCGTCATAACCACGCGGTGGAAGGACTTCGTAGTCGTCTCGGTAACGGGTGTCGACAACTTTGCGGTCGTCATACCGGGTCACCTCGAAATCATCCCGACGGGGGTCCTCGCGTTCAGTGGTGCGTCTTATGACAAGTTCCCTCTCTGCGACAGGTTCTTCCCGTCTTGTGTCAAAGGCATAGTCTCGCCGAGGTTCATCATCTCTTTCGCGCTTGATGACCAATTCACGCTCTGTGTAGCGGGGTTCTTCGCGGCGCACGGGCTCGTCGATCTCACGACGGACGATCCGGGTCTCCTCGACCCTTTCACCTGGGCGTTCGGGGACAAACCGCCGGTCCCGGCCCACAGAGGAGCGGCTGTCGTCTTCTTTCACCACATAGCGCTTCACTGTTGTGTATCCGCCATCACGCCGGCTCGACGAGACAGATGTTCGAGAGTCGTCGTACCTGTCGCGATAAACGGAGCCCATTTTGGACTTGGAGTGAAGGCAGCGAAGTCGCAGCAGTCGAAATGACCCAGGTGCAGTCAGGAGGGGTCTTCACATGCACGGTTTGTCAGACTTGCGCGGGGGAGGAATGGTGAGGTTTGCGTCAGGGACCTAGGCGTATTTTCAACGTCGAAATGGCGGGCAGAGGTGAAGAGGAAGAGGAAGGGGTGACACAATTGCAAGAGCCAAAGATGGAAGACAAGAAGAGGATGAGCGGTCGAGTTGAGTTGGCAGCAGGTGACAATTCACATCAGAGCTGGAAGGATCAGATGGTGCATGTAACCGGGCTGCGGATGGATGATAACGGGGGACGGACGAGCCGGGCCTCCCAAGGTTGTGCGCGTGTCCAGATTTATCTTGTGCCGTTTCCGTGAGCGCTGATATTTCCACAGAGGCCGACTGCGCCAGAAAAGCCGGAAAGTCTGGACTATACCAGCTGAACGGGGGGGGTTCAAAAGCAGGCTTGGGCAGCCGTAACGGTCATGCAAAAAGTGGATTCGGGGGGGATTAAGCGGCGAATAATAGAGAGAGGGGTGGTGGGAGTGATGGGAGGAGGGGGGGGTTTGTGAAAACGGCGAATATGTAAGAGGTATGTAATAGTAGTGGAAGGTGGGAGAAGACAAGAACAACAAGAACAAGCCAGAGCTGAGAGACTCAACCAAAATGACCCAGTAGCCAGCGGCCAACATCCCACAGCCCAAACCACCTCGCGCCAACCAACCAAACCAACCAACCAACCAACCAACCAGCCTCGGGTGCTTGAGGCCCGTAACGAGAAAATAAAAGAAGACCAGGTCAGGCGTGACGTACTTTGCATGTGGCGGCCCCTGCCCGCCGTTGGCCCGTTGCCCTGCCACGCCTGCCTGCCTGATGCTCGCCCTGCCAGTGCGACAGTCCCGTTTCTACTGCACATCGCCTGGAAAAGAATACAAAGTACCTACCTAGTAGGTATCTCTGTCTGACATGTCTGACATGCTCGGACAGACCCCCGGCAAGCCCAGCGAGTTAGACCCGCACCACGCTCGATGGCCATCAATTGTTTGGAATGACAACTGCCAGACCATCGCTTGGAGGGCGTGAGGGCATCAGGCTCCTCTCCTGGCGGTCATGCGAGGCGCAGGTCTTCTGAGTTACAGTCCGAGCTACATCCCGTTGCAGCCTGATCGCTCTCCAGAGAAAACAGCATTCCGGCGGCCCAACAAGCAACGCGAAACCGGTCACAGAGAAAAAAGTACCACACATACTCTCTATTGGAACTTTTGATTTGGGCTTTCGATTGTCCCCTCTACAGAGAGGATTGCCGGAACATAAATGCCATATATAAGAAAAGAGGCCGTCACCAAGGAAAACAACATGCAACTGACGGTTGCGCTGAAACAAGGCCGAATGCCTTTTCCTCCCAGATTTCCATTGCCCTTCGTGCCCATGCAGGTGCCAATGCGCTCATGCGCTTGCTTTCTTCGCCTGTTTCTTCGCCTGTTTCTTCGCCGACCATTGTATAGCCAAGTATAAGCTTGCAATCCCAATGCTTTTCTCTTTTCCGGACACGGTCCTTTTGGGTATCTCGGTCGTTAAATCGCCCCATGACAGGCGGGGCTTTTTCATGCACAAATGAAATTCGTCCCAATCATAGATCCCAAGATTTTCCTCCAAACGTCCTAGGTCTTTGGTTCAGTCGGAGACCTTTCGGGCTCATCTCCTGATTTATCGTCGTTGGGTAACACCTTGACTCGGCTGCCAATCTTGGCAGATCTCGTTTTCGAGCTCAAAGGTAGTTGATACTTGATCACGCCTCTAACAATAAGATCAAACGGGTGTTGCAGTACTCTCTCCCAACGCGCGCTTCCCCCAACTTCGGTCTTGTTGCCCGGCCTCGCAAGCCGGATCTCACCAACAGAAGAAGTGTGACTGTGTCGGACTGGTGACGCATCAAAGACCAACGGCGAATCGAAGACGAGCACTCTTCCGAGCAGCATTTTCTGCGTGCCTGGCTCAGGGTCGTCAATCGGGTCGGTACCCTCATCGACCCCATCGTCAGAATGCCACGGCGGCCAGTCAAACCCTAGGCTATCTGCGCTTCCTCGCTTGACCCAGCGGAGCGCCCTCCTTTGGCCGTGCCCCTCCCAATTGGATGTCGAGCCCACATAAGGGCTCTCGGCAAACAGGTTAACATCAAGGTCACTGACCGTGATAGGGAAAAGATTCGTGTTGATCGCCGAGACGTCTAGATCAAGCATAAGCTCCTGCTCCGATGCAAGCACATTTTGGATGTGTTTGATAGAAACATCCATCAGCGGCCGGTTGAGGGCCATCACAAACGTCGTAATACCAACACAGATCAGGAGAATAACAAGCCCAAGGAGAATGCAGCCGCTATACCCACCACACCAGCCGCGATCATGGATGTCGTTGTATTCGAGGTGCCGAATGCTCGTGCTGTGCGGGCGACGGCTGTGTCTTGTGCGATTAACGCGGACCGATCCAAGTAAAGGCGCCCTCTCGTCGTCGGCGACAGCATCCTCATAGGCATCAAAGGGCTCCCCCTTACGCAGGGCGCCGGGCAGCCGTCCGTTGGTGGTCCGGGGGCTGTTAGGCCTAGAGAAACGAGTGGGTGTGTTGGTCGTTGAACGCGAGGGATTGGTCTTGGTCGCTTGGGTAAAAGGTGACTCCGTGTCCAAGATCGAGGTGTGGTGAGGTCGTCCATGCCGACTGATGTGATGATGACGAGGCGTCGAACTAGAGTTGCGTTGACTTCCCCGTCCCTCAGGCCCAGATTCACCGTCCAGGTGATTGTTGTAGGTGCTGCTCGAAAATTTCATACTCTTCTTCCCAGTTATGGCTTGACTGCCGCTGCGGAGGCCGTGTTTGTTGCGATTTCCAAATTGTTCTTGACTGGCCAGGGACGTGGCACTGGGTGTTCGAGAGTGATGTCGTGCCGGCCTGCTGTCTGGTGGGTTCGACTCGTACACGAAAGTCTCATCCGAATCAGAGGAATCGGCTTCGTCCACAGCGCTGGCAACCTTGGCCTCGAACAGGTCGGCTTTGGAAGTTACTGTGCCAGCATGCAGCGAGGGAGGCTTGCGGGATTTTTTCTTCTCCTTCTTGGGCCGGATGGTTTCATTGCTTGGTTTGGTCCTAACACTACCGTTACCATCCCTGCCTGAAGCACCTCTGTCAGGACCCAGCAATTGAGGCATCGAAGTAACAGTCTCCGTCTCCACGGTCATGGTTCGGGGAGGTTCTCCAGCGGGCTTGGTCTTGGCCGCCGTGAGGCTGGTGAAAGAGCGTTTTGCTAAATCTGAAGCCGATCGGGAATTGCTTGGGGCCCTTGACCTCCGGCCACTTTCTGTTTTGGCGGCGGTGACTTTCAAAGGGCCGTCGCCGCCACTACCTTCTCCATCTTTAGCGACCGATGGTTCAGGTCGCGGCTCTAGTCGCTGGTCAAGGGATGCCACATCCATCTTCTGCTCCAGCGGCGAAGCCGAGATCGGACCGATTGCAGGAGTCGTCGGGACGCTGTTTTCCGCCACTGTTTCGAGTGTAGTACTTGGGCCTCGACCCAATACTCTCGAGCTGGAATGAGGACCGTTTTGTTCATGAGTGTCAGGTATCTGCATGGCAGCGGCTTGGTCAGGGTGAGAGACAGGTGCCAGTCTTTTCAGCGAAGTATTTGACGGCATTTGGTCTGAATCACTCCGCTTGACTGACGGTGTTTTTGCGCCAGTCTTCGAAGGAGGAGGAGACTTCAGTCGGGGCGATGTTGGCCACGATGGCGGATTTTGACTTGTTTTCATTTGTCGTTCAGAGGGACGGCTGCCCTCGAGCACTGAATCAACAGTGGAAGGCTGCAAAATCGGCCTTTGGGCAGACAGGGCCCGCTGGACGGCAGCGGCTGAAGGTATGGTCGATAGGGACCCAGCTATACCACTGTTCCGTGTCGGGCTGAACTCCTGGCTTCCCTTGCGCGAGCGCGACAGCTGAGGGATTTGAGAAACAGTGCGAGAATTGCGCGCTGGAGAAGCCTCGCGAGATGTTTTGGATTGGTCAGGTTGGCCAGGTCCCAACGCCGGAATGTTATCTGGGGACGCCTCTGACATAGTTTGACAAATATATCTGTTTTTCTATGCGTTTGGTCCTCCGCTGACTGCGACGTTCCGGAAGGGTCTACTCGACGAGTCGAGTCCGTGGGATCATTGCGGCAAAGACACCCAGAATCGAGAAAGGGTGAAATGATGGGGAAGCCACAAGGTGGAGAGGATTACGCCTTTTGCTGAGGCGTAAGAATGCCTATAGGGATCAACGAGAGAAGGGCTGTCAAAATGAGTAGATCGTACAATGGTCGTTTAACGGCTATACTGGGCGATTCATTGAGGAGGGATGGGGAAGAGAAACCCGAGAAGGCGGTTCTGGGGTGGTTGAAGAGTATTGCTGACGAAGAGCAACAGCAAATCGAGTCGGAATTCGGAGGCAACGGCGAAATGGCGAGGCGGGTTTGGATGGGGAAATAGATTGTGTGAGGTTCTAAGAGTTGAGAGCAATGAGAGGATGTAAATGGTGGTTAGAAACAGGGGAAAGAAAGAATAATGGGGATCGCAGGTGGACGGAATGAACCAACAGCAACGTAATGGTAAATGGGCAAATGGCGGATGGGAAAGGGAACGGCAGCATACGGGGAAGCGGTTACGAGTGGATGCCACTGGACTCGCATCTGCACAGTCCTGCACAGCGTCATCTTTGGCCCTCGCTGCTTGGGTGCTGCCCGCGCCCGCCGTTGTTCAGATGTGGCTGCAATTGGTGGCTGACCCCCATCTTGACCCCCATCGGCACAGTTTTAGGCTTGGTCTAGGCTGCACGGCTTTTCTTTCAACGTGGCATTTTGTGCTGGCGAGCCTAGGGCCCTTGAGAGAGGCTGCCTAGGTACCTAGTGCGCCTGAGTGCCTCCCGCTACAGCCTGTGGCCTAGCGAGGGCTAGTGCTGGATTTCCCACCCTTGCCCTCACCACCATCACTACTACTGCCACCGTTATTGTTCAGCACCACACCACAACCACACCATCAGCCTCGGAATTGGATTCTCTGGTCCAACCACATCGCCTGATCCTCAGCTGCACCCACTGTCTCTACGGAGCTGGCCTCCGGTACCTGTTGTCCCTGACCTGACCATTCCTCCGTCGCTTAAAACACATTTCGCTGACAAAATTCTTCCGACAAGGCAACACCGCCTGAACCGAACCTGCGGCTATGGCTTCCCAGAGTCACCTGCCCTACAGCGAGCGTGCTCAAAAACACCCACATCCTCTTGTCAGGCGACTCTTTGAAATAGCCGAACGGAAAAAGACCAACGTGGTGCTGTCGGCAGACCTGACTACGACCAAGGAACTTTTGACCATCGCCGACAGTAAGTGGATTGAGCGATACTCCAGACTTCGTCTCCCACTTGCCAGATTTGTCCTGTGGGAGAGCGAAACCATTGAGAAACTGATCGAACACATTCTTACATTTGTTGTTCGTCTCATAGGTCTGGGTCCGCACATTGCCGTGCTCAAGACGCACATCGACATTGTCTCTGACTTCGGTCCTGCCACTGTGGAAGGACTGGCCCAGCTCGCCCAACGTCACGACTTTCTTCTGTTTGAAGACAGGAAGTTTGTTGATATTGGCAATACCGTCCAGAAGCAATATAGGGGGGGAGCGTTCCGGATCCACGAATGGGCCCATATCGTCAATGCCACCATCCTCCCGGGTGAGGGCATCATTCAGGCACTGGACCAGTCCATCCATGACGGTGGGATTCGTGAACGAGGCATTCTAATTCTGGCCGAAATGACCTCAAAGGGATCACTGGCAGTGGGCGAGTACACTCGAATATCGGTCGAGATTGCAAGAAAATATCCCCAAAGTGTCCTGGGCTTCGTGTCAACAAGGGAGTTATCCAGCCATTCTCCTGGCGCCACACGGGAGGAAGACTTTGTAGTGTTCACAACCGGTGTCAACATGTCCAGTAAAGGAGACACTCTGGGCCAACAATACCAGACGCCTACAACAGCAATGGAAGGCGGATCCGACTTTCTTATTGCCGGAAGAGGGATATATGCTGCGACTGATCCGGTGAGTGCAGTCCAGGAGTATCAAAAGGCCGGCTGGGAGGCATATGAGCGTCGTGTAGGCTCAGCCAGTGGATAAGCACACAAGGACCGAGTAAGCAGGTTGGGCATCAAGATGCCACCGTCGCGATAATGCACGACTCGACAGGTGCAACGTGGGCCTCTCAAATCAAAAGGGACAGCCTGTCAGGGAACGAAGTCTTGCGCTGAAATAGGTAAGGGTCCTGCAAGGGTCTGGGAGCATCACTCTTGGTACCTAATCTTGCTATGTATTACTTGGACGTGGCTGAGTGGCGACGGCCGAATCCATCAGGAGGGATGCAAGGCTATCTACCATTTCACGGCGATTATCATTAACCCTGGCATGTATCGGGCCGTTGATCGACCCCCTCGGACCCCGCTGCACCGCTATTCAGGGTATTGTTTACTTTCCGCCAGGCTCCGCCAGGCTGAGAACAGAGAAGCAAACCGAGTACTCGAAAGTTCAAGCTCGTGGGAGAGAACTGGCATCCGTGCCGGACCCTGAAGGGGTAAATGTCTGATCCAGAACCCCAGGGGTTGTGTTCTCCAACGTTGCACAAGGGTAGAGATTGCACAGCTGTACGGACTGTGAATGATTTCGCGTAGAGGGTATAAACAAATTGCTCAGGGACAAAAGCAGAAGATGGGGGTGGAGGCCTCGGAGGGGAGTGAGGGACACCCAAGGGAAATTCAGCTGCCCTGCTTGGGTGCTGCTCCATGCCTGAGCTCCATGCCTGAGCTCCATGCCTGCTCCCAGATCCCAGACCGATGGCGCTGAAAAATGACGATCCTGGCGGGCGCCCAGCGGAGCCTTGGCACTAAACTGGTTTGGGTCTTTGTTTATCCTTGGCGCCTGCAGCCCACCGCCTGGCACCTTGGACGCGTCGTGCGCCTCACACCCACGAAAAACAGCGTGTCATGGCCTTTCAATCTTCTGTCCAAAGAAATGAACCGAAACTCGTCCACGACAGATCTTGCGATTTGACCACTTACGACGCGCTCTCAGTGCCTTTGGCTGCAACTCTCTTACTTGCCTACCATCAACCCCCCAATTGGCACGACTTCCTTCCCCAGTCACCAGTCCTGTTCGCCACAAACAATATTCGTCATCAGCGCCTGCTTTCCCTGGCGCTGCGCACGCGATCGCTTCGAGACCTCGAACCCTGAGAGGATAGATACACCACCACTTGCCACCCGACCTCCCCGGCGACCCGAGGATCAGCGTGCATCCTTCTCCTTCTGCCTACGCCAAATAGTCAGCATTCAACTCTTGCCGACCCCCTCTGGCCTGCCTTCACTCCACCTCCTCATCCTCTGACACTTTGTCCTCCGTCCATATCGCATTGACAGACAGCTGCAGCCTCTCGAGTCCTTCTCCGATCTTGTCCTACCACCCTCACTTTGCCCTTAGCATCGCCATTTCAGCAGAAGTCTGCTAGGCATTGCTCTCCGAGACAGACCGTTATCACCCATTTTCGTGGCTGCGTCTGGATTTCCTCTGTCTTCTCGGCCCTCCGCCGGCACCCGACACCTCCTTCTCTAGCCTCATGCCACTCCTCGCGCGTTGACAATGCGAGATCTCCAGTAGACCCGTTCAGATCTGTCAACGATCCCCGCAGCAACTATCCTACAGGAAAGAGTTTGGGTCAAAAGGAGTCCTGTCCCATCGGAATCTTCAGGTTCATGGCAGACTGTTCGGTAGAGGATCGATTGAGTGTGCTGCGTTGAAACAGAGTGACTTTGGGCCCAGCCATGATGGCCACATACTCTCCTCACCGTGAGGAGCACTCACCAAAGAGTGCCTTCTCACGCTTCGACCCCCATTCTGCCATTCGCGAGATACGCCGATCGTTGTCTCGCTCACCCTCCAAAGGTTCGGAGTTTCGTCAACAGTCACTACGATCCCCAGGTCCTGGCACTTTACCTTTCTCACCTTCTCCACTGTCACCATCGAGAAACGTGACATCTGAGAATTTTCTACACCTGAGTGGTATGCCTTCTCATCCAAATCGAAGTGCTTCAGCTTCGCGTTTTGCGCGTCCGCCCCTTCGTCGAACAAATCAATCTCAAGGGGTGTCTCGCCTCCGAACCTCACCTAGGAGTCCTACGAAGCGTGTGCTGGTGGATTCGGGCGATAGCGGGAATTCGTCTCCCATGCCGCTTCGCAAGAGAAGTTCAGCAGAGGCAGAGCGCGAACTGGCATTGAAAACCCTGACCGCTGGGGAGGAAAAGGAGAACGACAAGTCTACAAACGAACCACTCAGCTGGAAGAGTGTTCATACTCGACAGGAGAAAAGACGAAGTGGCGGGATGTTAATCGCAGCGGTTGCTCCTCTAAGCCCCATGAAAAGATCGGACGGTCCCAGATCCGACGAAACGCCAGGTTGTGAGAGTCCTTCGGCCAAGAGGAGAAGTCTTCACGGACCAGGCCTCGATTTCAGCATATTTGAGTCCGATAGCCTGGAGAGTGGAATGTTTGGTGACAAACGAGCGCAAGATGACAACGATTGGTTTGTGAGTAACTCGTTCTTGTCATCATCTCGATTTTCAACAATCCCAAAGCGGTCGTCGTCTTTGAGGAAGTCGACTATTCAGCAAAGACAGATCGATCGGTCAAGCAATTTGAAATCCCACCATGTCATGGAGGCGGACAAGTCATGGTTAGACTTCACCGCGGCAGCAAACCCCAAAAAGGAGATGCGAATGTCTCTGGATAACCAGATGGACTCATTCCCACGCGATAGTCCTTTTCCAAGTTCAGGACACCTCTTGAGCGCTTCAATCCATCCCATCTCTGCCAGCCAGAATGGCTCATCCTATCAGCCTCGACATCCCCTTTCTCGGACCATGACCCAGTCATCGTCTCAGCCTGACGAGCAAGACGATTCACCTACCCATGAACCTATGCACCGCCCCAACAGACCTCGTTCTCATGATTTCTCGAAATCTTTGCCAGTCGGCTCGTCTAGGCCAGTTCCATCACCTGAAGACAATGGCTTCTCCTCCCAGGCTTCTTTCGCCACCCCAGGCAACTACAAAGCTGCTAAGCCCTTGCCAGCGGCATTCATGTCGACTGGTCTCATCTCCAAGAAGAACCGAAATGTGGAAGATCCTAACGCTGGCCTACCGAAAGCCCATATGCCAGATACTCCCTGCAAGAAACAGCCCGCCATCTTCCAGAATGAGGAGAAATTTGCACCAGCCAAAAGTGCTGTCAATAGAATCTCTCGACAGTCTTTCGGGGTCCCCCCAAGTCCACTCGAAGTGAGCCATGGTCCTTCCAAGGTCTCAGCGTTTCCGTTCTCTAAGAGTGTCGGCATCTTCGGACCTCGACCTAGTCGACACAATTTGCTTCGGGATGGAGGTTTTGCATCCATCGACCCCGAAGACAAAACGATCGGTCGTTCTCCGTTAAGTCGCGCGAATAGTCAGTCAACGGACTCTGACTATCCCCCTACCCCCACCAAACACCTGACAGAGCCTCATGATCGGAGCTCAGTTTCTCCATCGCCACACCAATCAGCCTTGTCCGTCAACCAAGCTGTTGCTCCTCCTGCCCATTTAAGTCGTTTGTCAAGCAGTAAGTTGTCTCCTATTGTGGCATCGCCAGGATGCGTCGACCTGGACAGTGACAGCGCGATGGAAGATTCCCCATCCGCCAACCTGAGACCAAAGTCGACGCTGAATGCCGTCACCCTGCCGGATCCTTCTTCTGCCCAAGGTCAAGCTTCGAAAGGTCTCAGATATTCTCTTTCCACGAGGAGGACACTCTCGATTCCGACCATGCAACCCCCTGCTTTGGAACGTGCTAAAAGAATATCTGTGCCACCAGTAAGCCCAAGAATTGAAAAAACGGAGCGTGGATCACCTCACACCCCTCTCGACAGCTTCTTCCCTCCTGATCCAAGCGGCCTGACAATTTCGGGGCGCGCCGAACGTCCGCCAACGAGGCAGAACAATATGGCACCTATCATTCCAGCAACGCCGACTGGGCCACGAGAGTACTTTACAAATTTCTCCAACCGCCCAAGCTTGAACCTTGCATCATCAGATGCAACAAATGTCGACAGTAGCTTGACGTCGAGGTTTGAAAAGGTTGACCTGATTGGCTCCGGAGAGTTTTCGCAAGTCTATCGGGTTTCGCAACCACCTGAGACATCCCCGTTCCATAAGATCTATTCTGTGTCCACCAGCCGTCCATCCTCGAGAAGTTCTGTCCCTGAAAAAATTTGGGCCGTCAAAAGATCCCGGAATCCTTACACTGGTGCCCGAGACCGTCAGAGGAAAATTCACGAGGTGGACGTGCTCAAAGCCTTGGGCCATTCAGATCACATTGTGACTTTCGTCGACAGTTGGGAGGAAAATGGCCATCTTTACATCCAAACAGAATTTTGCGAAGAAGGTACCCTTGACGTTTTCCTTGCCCAAGTCGGCCTGAAAGCGAGGTTAGACGATTTCCGCATCTGGAAGATCCTTCTTGAACTGGCAATGGTAAGTCTAAGCCCTTTAATGCTCTCGTCCAGGCTGACAGCCGCTAGGGTTTGAAGCACATACATGACTCAGGGTTTATCCATCTAGACCTCAAGCCGGCAAACGTCCTCATTACATTCGAGGGCGTCCTCAAGATTGCTGACTTCGGCATGGCAACACGATGGCCGGCAAAGGCGGGCATCGAAGGCGAAGGGGATCGCGAATATATCGGACCAGAGATCCTGATGGGCCGATACGATAAACCTGCTGACATATTTGCACTCGGTCTGATCATGCTGGAGACGGCTGGAAACGTCGAACTACCAGACAATGGCGTATCCTGGCAGAAGCTGCGAAATGGGGACATGAGCGATGTTCCGAGTCTGACATGGAGTTCTGGGACCAGCGGGATTTTGAGGGATGCGTCTGGTAATCCCGTGTCCAGGGGAAACTCCTTTGGATTTCGGCCGGACAGCGAGCACCACGACGTGGAAGTGATGGACGGCGATGGTTTCGAGGCGGCTGCGACCGGGCCTCACCAGAGGACGCCAAGATTCGAACGGAGCGGCGAACTCGTCGATCCGCCTCAGTTTATGGTAGATCCCTCTCACGAACAAGCTCTCGACAGAGTTGTGCGCTGGATGATATCTCCAGACCCAAGCGACCGTCCTCTTGCCGGCGAGGTGCTCAACACTGAAGGCGTACGGTGGGCAGAAACGAGGCGGCGAGCAGGAGCGACTGTCTTTGAAGGCAACTGGGGACCTGCCGACGAGGTCCTTGCTGAAGACGCGGAAATGATCGATGTCTAAAGTCATCTATCTAGCCAGGTGATTTGAACTCCTGGATAACCAACCACAATTCGTTTTGGACACGCGAGGGGCGACGAGGGAGGCTATTTGACGCAAAGGAAGCATTGTTTCTGGTGGATTTCCGTCCCTTTTTCAAATGATCGAAACGACATCCCAGCAATTACCACAACATGTTATGGTTTAGAGACCAGTTTCCGATCGTTTTTGTACACCAGAGCAGGCAAGCAGGATTTTGTTGGTATCGGTCAACTATGGTTTGGTTGATTTGGTTGGTTTGGTCATCTGACACGAGGTTTGATTTCGACTATTGACAACGACATGGAAGACATGTCCAATCACGAGCATTCGGCAGGGAGAGAACGATTAGCCCATGGCACGGGGGAAAGAAATGACCAAGAATTCTCTTCAAATACTTTTTTGGGTTTTGGGAAAGATACGATAATTCACTCGGGAGGGAGGCCCGATGGTTGCCCGAAGCACAGACAGATGGCAGACAAGTCGAGGATATCGAATGGGACGACAGCCCACGTGCTGCCTTGCTTGAAAGGCCAACAGTCCCTGAAGACTAGACCAGACTCATTGGGAGGAAGCAATGTGAAAGGCGAAAATTAGATAGCTAGAGCTGCAGTATGTCCTCCGAAGTATACTACTACTGCCAGCATCTCGGGAATGAAAAGAATGAATGATGACATGACCTTCAAAAAGGGGGGGGAAGAAAAAAGAGCTTTCTTTCCCTTGTTGTTCCCCTTGCTGCTTCGCTTTCTCCGGTACCTAGGTACCTAATTAAATAGGGGCCTGAGGAGCTCATTTCAGCACCGTCTGAAGAGCAATGAGATGCGGGATTCCCTTCCAGGATATCAATGCATTAATAACTCGACTGTATTGCCCGACCGATGAGACGGACGCCCAACGACTAATTCAAAGCAGGCACGAGTTTGTGAACAAAAAAAAAGGCAACAGCTACGCCACCCTTGGACTATCATTTACAATGTCAGCGCGGCCCCTGGCCCCTGGCCCCCGGCCTCAACCCTTCGTCTCGTCTGTGGTGTGGCTCAAGATCTTCCTCCGCTCGTCGGATTTCAGGTGTCCGTTGACGTTGACGTCCTTGGGCATTTGCACCATCCAATTCGGCGGGGTCATACCGGTTTGTTCCTGGATCGTACTGAGCAGAGGGGGCAGGGACTGCATAATGTTCTTGATGGGCGCGATGCCTTCTCCCATCCCGCCGGTGGCGTCGCCATTGCCCGTGTTCCAGACGGTGATCTTGGGCTGGAGACCTTGAATGGCCTTTGCGTTGGCCATGGCGAGCTTCTCGTAGGTATTCTCCTTCAGCATCATGTATTGGAGGAGACCTTGGGGTCCGCCGAATGCGTCGGCCAGGTCCCGGTACGCTTGCGCCTGTGCCTTTGTGGCCTCGGCCTCACGCATCTTGGCGTGGTACATTGCGTCGGCTTCTTTCATTTGGCGTTCCACGCTGGCTTGGATTTGACGCTGCTGCTTGAACAGCTGGGCATCGGCATCCTGCTTCTCCGCGTACGCCTTGGCATCGGCTTGCTTGGACGCACGGTAGAGGTCGGCATCGGCCTCTTGCTGTGTTGTTTCCTTTGAGATCTGGGCACGGACGAGGTCCTTGGCACGAAGACGCTCAAGCTCCGTGGCCGCCTTCTTCGTCTCAACCTCTTTCTGCAGTTCAGCATCGCGAGCTTCTGCGGCTCTCCGAGCTTGGATTTGATTGATCTGAATGGTCATGTCCAGTTCCGTCTGTCGGTTCGTGAGCTCGGCGTCTGCTTGTGCCTTGTCGGCTGTGGTTGTTGTGTCAGCGTTTGCCACGTTCAGGCGGAGTATTCATCTCACCTCTCCTCTTGGTCTCGAGCACAGCAGTCTCTGCTTCAATCTTGGAAATTTCCTGCTTCGTGTGACCACGTTTCCCGGCCTCGCCGATTTCACCTCGCATGCGAGCTTCAGCGACATCGATACGCGCTTGGTTAGACGCCCCTTCGTGGGCTTTGCGGGAGAGAAAGGCAAAGTATTCAGAGCCCGGAGTGTCTTGAAGTTCCTTGACGTTGGCATTGTAGATTCGGAGACCAAACTGGTCCAATTCGTTCTGGACGTTCTCAATAACCTGCAACTCCAGTTAGTGCCGTGTCTCGTGCTCGTCACTCGCGATGGATACCTTCTGCTTGAAGACCTGTCGCTCCTTGAAAATCTCCTCCATGGTCATGCTTGAGACGATGACACGGGTTTCACCTTCAATGATGCCCTTGACAATGTCTTGAACATGGCCTCTCTGGGTGGGCACAATGGCCTGGCCAGGCTTCCTGCCTGCGGAAGGGGTGCCATCTGGGTTCCCGCTGAGGAGCAAGGCATACTTCTTGAGAGCTTCAGGCTTGTTATCTGGGCCAATGGTGAAGACGGCAGGCAGGGCGAATTGGAGCTTCTCAATGGTCATGGCCTGCAGGTTGAGGGAGAAGTCGAAGGGCGAGACGGAGATCCGAGCGACGCGCTGCCATGGGTAGACAAGGGCTTTCTTGACAATCCGTACATCGTCGACGCCAGCGCCGGTGACGACGAGGTACTCGTTGGCGTTCGAGATGTGATACCACATTCCGGGCATAAACGGTAGAGTGGTGCTGGGTGAACTATCGGATCAGTAAAATGTGCAAGCTGATAAGATGAGTTGGTATGAATATCGAGCTGCCGGGACGATGTTAATGAGAGGAGGAGAAGGTTGGTGTCACAAGAAATGCAAGCAAGTGATACAAGAAGTTTGTCACAGTTGGCTTTGTTTGACGAGGGTGAGAAGAGGGAAAAAAGCAGATAGACCGAGGGTAGGTGAAGATTGGAATAAATACTGGGACTCCCCTCCTAGAAACAGCAGGTCTTCACAGCCTGGGTAGGCGTTTGCCAATCCATTGTACTCAAGGATACTAGTAGCGTCAAGGATGTATCTTGGTACACAGCACGGGAACCGACGGGTCTGCTGTACAGCCCGGCTCTTGTTTTGTGACTTGGGACTGGGATCGTCGTAAAGTCCATTGCATGTGGAGCTACGAGGCAGAGCGCGGTCGTCACGAGGACAAGAATGAGAGAATTCCTCTTGTACAGGGTTTTGAGATGGACTTGGCTCAAGGTTGGATCCGAATACGGCGGAGAGGAGTTCAAGGCAGACCCGATGACCGTCAGATGGTACGTTAGTTCCTAGGTAGGTAAGTTAGTTATGATATAGGTGGTGGCACAGCTTTGATTGGGCGCAGGCACTGCAGTCAGCATCCCGTCAAAGACGAAACAATTACTAGTAGTTACATACCTAGTAGTTTGTTGCACTACAGATTTTACTGTGAACAAGGGAAATTGTTACCCACGCCGAGGCTTTTCTTCTCCCACACGCCCTCCACCTTGCACCTTGCACCTTGCACCTTGGAGTCTGCCTCAGTCGCCTGATTACAACGACTTGCTCCTTCGTCAACTTCCGGCCCCCCTTGCATTCTGGATCCCCTTGGAAGCCACACTACCACTAGCCTGGTCACTAGCTCTTCTTGCCCTTCTAGAAGCCCAACTGCCATGTAACCTAGACACCTAGCCGATGCGTTCTCATACAAACGGGGCAACTCTTGACTTTTTCCACTCGTGATATATCCGCGAACCAGCACTCACCGGTTAAAGTCGGCACTGCAGGTGGGCAGATAGCATGGCATGGCATTTACTTCCTGAGCGGAACCATTTGCCTTTGCGACAGTGACGATCAGGCTGACCCGGCACGTTAGCAGGTCCCTCATACCACCGGGTTCCATCTCCTCATCCTGCTGCTCTCACACACGCCCTACGACAGGACAAGGCCGAGCATACCCATATCCTACGACCCTCGTCTTCTTGACGCAGTGCCCCCTTCTAGACATGTCCAAACCGCCCTTTGACCTAGATCCCACCGATCGCATCCCGACTTATGAGGAGGCCGTCGCAGTCTCAACTAAAGCAGCAGCAGCAGCATCATCATCATCCCCGGGCTCAAGACAGCGAACGGCGTCGAGCAGCACCTCGTCGATCCGCCAACAACGTACTCGACGGATCTACGAGTTGGTCGTAGAATCTCTCATACCGTGTTTTGCAACTCATGTCTCCAACCTGTGCAACCATCTTACCATTATTGTCGTCCCAGCGGACAACAATCTGCGGGCAACAAGGACTCTGACCGAACAGAATGTTGTTTCTCCTTCGTTACCGAGTCACCAGACCACTGGGGTCGTCATTACCCTTTCAGGAACAGAGAACCACTCCTCCTTCTGGACGCAGCAAGCAGTGGTTGAGGAACTGGATCTTTTGCTGCGGAGGGAGCTTTCCAATCCGTCCGCGTCTGCGGCAGAGAGTGAGACACAATCTGAAAGCCTGAACGAGAAATCTCAACCTCCTCAATCACAACTTCCACCACCACCACAGTTCCAAGTCCAGCCGGCACCGGAAACTCAACTACCACCCCGTCCCACCAAGTCATCATGGTTCAAACGTGCCTTTGCTCTTCCCGGGCCAGACCACGATCCCACAGGTGAGACAGGCAAATGGAATCTTGGATGGCGCAGTCCCGAGCAGTCCTCTGAATCGAGCATCGGAGACAGTAGTAATTCAACGTCGAAAAGACGCGAGGGGAGCAACAGGACACTCCAGACAGATGAGGTGGCTGTGCAAACCAGATTACACGATGTGAGTTTTCGGACAGAAAACGACATGGGGCTTTTGGAGACGACCACGGTCAAGTGCATCTGGATAGAAATCGAGGTTGGCCTATAGCATCGTCCATAAGCGATATCATTAGTAGACCCAACGAGAAAACCGTATGTCTGGCCTCCAGCAGTAGTAGATTCGTCATCTGAGCTTCTCATTCTTTTTTTTGGCAGACACGTTTTAAATGTTTGACCTCAAAGCCGTTAGCTGAGGAAAGCCCCGTCCGCTGTCGGCCAGTCACGGCACAAACACAGTCCTCTCCTTCTTGGCCGCCCACGCCGCGTCTGCTTCCTCCAGTTTCCTCACCTTCAAGCCCATGTCGGGCAACGCGGCCACAGCTGCAAGCAACGACGGCACCTCCTTCTCGTAATGCGGCAGCGCCCACGAGCCCGGGCCCGCCCCGCGAAGAGTGAGATTCTTACTCCGCAAGATCGCGCCAGGCAGTGCGATCTCGTCGCCGGCAACAGTGCCAATTTGGACAAACTGCGTGGGGACGGTGGATTTGAGTTGGGCGAAAAGGGTGGCAACCGCGGGACCATAGAGATAGTCCAGGATCAAGTCGACGTCGGTCAGGGATGAGAAATCCGTTTGACTGGGGTCGTTGGCCAGGACGATACGTTCGTCCAGATCGGCAATCGAAGCCATCTCCTTTGCATTCCTGGCCACACCAATGATCTTGCCAGCACCTTTGCTCCGCGCAAAGTGTACCGCCACTTTGGCACTGATCGCCGTGACCCCGACGATGACGACCGTGAAGCCCTTTGGCAATGGTGGGTCGACACGAGCGGCAAACGCCATCCAGCTCGACATGCCCGGATTCATCAGTCCAGCGATCGCAACGGGGTCTGCACCTTCAGGAAGTGGCGATACAGCGACCTTCGGCACAGTGATGTATTCGGCAAACCCGCCGCCGGTTGCGATGCTGTTGAAATACACGCGTTGACCATCGGGGGTCTCGCCGACGCCGTCGACACCTGGGATGTAAGGGGTGGCTACGTTTTTGACACTGTAATGGGTGCCTGCGGCTTGACCACGGACGAGTTGATGAAGGCCACTCGCGAGGATCTTGAGAGTGACAGTATCGGCGGACGAAGGTGCAGGATCAGGATGGGATGAGGTGAATTGAGGGGCAGAGCCCCAGGAAGAAACTGTGATGGCACGCATGTTCTACTTGGGATGCTGGAGACTTGATGTAGATTTGAGCTCTTGTTGATGGTTTCGTGTTCGTAGCTCGGCGTAATAAGAATAGACGGAGATGAGGGTTGAGTTGAGGGGAAAGAAGCCAAAGAGACAGGAGATATTGATACTTATACCATTGATTTTGTCCAGCTGTACTAATTATATCCCGAGAAGTTCGTTCAAACCGCCATTGAAAGAGTTGGACGCATACAACTTACGGCGACGTGAGTAAAAGGCATCTTAGGTAACTTTGAGCAATCTTATCAAGCGAGAAGGAATCATAGGCCAGTTTGGTGCAAGCCGCTAGAAACGGAAAGCCCTCTTCCACGTGCAGATTGGCGGGCTGCTGAATATTCCGCTGTCAACTTTGTCATCAACCGTTACACCAAAGGGAGAAGAAGCGTCCGGCGCGCACACCGACCCGTGGCTGGCCGTGAATGGTGTTTGATGACGCGCGTACAGTACCTTGAGAGGCGAGGCCAGGCAGGGGGATACAGGGCCATGGTGATAAGGAGATAACTCAGGTATGGGCATGCAAACGATGTGATAGTAACGAGGAGTTGGGGAGTTTCGAAGGTGCACGGAGAAGTTTGTAGACGAGTCCGAGACTCTTGTCGCTTGTCGCTTGGGTTCCTGCCAAGTCAGTGCCAAGTCGATGCCAAGGAGAGCCTAGACCCTTGACGTCATTGTGCCTCTTGCCTTAGACGTGCTCGGCTCGACGTCTCTTGGCCGTGTGGCCTTTCCCCACATGTTCGTTCTCTGGCACTGCTGCCACTCACTGCCTACCTAGTACAGTGATCGAGTAAACAAAGCTCGTGTATACGTCGTACATCTTATAATTCTCAAAGTCACAAACTCAAAGAGTCCACCCGAAAGACGGACCGGAAATATGCCGCCCTCTCAAATCCAAATTGCAACCTCCGCCCTACAGCGGTTACTCAAGGAAGAAGCCTCCTATTACAAGGAGCAGGAGCAGCAGGAGGCCCGGATTCACAAACTGGAGAACGAGGCTAACGGAAGTGATGAGAATCATGACTATAAATTGAAACAAGAGGTGTGTTCTTTTATGCCCGCATTGCACCCATCACAGACATATCTTGGAATGAGGGCCCTTGCTGGCGCGCTCTTTTGAGGCTAATGCCCTGCACTGTCTACAACAGCGCAAAGCCCTCGAAGAAACAAAGGTAGTGATCCCGACTCTGCGTGATCGCATCACAAACGCGCGGGAGAAGCTTGAGAACCTCTTGGTGAGTTTTCAATACCTGTCGGCGCTCTACAAGTCATGGTGAGTGGCTGACAACGGCAAATATTTGATGTGGTATAGGATACAGCCACAAACGAAGCCGAACGGGACGCGGCGGTGGAAGTGCTCAAGGCGGCCAAGGAAGCCCAGAAAGATGATCCAATCGCCGGAGAAGAGAGTACTATGTCGTGATCGACAGCTCTACTTCTTGAAAGAACGCCTTGAAGACGAGCTATGGGGTTGGCTCAGAGAAGCGATCTGAAAGCGGCATTGAGAGCTAGGGTAAACCAGGACGACTGAAATGAGGCCTGGAGCATCACATTCTCCCCCACTTGACAAATGGAGGAATTCTTCCGGGTCAGCTCGGCTTGATGCCTGCTTCTTTGCTTCCAAACTCGCCAGTGCGGTGCTCATTCAGCACATGAATCTCGAACCCCGTGGATGTTGATCGACGGGCGGGGAGTCCGCAAGTCCAGGTATCCAAATATCTATCGAAAAGCTCGTTTTTCCTTCATTTCCTCGCTCACAATGGAGATTCCAGATCCTCTTTGAATTGATCGCTATTTCTCTTCAAGTCTCATTGGAGCACGAGAATCTCCCTTATCGCCTCCAGGCCCGGAGATGGGTGCCGTGTTGGTACAGGGTAGGCTTCAGCTACGAGACTGCCAGCCGATAGATAGTTCTGTGGCACCTTCGAGTCCATATCGTTCAACGTTGTATGTGCGAACATGTCAGGCGGATGCGAGACTGTCAAAGACAGCGCCTGCAAACTCCTGGCCAAATGGTCTTGCAACTTGGTTAGCTTGTGTCCATATCATCTGCAGCGTTCTCAAGAGCAGCCCCTGCAGCGTCCCTGATGCCATCTTCCCCAACAGAAGATACTCCAGTGTTGCCATGCATATCAAGGTCCTCATCTGGCCGCTGCGGCGTAGCCCCTCCTGTACTAGCGTGCCCTTCCAGCAGATTCGATCGAGGTGTCAGCCCGCCGCTTCCTCTGAGCCCAGCTGGGAAGGGGGTCGGCGCATCATCTATAGGCCTGGGTGTCCCAGCAGTAGACAATCCGTCTCTCTCCCTTTCTCCATCGTCGCCCTCTCTTTCTCTCTCTTGGTCAGCATCGTCCTTCTCGCCCTCTGGTTCTGGCTCCTTCTCATCTCTAATGACCCTTCTCAACCTTGTCCCCTCCTGCATGACTCGTTCAAACTGTTCCCTCCTCTCGCCCCAGGCGACCTTCAACTCTGCGCTCTCACGTTCTAACTCCTCGATTTCAGCCTTGAGTTTCTCGAGATTGACATGTTGCTCGGCTCTTGTGACTTTTAGCTTTTCATCTCTTGTGATCTTCTCCGCTAGCACATCATAGGTTTTCCGAACTGCTAGCGTCTTCTGCGCCTCATCAAGCTGCACTCTCAGATGTGACAGGTTCTCCCGCACGTCGTTGGCGGTTTGTTCAATCTTGAGCTTTTCTGAAGCGTAACGCTCTCGTTCACGGGTGTTTGCGGCGCGGAGGAATTCGGTGCGTGCAATAGAGGATTCAAAGGCGGCGAAGTCGAGGATTACGTCCTCGCGAAAGCGTGTCAGGGATTGGAGGAAATGCTCATGTTGGTCTACAGACAGTTCTGGCGCAGGGACGTTGTCGTCTGACGGGCTCGGTCGCGCAAGAAAAGAGTTTACAGGAGCAGTAGATGCAAGAAGGCGTTTGGAGACTCGTTTGAAGGGGCGTTCTTCAATACCTAAGAGCCGAGTCGCGTGGAGTTTGTCTGCAAGAAGGAGTCAGGGTTTTGATGCTTGTTTAACTAACAACAGACGTGCTTACCTTCCTCAGCTTGATCTAACACTGTGAAAGTCGCCATCGCTTTCTATTCCTAGGCGATTTGTAGAACTCAGTTTATCGATGCAGAAAATGGTGGTTGTTGGAATTCATCATCCACCTAGATGCCAGTGGTCGGCGCAGGTGAAGTGTGAACTGTGGAGAGGGAGATCACGAGGCTGAACTACGCTGCGTTCGGAAGCTGCAAGGCTGTGACCCGAGCGGAAGCTACGCATCTACTCCATAGTCACTTGTCCCGACTTGAACCCCACGATTCACCTCGTCCCTTTGTTACTGGGTGTCATGCACAAAGGCAACAACAGTGAAGTACTCGCCGACATGCTTTAGTCTTGATCCTTTGTCCACACACCGCATGTAGCTCTTCATCCTCTTCAACTTCCTCGAGAACGCACCTCTTCCCGCCAGCTAGCCACGCATCAGCCATCACCATGCCTGCCGACAGCCTCCTTGACATGGCCCGCCGGGCTTGCGCCCGCAATGTCCACCGGATAACCGACATCGGTGACCTTGATTATGACCTGATCCGACCCATACTTTTGAAGATCGAGAGCCCTGAGAAACTCGTAGGTCCCGTCATGCACATCCTCCCATTTCCGTCTAACCTATGCTTCCCACCCCCTGTACTTCTTCAGCCCTGTGGCCATACTGATCAACTGCTTATAGCACCAACTCGAGCTCTCGTCACCGCAAATCATCGGCCACGACGCTGAAATCTGGCTCAACTTCATCAAGCGAGACATCCCCGACTGGGACACGAAGCGCCATGAACCATCAAACCCGAAGAATTGGTACAAGGTGTACAAAAAGTTGAAAGCAGAGGCAACTAAGGACTCCTCAAATGATGAAGCCATGCTGAAAGCTGCCTTGGCCGATATTCAGAAAGGGAAGGAGCAGAACACAGCGGAGATTGCGAGCACTGCGCGCAGTGTGGGCTTATATTCGAGTAGCAATGCTCCTGGGCCCTCGCGGAAGGCCAGGATCGCATGGAACTATATCTCCGGCAAGACAGGGTCCAAGGGCGCCAGCAAAATGACCCTGCTGGAGAAGATTCGCAAGGAAGCAAGGAATGCAAAGGCTGCCAAAATGAACCGGCCGATGCACGAACTACACAAGAAGCAGACGGGTGTGGTCAAGGCGCCAGCGCAATTCGTCGAGGAAGTGAAGAAGATGAAGGTCCTACAGGCAACAGAGGCCAAGAAACATCTGAGTCCGCCGCCCAAAAGACCCGTATCGGGGGTTGGTACAACCGGGACCGTGGGGACATCGAGGCCACCGATGCATGCTCCCCCTACGCAGGCGTCGAAGCCAAAACCTCAGCCTGCTGTTGCAAATGGCGGAAAGCCGTATGATCTCACGAGCGACAGGGAATCAAGGTTACGAGCCTTGAAGTCGGGGAGACCGGTCAGCAGGGTGGTCGCAGATCCGAAAGAAAGTCAGAATACAAATGGCAGCTTGACCCTTGATTTCCTCGAAGATTCGGAGGATGATGACTCCAACCAGGGCCAGCCAAAGCGAAAACGGGATGCAGCAGACGACAATGCAGAAATGCCGCGAAAGATGCTGAAGCCCAACAATGCCCTCACTGATGAACTCCTGCCTCGATCGAGAAGTCCCATGAAGCTCTCGCCAGCCCCAGGATCTCGGCCGCAGGGGTTGCAGCCGCTCAAAAGAAAACATGAAGCACCAAATCTCTTCCACACAAGCCCCAATAAACGACCAAAACCAGTATGACGAAGTGGACGGGAGAGACTAGAACGATCATGATATACAACGCTGGAGACTTGATATTATAGAGACGAAGCACTTATTAAAGGAATGGATGTTTCAGGCCACAAATGGAAGGCTGGAAGCATAGAGAGTTGATGAGGCCACCTCAAGGGATTGATCTGTTTGGCGTTGGGAGGTTCGGACAGCTCAATGAGTACCTAGGTAGAAAATACGGCGTCCCTCCCTGGGCAGTGGGCACAGTGGATGGCGTTCTGGCAAGGGCAATTTCTCTGCGGATGATGGCACCATCTAGCATACCTGAGAGAGAGGAACCAGCCTCTTACGGCGGCAATGTCATCAACATGTCAAGTCAAGTCAACTCATGTCTTTTGTCCTTCGTTGTCATTGTTGTAGGTTTTTTTCATTCAAGTACGTTCATTAATGTTCATGTCCCCAATAGCTATCTACCTAAGGTAGGTAGGCAGTCCCGGCTCGTCATGGGGCACAGTACCGAGTACCCTGAGGTAGGTGGATTGGGATTCTAGGTTTTGGTATGGTTATGGTTATGGTTTTGGCTTCCTGCCAAAATGCCCTCGCGGTGATTGTTCGCTTGATTTCGTCCCGATGTCGAATCAAAGGCCAAAGTCAAAGCCAGGGCCATGTCATGGGCTGGTTCGTACAACCTTCACGCCGTCTGGTGATCTCTTTCGCAATCTCGCCCTCCCTTTCGTCCCCGTCGTCCATCGAGAAGGACTCTCCGTCTAGCTTCGGGAACAACCTCCGGACACCACATACCAGCAGAGCCCTTCCGCATACCCCTCGCACCTCGCACGGCCAGAGCTCGGTCACCTCCCACCTCTCAGCGCCAGGACCAAGTGTAACGTATTGCCACCTTCGAGACCGTAATCCTCGGCGGTTTTCTCGTCGGCCCTATTCCACATAAGCGCCAGAATTAGTTAGTTTTTTTTTTTAAGCAAATCTTGCACAACTACCTCGAGGGCGTATCATTCGGAGAACGGAGCCAGGCTGCGCAAGTGTGGTAGGATGCATTTGTTGGAATGCAAAGATCAATCGCCTCGTGCGTTGCGCAATTGTCCAAGCGTGTGCCGCACAAACGGGCTATCGCTTGAAAAAAAGAAACACAGAAGGGAGGAATAAGGAGCCAAAAACGTACATCTGTTTTCCACCGTAGATCAACCGCTGCTGGACGGGCGGGATGCCCTCTTTCTCTTCGACGCGCTCTTTGATCCGGTAGACCTGTTCATTTGCCACGGCACATCGTCTTGTCAGAATTTCATCATCATTTCTATACCATCCGCAATGAACAGTGTTGCCTGTGTTCCTGCCAATCTGCGGTCCCCCCTCCTTTTTGACTTCCTGAGATCGTTCTCTCTTCTTTCTCCGACTTGGCAGTCTTCCAAGCACGCGTGGGGTGGTGGAAAGGGAGGCTCCGGCAGCGAGAGGGTAGCACACCTTGTAGTCCGGTTCGATGTCCAACTCGATCTCCTTGCCCGTCAACGTCCGCACTCTGTGTTTTCCAAATCATGCCGCGTCAGCCTCGGATTCATTCACTTTCGATATGTTTTCACCAGTGCCAGTCAGGTCTCGTTGCAACACTGTTTCGGAGCAAATGCACAAAGGCGGTGAAAAGGGTACACGTGGGTATTATTACTTGATCAGCATGTTTGCGTCGTGCTCAAACCGCAGGAAGGTAGAATTCAAGGCAGCAGATGTCGGGGCAGGGTAGCAGGCTGTGTTCGGAAGTTAGGCAAGGTCTTCTATGTTGGAAGAAACGATGACTGGCGCTGCTGGCAAAAGAAAGAGATCGGTAAGAGCGAGGACCGCAGCAAGTACTTGGAGGATTGAAAGACTTGAAGTGATTGTCGTTCGTGACACCCAAAGTTCAACCAATGGAGCGCTGGATGAGGCCGCAGCCTGATGGACATCGCGGGGCTGTTGTTTACATAATCAAACCATCCATATTCTTCAGCCTTGCGATGCAAGCCATGATCACTAGGTGCCAGTTGTTCCAGTGACAAAAAGGGTGCGAAATGGAAGTAACAATTGCCACAAAATTGCATTGTAACATTGATGAGCACACAGAGGCTCTATACAACAAGAAACTCGCTTGAACGCCCGAAAGTAAAATAGCCGACGCGCACAAAACCGGGGGTATGTGTGAGAGATATAGGTACAGACCCAGCAGAGCTTCCTCCCATACCTAGGCTTGGGCCTATTCGTCCCATTCTTATACCAACAAATCCCTTTTGGCCCATCCCATCCCACAGCCCCAGTCGAAGAAAACGCCATCTCCCATTTGCCGGAAAACGGAGGGAGATTGATTCAGAGCAGCAAAAACGATCTTCCAAGCTGGGTGCCGGATTTCGTCCTGTCGTCCGCTGCTTGCGCAGAAATCTGATTCTTTTTCCATCATTGTCACTCGTACACATTATGACTAAGAAACGTATTTCGATGGGCCAATGTTTGAAAACGCATCATTGGGAGAGGGTAAATTTCAGAATCCGCGCCATGGATCCCTCGACTCATAGCTTCCTCGCGTGGAGGAGCTTGCTGCCATCATCTCGCTGTGGAGCAACGAATCCACGGGGCTAATGCTCTCTCTTCCTTGTTCTGCGCCCCAGTAGGCCATGTCCTTTCTTTTTCCTTGCCCTGATCGCATGAAATTGAAAGAAGGCCGGCCTGAGGAGGTGCCTTGCTCGTGTTCGATGAAGGCATCCATCCTCATGGTCGTCGTTTGGTTGTTATCCATGAAGGTCGGGAGGGGAGGTCGACCTGAAGCACTCGCTTCACTTCCTCTCCGACTGCTGATCACGCTTTGCATTCCCAAGCTGGGCGTATATAAGCCGCGGTCGGAGGAATACACTGCAGTGGAATGCACGCTTTGCGAATAATTCGATCCCGGTCCTGGTAGACTCGGGGTCACACCGTTTGTGGAGAAGCTCCTGAAAGAGCTGGGCGGCGCTCGAGGTGCCGTATTGCTTCGCTTTCGAGAGTGACGAGGGATCGTTGGTGGCAGAGCAGGGTCCGTCAACGGATCGTAATAGTCGCGCGTTGGGGGCCGCGAGTCTTGCACTGGCAACGATCCGTCGGTAGTAAACGATCTCGTTCCCGGGCCCGGCTTGGCAGCTCCTTTCGTCAATCTAATCGAGTCTCTAATCGGTCGTCTGCGAAGCGATCCGGCAAGTGATGGAGTTGGAGCAGACGATACTTCGTGTTCTGGGAGCGGCGGTGGTGGAGGGATGGCGGTAAGGTCGTTGACGCTGAGAGGAGAGTGTGATAGGAATGACAATGCCGTCAACCATATATAATGTCGCTCTTGAGATGTTGCTGTGAACTTCAGTGCGCGCTGAGGAGTCAAGATAAGAATGGATCTGTTGAAGTTCGGTCCAGTTACTGCCCCTTTAGGCATCGGATTGTCATCTTTGACATCGAGGACGGACTTGATCGTCACTGGTTGACAATTAGCTTCCAGGTATGCACCCTTCCTGATATCGGACTTACATTTTCGACCACTCTTGCCCATCAAGGCGGTCCCAGATGTCGGCTGCTTACTGCTCCACATGACCGCACGCTCATATGGCGCAAGCCACACCCATCGTTTGTGACGGACACCATTGTTGGTCACACTTTGAGAAATTTCCTCAACGCTCTTATTGGCATCCCAATCCGTCTTCTCGGTCACTCCGAAAGACTTTCGTCTCCTTACATATTTGTACATCCATTCCCCGACCATTGTCTGTGCAATAGAGTCTACAACCGACGTCTGCTGCATTGACAGTACGTCGGAATTCTGTTTCGTGTGACTTCGCTGTCGACTAGGCCCGGTTGCGATCGACGGTCGCGGCGCACTCGCCTCCCGTGGATTGCCGAATCGCTCAACAACGGGTGCCGGTGTTGTTGTAGGCATTTGGAAACTTGGCATCTCTGGCACAATGGATACCCTTGGTTCCAGGGGTGGTGATCGACTGCGTGACTTTCTGGCTTGCGAGTGAGGTGAGATCGCTGGTCCTGATCTCGCTTTTCGTAACATAGGTTTGGGATACTTGCTGTTCCTCGATCGTTTGGTAGGCGAAGCGTTGCTGCTGCCGGGCGAACTTCTTCCGCCTTCACTAATAGACTTGCCAACCTTGGCCGAGCTATACCGCAAGGGAACAGGGAAGGGAGGCGGATTGTTGCTTTCCAGAGATCCGGTGGTGGATTGGGAGTGTGACGACTGGTGGGCTGCTGCCCCGCTTGATATCAAGGCTGCTCTTCTCATGTTGTTAGACTTGGCAGATGGGACTCTCTTCAGTTTCAGTCCCATGTTCTGCCGTTGGGAGCCTCTGCGTGGGCTCGTCCGAGTTTGGAAGAGGATCGCCTTCATTTCCGGCGGTAAGCTGTCTTCAGACAGTCGGAGGTTCTCGAGAGCAGCTGCTTCACCTGCAGATACCGCTGCGCTCTCATTGACATCCTCCAGGCGAGAATCCTGGGAGACCATTTTACCAGATTTGAGAACAAATTTCGCGGTCGGGCGGCTAAAGATATCGTCTTCCGCGAAGGTGTCTTCTTCGATGTAGTCATCACGGTTGTCGACATCATCTTCGAATCCGGCGAAAAGACTACTTGATCTGACGGGCCGGGGCATATTTGAAGCAAAATCTCTCGTGAGAGGTCCATTGTCGTTCACAGGAGGTATCTTGGACGGTCCAGCCATAGCCGAACGCCTCGACGCAAACATGGAGGTACCGGGAGATACTCTGCTTCGCGGGATTGGAGGTGGTATGGCCCTGGAGGAAATTGGGGGCCTGTAATGGCTTGACAATGGAGCAGGTGGCATTTCGGAGGGTGGGACAATGGCTCTTATGTCGACCCGAATTTCTTCTGTCTGCATAGAAGACGACTTGTATCCTCCCAGTAAGTGATTAGCGACCTGGGTACTTGCGTTCTTGGTTCGGGGTGGTAGCACAACATTAGTTTCAGGTGTTGCAGGTCTTGACGCTGGAGGGATGATGGCAATCAGGGGA